TGAACAGCATCATCAAATCTATTCCCTGATGTATAATTCTATTTCTATACACAAATTACAATTTTACAATCAACTATAAGATAGACAGAGAGAGAGATAGAGAGAGAGAGATAGAGAGAGTAAGAGAGAGATCAAAATATTCTCAAGCAACTAAGAAAGTAGAGTACATAGGGCTTCGAAAATCTTTAAAATTCTCATGGTTTTCAACGATACAATTAAGAACAATTACTGTTAGTGCACAATGATGACAGTTGTCCCATCCACAATACATTTTTCCCAGAAAATTATATGTAATTCAATTATAGTGTTAGCAGCTTGACCGCCTTGCCGTTCTCAACCGTTCAATGCTAATGTCTGTTTGTAAAGTGAACCGTGCGTGGTCATTTTTGCGTGAACGCCCACACGTGTAACGTGGGCAGCAGCAGCAGCAGCAAGCAGCCCATGTATGCAAGTATTTATAATTTGTTCATGACAATAAGTATTGGAGCAACATTTTTTTGTATTGTTTCAAGTGTTCATATACAACATGCTGTATGCTATAGCAATGTGAACTGCAATTTCAGTTAGGTTGTTCGAAATACCACATCCAATTGTCAGATGATGGCTTTTGACGTACAAAAAGTTGAGCGCCACTGTGTTGTCCGGTTAGAAAGTAATCGTTATATTTTTTCCCAAAAAAAAAGAAAAAAAAAAGGAAATTGAAAAGAACGAAACAGCGAAAATAATGAAACGCACAGTACGGCTTGACATAAGAGACTGGGGAAGAAGAGCAAAAAGCAGAAAAATGTCGGAATGCTGTTTCAGAGATCGTTAATGGAGACGACAAAAACGTCGCATGTGCGGCCATTTCGCGCGATAGAAACTAATCTTTTTTAACTAGAAAACTGTCGTTTTGCCTCCCACAAAGGTCAATAAAATGTGAGGAACAATTGAAATGAAATACAATCAGCATATAATGAATAACTGTCGTCTGAAGAAAGGGAATCGTCTAACCAAATCAACTTTCTACGAACATCAATTTGTAAGTGATAGCGAAACCCTTTTCTTCACATATAGCTGGTTGTCTGTATGTGTGTATGTGTGTGTGTGTGTTCAGCGTGGTGCGTTTTGTCGTTCGAAAGCAATTTCAGTGAAGAGGATTTGTTCCTGGTAGCAAAAAATAAATGATTTGGTATCTCTTGGAACGTCTTATGGTTCTATCCGCTGCCACGTCACTAAATGTTTCAGTTTGTGTTTTTCCACGATGTAAAGATATTAAATGATAACAACGAAAAAAAAGACAAAAGTCCATTGGGCTATTCGCTTATAGGGAATCGTGTATTGGTACCCTTCAATCAAGTGAGAAATTGGAATTTCACTTTCAGCTGCCATCAACCGAAACTCGTGTATGTGTGTGTGTGTGTGTTTCTACGAAAAAAAAAGGGTCCGGCAACGAAAACCTGCCGCAGCATAGTCGTTCCGAAGGCAATTTCAGAAAACGAAATTACGTGGCAATATGACAAATCATATCTCATAGATTATGTGTCATTAACAGGACATGAAGTCAAATTAATGTTTGAGAAAGGTAATGGATACCGACCAGATAAAGGAAAATGGACATGTAGTCCTATGTCCTTGCTAAACCACACGCACACACACACACACCCAATCTCAATGAACATCACCAAAATTGTCTGAAGAGGTAATGACATTTGAAATTTTGCCTTTGTGTTAGTATACTCGTAGCACATAGAACACAGAGAGAGAGAAGGAACAAACGATTCAGATCCATATTCATTCATATGAATCTGGAACTACTGCCAAGTTGGTGATGCAAAATCCAAAACAACAAAGAAATAATAGTAAATAGCAAAGGAAGCAGGCTGCTCACTTCTTAAATATATAGATTTCTATATATATATGGGTGTAATTTTATACATGCATATATATATATATATATATAACCCTTGAACAGAACAGAAGAAAATTTCAGCAAAATAAAGTTTGACGAACGATTGATAATGGAAGCAAAGTCCCGCCTAGGCGGAACGTGTGGACGATGGTAGTTGTATTGAAAGCTTCAGGAATGCGTTAATAAAACACAAGAAATTGATGTGTCTCTCGAAGTTTGATCAGTCATTTTCACCTCTATAACACATCTTCAACAGATTTCTATACTTCTTCATTCAGCATTCTATCAAGCCGGTCCGAACATTGGCGCCTCTTAAGGTATACGAAACAAAAAGCATATCTAAGCACATAAGAACCTTCGTGAGTTTTTGATAAAAATCTGCTGGTGGCGAGACAGAATGGCTTCTTTCACACACTCTCATCACACACATATATGGACTCCTTCTCATTTCATTGATGAATAAGCTGCAACAATAATCAAAAGAGAAACAATATTAAACAGAGCTGGTTCGCCTTATCATTTATTTACAAAGCGCTTTGACAATTTATCTAAAACTGGTCATAACAGTCAACAATGAGTATTAGACCCCAATATGGAAATGCATGCGCGCAGCGTCTATATACGAGTTGATGTTCATCATCTAGTTCTTATGAACTATGAAGAAGACGAAGAAGATGAAGAAGAAGAAAGATCTTTATTTTTTTGCGTCAAGATATTAGTCCAGATTAATTACATGATAGACGCAAGATAACTGCCCGGTTCATTACATAATTGTTCAGTCTTATAATATTAAGATGATGTTGGCTATGGCGTACGACAGCGCCAAGCTAGTTGGAGCAAAATCGAAAGAAGAAAAAAGAAAACAAGTGGATCAGGCTAATAGGCGATATGGTGTGTGTGTGTGTGTGGACTATGGAAAAATGCAAAAAAAAAGCGAACAGATACTAATATGAAGAATGAAAATAAGAAAAAAAAAGAAAATAAATGACACTGTGTACGACAAAACCAAACTGAACTTGAATACTAGAAAGCACATACACACACACACACACACGCTAGCAAACAACTACTTCGACGAAAGCAATAACAACAACAAATATAGAAAGCAGAAGCAGATGAAAACCTTCCAATAGATATAAATTAGAAGACTAAGTTGAACGGAGAAAGACGGAAGAATGAATGCAAAAACTTAAAGCAGAAAGAAAAAAAAAACGTGTCGAGTTTGATGGAGAACGCATTCTCCAACGATCATTCTCATTAAAATTGGACGAGCGAGAGGGGTCGAGCGTGGCTTCGAAGTTTGAAAAATAGGTCTCCCGATCTTGGGAATGTGTATTAGCAGAGTTAAAAAACAGCGATTTAACTCTTTTCATCGTCTGGTAAACAATTTCGTCTGACCTACGACCATAATACTCGAACGATACTGTCTCAAGATGGGCTAGAGTGAGAAGAAGGACCGATAGGAATGCAACCGCTCTCACTAATCTTTAGACCTAAAATGAGCTGAGCAGCTTCTGCGCTTGTGCTTCAACCCACTTCAGATTTACAAGTCTCAATCGTTGCAGCGAACGGAGGTAGAAGCTTATTCGTTTCTATCTCTTCTTCGCTTCTTCTTCATATGTCGATTGTTCGATCTTTTTTTTTTTTTTGAAACGCTAGAATAGATGAAATTCCTCGTCCGAATTTTCGCCAGCAGCCAGCTGGTCGACTTTTTGTATCGTCATAGACATGAGCGGAAAGACGTGGGAGACAAGGAATGAGTTTCAACAAGAAAAAGATGAAGAAGAAGCACACTGCGTTCTTCATAACTTTCTTCTTCATCTTCTTCTTCTTCTTCCCTTCTTCCATCATCATCTCCCCAGCTGCCATTGATATATTTTTATCAAGTTTCTGTTTGCGTCTTTTTTTTTGAGTCAGTCTCAGAGGTGTGGAGCTGAAACGTCTTGAAAGTTTATACGAGTAGTTTATCTCTTGTTGCCCATCTATCTATACCTCTTGCTGTCTGTTTCGCATTTTCTCTTTTCCGTTTGATTTCTTCAAGTATTTTTTGCCGGTCACGCGGTTTTCGGGAAGAACGCTGTAATTCTGAGGAACTTAAAGTAATGTTGCTGAAACTGGGGAGAGAATGTCCAAGTAGTTTGAGATATCACTGTTCTTGTTCGTTATCAAAGTAGATCAGCGGTTTGAAGAATCCTCGGCACAAACAACATCATTCAAATGGGGATGAGAATAAGGAAACTAAATTCTTTGAAAATGCTAATTACAGAATTGTCATCTAAGCATAGCAAATGTCTTGTCTCCACAACTGAGACTAGTATTTTGTGGACACAGAAAGCAAAATGAAAAAAAAAAGACTAAAAAATTTTTTTTGTCTAAACGCCTGAATGTCCAAAAAAGGAAGCCAATGCTAATTGCCTGCAACCTTTCCTCTCCGCCAAAGAGAGAGATAGATAGAGAGAGGACACAGTCAAGATGGTTTTGTTTCGAGACGAAAACGGTTTCTATTCAGTTAAGTACGCGAAGCAGAAAAAATCATTTCAATAACGAACAAAATAATTAAAAAGGTAACCAAAGCAGTTTTATGACTACCTAAAATGGAGATTCTTATACGTTTTACGATGCTGAGTAGATAGTAAACTGAAGTCTACATCGCTATATAATCTCCTAATTAGGAGAATCAATTTTGGTGATTGAATAGAAATCGCCACAAAAAGGACAGTATAATTGAAGATTTTTGTGCGACAAGGAAGTAGGAGGAGGCGGCGTTCGTCTCGCATTCACTCAAATGGATTGTAGGGTGATGAAGATGAAAAAACGTACGACAAGATATACTTTTATCATAAAATTCTAGAAACTTTCTATTAAAGCCATAAATAGACAAAGAATCATGAGTTATACGGGTCGTTAAAAACGACACACAATCATTTCATTAATGGTATATAAGTCCTCAACAGAGGTAGCGATTTGACAAAAACAATATTCACACAGACAGACATACCGACACAGGAGACAGACACGATACACACACACACACACACTTACACAAACATATAAATATATTTTATAAAAATTATATAAAAATATTATTTTTTCTGTTAATTTCAATAATCTACCATTGTTGATACTGTTGGTAATTTGGATTCGCTGCTACGGTAGCATTTGCGGTTCCTGTTCCGTTTGAGTCATCCCAAGCGCCTGCAAAAGGATTTGTCTGAGCTCCTGGTCCACCATATACGGGCTGATATCCGGAAGGAGGAGGCGCTGTTGAACCGCCTATAGATCCAGCTCGGTCTGAAAAGCAATCTTGTTAAGATCTTCAAAGAGCAGAAGAAAAGTACGTTTAGCTATTTGATCTGCTGTTGGTAGTGGGGCCAAGCTAATGTGGGGATCTTGTTTAGCAGCTCCATATCCCGAACCTATAAGAGCATTCAATGTATTATAGAAACTGTATGATGATGATAACCTGGCTTGTTTCCCAGTACTGTATTGTTCCAAGGTTCTTCTTCTTCCTTTGGTTCACCCCAATCCTATATGGATCAAAGGTATAAAAAAACATTGCCTTTCTAATAAAACCTGAAGTTCTCCTGACGCATAAATTGCATAGAATGTAACGCCAGTGAAATGAATCAAACTTGCAAGTAAGAATACCTAGAAACATAGACTAATTTTATGAGAAATCAACATTGATTGACCTTAGTCCAGCCATGGGCCCCTTTAGAAGTGAACATTTCTGTTACGAAGGGACAAGTTAATCCGGCCAAAGTTCCAATTCCATTTGAAAGACCCATCAGAATGGCTGCATAACGGGGAGCAATATCCAGGTGGTTCACATTGAAACCTATAAAGTACTTGCTCATACTGTTTCTCTATAAGTGCATCAAAACCGGAGATAGCGAATCCTGAGCATCCGACAGCCAAAATCAGAGCGATCATAGCAGTTGACTCTTTGTGGGTATAAGCGACGATTAGCAGGAAAGCGGCTTCTCCTCCGAATCCTAGATGTAATGGTGATTTGTTGGATTTGAGAAGGTATACTACCTCCACAATTGAAAATTTTACGAACAGCCGTTGTCGACAGAATTTTGTTAGCACGTAGATAATCAGCTAATTGTCCTCCGCACAATACAACAACTCCCATTACAGCATGAGGTAGCGCGGCTAATAACCCGGACTGAAACTCCAATCTTGTTCACAGTTGAGCAAATGAATAAGTTACATGACTGATATTTAGATCTAACACATCTTTCATGTATGTCAATTGATTTTGGAGAAGGAGATAGAATGTCCACGATCTTGCAAAGTTGGCAACGATGATGGCCCAGACAGGTTTCGAAGTAAGTATGGCTTTCCATGGAATCGAGAAGAACTGAAACAAAACAGACGAATAGTGTGAAGTTTGTTGCCTAACATACTGTTGGATGCGAATTGGAGACAGTTCCGATTGAATCTTCGATGAACTTCTTCTCCTCTTGTGTGATAGTAGGATGATAAGCTGGCTTTTCAAAAGTTAACGAGAACCAAAGAACAGTCCAGATAATTCCAGCAACACCTCAAACCGCAGATGTAATTATCAATGGTTCAACTCTTCGTACCATATAAATAGAATGGTGCTCCCCAGCTCACATAGGATACGAGAAAAGCGGAAACAGGCAGTCCAAGTACTGCACCAGCATACGATCCAGTGAAAGCTGTCGTGGCCAATTTACTTCTCTCCATAGGAGGAGCCCAATATCTCCAAACACCATGCATGGATGGATAAGCAACACCCTAAACACGTAGATGAAATGTTGAAAAAAACATTAATCTGACAGTAAATAATCCCTGGAAGATTTGAATAACAGCAACCAAAGTATCATTTTTCGAATTGAAAGCAGCGGGAAGGAAAGTGTTTAACAGAGCTCCCATTCCTATTGCAATACCGAACAATCTGTAATTTCAGTTGGAATGAGAACATTTGAACGAAACTTACTTATTGGGAGCGTATTTAGCTGCCAGAAAACCAGCAGGAAGTTGGGTGACCAAATATCCATAGAAGTATGAACTCTCCATAATTCCAAGCTCTGTTTCAGTCCAATTGAACTCACTTCTCTGTAAAGGAACGAAATAGATGAATGATCAAGTGAATGCGTTTGCTTACATGTTCAACACCCCAAGGATCAGTATAATTACGGAACATATGATTCTTCGCTGCTCCGAAGTTACAGCGAATACCAAAGCTAATCATGAATCCAATATTCGCTAGAATAGCTAACTGCCATCTCTTACGACAACTTGCTAGACATTTAGAATTTTCCACAAGCTAGTGTAACCAGGTAAATTGGAATAGTATATCTTGCAACAAACCTGCAGAATCTTATTTGAATGAACAGCGGAAGAGCTATTCTCATCATAAGAATAGAAGTTTGTTCCATTCTCAGCACTATCTCTGCAACATCCAATAGATATAGACTTGTATAACATGTTAACACTTACACTTCTTGAGAGGTTTTCTTTTCGTCTAAACGAGTCGATCCATTCGTACCCTCTTTTCCAAGAAATCTAAAAAAGAAAGAATAAAGAACGAATGACATCATGATAACTGCAACTTCTTTGTGACTACATTCAAGCTCATTGAGCACTTTGAACATTTCCTTATTTAACAGGTTCCCCGGTTAATATGAGCAAAAGTTTGTTTTTAAACAAAATATTTACAGCTTTGTATATAATGAAAACATATTGGGAGAGAAAGAAGGGGAGGAGAGAGAGAGAGAGGCTAAGAGAGGGAGGGAGAGAGAGAACCAGGAACGAAAACACAAAATAATATTATTTCTTCAAATGATCTTTGTAATAGCCTAATCATTCAAAAGAAAAAATTTTTTCTTTAAAACAACATTTTTTTTTCTAATTTTCAAAATTCAAATTCCACGTGAAAGGCGCGCGCAACCGAAAACTTTTTTTTTCATTTTTCAAGCTGAATGCGCGCAGAGAGGTTGTTTGTTGTTGTGCTACTACAATCAGGTAGAGAGGTCAGATTAGTTTCTGTTCTCATTTGCAAATGATGTTATTGAATGTGCATGGAACTTACTTCGAAATTGGTTGTTTGTACTGGCTGAACTGTTCTTTACCAGTTTCCCAAGCATCGTTGAAAGCTCGCGGCAAATGCTGGGCCATCCTAAGATAGCAACTATTGAGAATAAGAAGAAGCGAATAGTATAACGATTAGAAATCAAGAGTAAGGATGATACATCGGACATGGGAATGAAATATTCTGAGAAATGTAGGTAAAATGACATCAAATTGATTATACATGAATGCATTTGTAATAAGACATTATTTCATAAACAAATGAAGTTGATACGAAGCTAGAGAGATGACTGAAGAGGTCCACACACTCCCATGCACATCGTTAGGATATAGAGAGAGAGAGAAGGAACGAGTAAATCAAATTCAACTTAGCAACTAAGGTGAGTTAAAGGCAAAAGAATAAATTGAGGTAAAAAAGAAGGTGTGAATGGAGAGGCTGAGAAGTAGAAAAGATAGGAATGTGTTGCCAACAGCCGATTAAGTCCATCCACCGAAGAACCACTTAGCTCCGGAAGAAAAGACCGGAAAACTTTTGGTTAGCTGTAAATGAATGGCTGCACAGAAAAGAGAAAGCAAAGTAAAAAGTCAAATGAATTTTTTGAAAATCATCGTTCAAGCTTATATACCTCTACGAACAGAATGTTTGGTCTTTGAGAGAATATTTCGAGCTTGAAAGAAAAGTTGAATGGAGATAGATAATGGAAGCACGCCAGTTCGTTAGCGTAAATCTCTTTATTGTAATTCATATCAATCTGTCATTTATCTTTTGAGCTATTATACTCCAAAGAACAGATGAGGGTAAGTCATATTTGTAGCTTTAAAATACTAGAAAGTAGTTGAAGATAGAAGGCCACATGCACGAGTGTTGAAGGGAGAAGAGGGGGGGGGGATGCAAGATGGCAATATATCAACGAGTTGCCAACGGAATCCTCATCGAATCTAACTGACAGGTAGCTTGCCTTTTGAATATTACATATGAAAAAGAGATAGTTCGTTTATAAATACATACATCCAACGTATGGCTTGTTTAGTTGGGATGAGAAATAATTTTTTTTTCTTTTCAGTGATGGATGCAAACTATGGAAGTGATGCAAACACATGCACACATACACACGATCAGACTAACTGAATGTGTGACATGTTACTCATGATGAGCTTGACATGACTGTCTCGTGCTTGGGCCTTAGGTAAGAGTTCGAGGTTAGTACGTCCGAACAAGGAATTAACGCTTATTGTAGAAACAATAATCGGACAATACATTAATTTTTTATTTCATTTTATGAGATGAAGTGCATGTTTGGAATATCTTTCTTCAGTTCTCTCTCTCTCTCTCTTTCCCTCTCTGTCATCTCATCATCATAAAATATTTCCATAGTAAGTAAGATCGTTAACGGAGGCGGAAAGTAAATTGAGTATGATTATATAGGCTGTTTGATATTGAGTATGAGACGTGGAGACGTGAGGTATGTAAGAGTGGTGTAGAGAGAGAGAGACCTATTAAGAATTATCATAAACTCTCAAGCTGATGATATCTGATGAGCTCATCAGATATCATCAGCCGGAGAGTTCTCAAAATAGTTGAAGAAGATAGAAAATTGAAAGATTATGGTCTGGAAACTCTGAAATGCTGATATGCGACTGCATGGCTTCGTTTTGAAAACGATTAAGAAGGAAAAACGGATTAAGCTTTGGATAATAATTTTAATCAAACAGAAAACTGATTTCTATCTTCATATATAGCAAATGGCTGAAGATAGATTATGTGTAACAGTACGGAAGCAATATGTGTGATGAGAATAGCATTGAACTAACCAGAGCTCACAAGTTCACGTTTAAGCTTTCGTACTCTCTATCTATCTATCTACATCTCTCTCACTCTCTAAGTGCTTTCAAAAGGTAAACTTTTCAGAGTTCAATCCACTATGCTTCAATTAGACTAAAAGAATTTTCAATAATGACGTCAAGTGGTAGAACGATAGATAATGAACTCAGGTGAAATGTGGGTTTCATTGATTTGCGAATAATGAAAAGCTGGGATGAGTTCGTTTTGAACATTGTCAAAGCCAAAAGATGGAACTAAAATTATTTTTCAGAATCTCATACATACCAAAAAAGCAAAGAAGACAACGGAAAGACTTGAATACATAAATGTGTGCGAGATGAAGCCTTTCTTTAAGCTTGCAACTAACTTTCCATAGATGCTAAGTAAGTTTTTGAGATTATTCTTTCCCTTCCTACTCTACCTCTTTATCTCTCTTTCTCTTTCCGTCTCTCCCTCTATCTCTCTCTCTCTCTCTCTATCTTTCTCTCTCTGTATCTCCTTCTCTCTGTATGAACGTGATGAAAATAGAAAAGAAGGTAAAACTATGCTTTTAGAGAAATAAGCATTTCTTCAAGAGAAATAGTAAAACAGCAGTTGATGACTGATGTATTGCCTTTTATATGAAGGAAGGAGAAAAAAAAAAGAACTTTTGCCTCACGTTAGGGTTTGTCTTTCATTCCATTTATGAACAAATAGCTTTCTAGCACGGTGACACCCCACTCTCCCCCCCCCTCCCCCCTTCAGTTTAATAGCAACATGGCCCGTTTAAGTTAATGGAAAAACATGTAAAGAGACATGCTTCGAACTATTAAAAAAAAAGATTGAAAAACAGCAGTCAAATGAGAGAAAACGGAAGAAGATTAACTGATTTCAAATTTAGCAACCGTCCATAACGACATCTGTTGAGCTAAATGACGTTCACGTGTAATCACGTAAGGCATCACGTACCCTTTATACTGAAGAGCGCATATGCATACGAGATTGATAGAGAGAGAGAGAGGGTGAGAGAGTAGCAGAAAATGAAAATTTGTTTCGAAACAGCAATCTATGATTTCATACATAATGAATATAAAATAAGATTTAACGTGTTAATCAAGTATACTACCGCAGGTGTGTGTGTTCATAATCATATTCGTTCTATCAAATTATAGAATTGGTGGAATGAACGCGTACATGACATGGTCAATCGTCGAATAGAATGAGAAGGAGGCTTTCTCGATTCTTTTCGATTATCAGAATATTCCTTGTTCGAGGAATAATCAACATAACAGATGTTAAACAACACCTTCACTTTAATTATTCAATTGTGAACATATGTAATTGAATGATAACGTTCTTTGAAGTTGTATTGCAACTGTATCAAGACAAGTCTTCGATCTGAGCTACGAGCAACGAGCTACTTCTGAATAATGAAACTTGTGTCTTGATCTCAGTTCTTTCTTAACAATCGAATGACTTTACCATAAGTTTCACTTGTCTCTCCTCATTATTACTTATGAGTTTAGTTTCTCTGACACACTCTTCTTGTATATCATGTAGTCTATCACTCTCTCACTATCTCTATCGCTCTTGCTCTACCTCATGCTCGTCAATCAGACAACACATACACAGTGACTCCATCATTGTGCTTTGTTGCATTTGAGTGGAAAAGAAGAAAAAAATAAGATTTATTCTTATTCAGAATAAAAATATATTAATGTTGAATAGCTATTCTTTTGTTTTTCACTCAAAAATCTAATAATTTGATGATCAAGAGAGAGAGAGAGAGAGTGTTGGAGAGAGAGAGAGAGAGAGGAAGAACTTCAGACGTTTGAAATGGTATGAAGAGAGTAGAGGATGAAATATGTAATTTCATATCTTTTCCAATGACAGGAAGACTAACATTTTCAGAAGGAAATCATCATATTTCTTTTGTAATTTACGAAATAAAAAAAAGAGGTTTTTGGATATTGAAATTCATAAAATTAAGCTGAAAAAAGCCATAAATGGCTCATCTTAGAGCTCGAGAGAACGCGCACAAGACGGCAAAGGAAGACGAACGAGATTGTGCTGGAAATAGATAGAGAGAGACAAGGAACTGTAACTGACTCGCAGAGAATATATCCACCTGTTAGTAAATATGAGGAAACGATAGAGAGTCTGAAGAATGTGAGAGAGGGTAGAGAAAGAGAGAGAGAGAGGGGGAGAGAAAGTGTTAAAAAATGTTTTCAGAGGGAGATGCCAAATCTGCTTGATATTAAGAATTGCACAGCAGATACAGCACATACGCGGTGACGAAACGAACCTCCTCTTCTGCTTTCAGTGTTAGGAGAATTTAAAAAAACAGAAAGAAAGTTTAATTTGCACACACACAAAAATACATTACAAAATCGAAAAAAAAACTGTTAATTCTGCTTTCCAAGCATTTTATGATGTTTAGCATGAGAGAGAGAGAGAGAGAGAGAGAGAGAGAGAGAGATAGGAAGGGAGATAGAAGAGGTGGTGGTTCGTAAGGGAAGGGGGGAGATGGAATGAGCAGAAGCTGACGGAGTTACAAGAAGAGAAAATATCTTTTCAATCCTGGACAAGCGAATGTCACAAAATTTGTTTGAATTCATTTCAAATAGCTCTCTTAGAGTTGTCATTTACCATTTTACCTGTTATTTATAGCTTTTGAGAGAGAGAGAGAGGGGGAAGAGGGATAGAGAGGAAGGGTAAGAGAGAGAGAGAGATGGGGTGGGACAGTTGAAGGAGAGCATCTAGGATGAGATGTCATCAAAATAATAAAAAAAGAGAATGATTTGCATAAAAAAGGGGAGGAGAGGGGGGGGGGAATATGTATCTGACAACACAGAGTGAACTTCTCTACAACCAAATTGCATATATAAATATACAAAAATGGATTAAATCTATTATTTATAATCCGGAAATTAGATTGAATAGCAAAATTACTTCACATAATCTCGATATATGCGATTATATAAAAGCTTATGTGATATGCTGCTGCTGCCGCTCTTATGAGAGGAGGAAAAAGCCTCATTTGAGAGCATTTCACTTGTGAAACTTTTAGAACAACATTGCTGCTGCTGCTTCTATCTGCCAGCTAAATACGGAAAAAAAAATAAATCTCAACACATGTGTGCTAACTCTCTCTATTGTTTAAGTACGTTTTCTTCTAAACATAGTCTCCTCCCCCTCCTCTTCCTGTTGCCTTTACCTTCCTTTTATCCTCAGCTTCAACCTCTTCTCCTTTCCTCTCTCTCTCTTTCTCTCTTCTTTTCTTCACCACCACCCCTCTCTCTCTATCTTACTCTCTATTTCTTTCACCCTCTTTTTATATTTCTGTCAATGAATAAAGAGAGACAGCAATTGCAGACGATTAGTCAAACTTTGTGAGTTAGTAGACATACGTCAGGATGCTTTAAGCGCCAAATAAGGGAAGTCACAAATTACGAAAAATCGTCAGACAAGCTGTTGCTATTAAGAATCATTGAGACAAATCGAAAGGCTTGAATCAAAATAGCAAAATCAAGGATATTCTGAAATCGACATGAAAGTAACTTGCAACAAGTCAACAGAGGTGTCTCGCAATACATAAGGAAGTTTTTCTTTTCCGTCGAATATCGTGAAGGCGAATAATAAGAGGTCAAACTATTTCATGGATATTTACTAAGAAATGTCATATTCTAGAGTTTGGAGCCAAACTAATATTGCATTTGAGAGGAAGAGGAAGAGATCTCTATCCGCTGATGATCATGACGGTGGTCAGTGCAAAAAGGTAACTGGCCTGACCATTACGTCATGTGTCATCATTGTATTACCGCAATACCACTCAGTTCAACTTACATATGTATTTTTGATAAAAAGTTGGATGCAAGGGGAAGAGGAAGGAGAGAGAGAGAAGAGAGAGAGAGAGAGAGAGAGAGGGATGTTCGGGAGGAAGCAAAAACAAAATCTCTAAACAAACAGTATTTACTAATTAAAAAAGTGAAAGAAAAGCAGAAATCATTAGAGATTGTACATTTTGAATGAGCTAACTGGAAGACATACTCTGCATACAACAGATTCAAGAAGAATGAGAACATAAAAATGCGAGCTTCTATCTATCTATATAAGAGACGTCATCTAAATTATTATGAAAACCATGGAGTAGATGAAGAAGAAGAAGAAGGAGAAGAAGAATAAGAAAGCAAGAAATAGGGAGATGCTGATAGGATATTGGGATTAGAGTCTTGAAAGCATTGATGCATTGCTAAGAAGATGTGTAAGAGAAATGAAAAGTAAGAGGGACAAGGATATGGATATGAAAACTTCAAAAAGGCATAAGAGAAAGATTCAAGTATGAAAAGTAGGTTCTCCATAATGCTCTCAGAGAACGAAACATCACTACTCTCAAGCTGCACCAACTAATTTCTCCAAATAAAAAACTTGTGCAGAATTGAATGAGGAAACATCATCTCAAAACACAGAGCTTATGTCAAATTTCAGTCTTTTTTTTTTCATTTCATTGAGCATAAGAAATATTCAATTAGAAATTTCTGTTGTTTCCTTTTGGTAACTCAAAATATTGTTTTCAATATGAATACAATATGAAAACAAGCCTGGTGCAGAGACTTAAGGGGAAACACCTGAATGTATAAGAGAATTTTCAAAAGCTCTAAGTGCCAAATGCTATTGTTATCTAATCCATTTCACAGAGCAATAAAAAAAACTTTTTTTTCTCTTTTTCTTTCTCATTTGACATTTTTTTTCATTTCACTTGCAGTTTTGTGCGGCCATCAGGATGACATTAGAAATCCTTGTTACGCGCATAAGCTCATTTGCTGCCTATAAAAGGGCTATAACATATTGTAAACCGCAAAGAGACAATATATGGCAAGTAGGAAGTTAGAAATTAGGAATTCCTGATACATGAAAACAGCACAAAAAAAAAGAAAATGTTATTATTATTAAGCAACAGAAATGAATTATCAGCGATGCACATATCCAAATTAATATGCTAATGTCGAAGCTCACGTGGCATCGTCGTCGTCGTCGAAAATTCATTTAAATCTCATCCGATGCGCATATCGGTTGCATTCCGCATTCAGGGTAACGAAAAAAAACGAAACAAATCATAATATTTAGTAAATTATATACAAATATCGATCAGATCTTATGATCTGCCAGCGTTCAATAATCGGTTACGGTATTACTACGAAATGAATTTCACTAATTTTCATTGAGTCATCTAATTTTATATTGTGTGAGACTGATCACAAGAAAAGACAACTCATTATTTTTATGGAAAATTTTACAAACGTTTTAAAAAAGTGTTAAGTGTTACGATCTACACCCGAACATGTATAGAAGCCTCGAGAATGAGGTTGTGATTTGCTACTGATTAAATGAAATTATTAACCTATATTTAGGATGATCTTTCATCTCGGATAGATGAAAGTGTGGCGAGTAGCGATGGCTCAAAGTTTAGTCGTTTCAATAAAAAAGTTTGTTCTTCTATTAAATCTTACTTAATTGAATTTCAGTTATTCTCGGCAGCTACTCGCTTACTCACTTCTCTTCTGTCATGTTATCCTAGAAGTAAAGAGAGAGAGCCATCACCTACCATTAAAGAAAAGCAATTAAGGCAAGTGCTTTTCATTTTTTATGAGATTTAAATCCCTCTTTTTCAGCCTCGAAGATTTGCCTAATGAGATCATTCTACTTATAATTTCCAAATGTGATTTTTCTTCAAAAATGAATATGCGCGCTGTAAAAATGAATAGGTTCTTCAGCCATCTGCATGTCCCTTTTAGGTGAACAGACGGTTTCAACACATTGTGGATGATTATGCTCATTATCTTGTTCGCCGGAATCTTATTGGAGGAATAGAAATTCGCGATGTTTCTCCAAACTCTTTCGAAGGTACGGCTTGTGTGTGTGTGTGTATTCTTGTTGATTTGTCCATTAATTTTGGCAGATGCTTCGTCGACACTGACAAATGCGGAAAATGTGAGTCTGACTCTTCGACGTCCATTAAAACGAATCGAACTTCTGCTTCCGGCAGCGAGGCTGAAGAACATTATGCGGTATAAGTCATTTATGTTTTTTCTCATCTGAACTTCCTTTGCAGCCATGTTTGTGTATGTCATTCTCTCAATTTAAGGGGAGTTTATCTAGATGAAATATTGGCATCCGGTATTTTGAACGCTTCTTTCCGTGCCATCAGTGATGTCATTGTCGATCGCGTACATTCCGTTACAGCTGATACATTGACGAAACTTATTAGAAAAGTACATGAAAACATTGAAAACGATCGAAAAATATTATTTCTAGGCTTATCCCACAAATCTACTTTTAATTCAAAATCACACTTCAGCTGAATCAACAGATGTAATAGTGCCTGAACTACTTAATGCTTGTCCTGCTCGTGAGATTAATATTGCTTCAAGTATTTCAATGGTTTATTGCCAAACAGTTCCGTTCAAAAAAAAGTCATAATAAGCTTCAGATCCATTCGTCTTTTGATGATTGTTCTCTGGTTAGGTTAGTGCTATCGGACGTTGTCGTTCGCCGGGTCATACGACTACCCTTATGTGCCATAACTCATCATGGCATCAAACGAGCTGCTGTGGTATTTAAACTTTCTGTTTGTTTTTTCTTCATGTTTTGTAGGAATTTTATAAAAGGTGTTGTGAGTTGATAGGAGAAACCACGGACGATATGCACTCACCTGTGTGGGAAGTAAGCTTCAGTTCAATGAGATCGTCTGATTCATCTAAATGCTTTAGGTTTCCGTCTCTCTACCTCGTTCTTCGCTCATAGATCGAAATCAAATTAACATACCGGAAGACATGAAAGAACAATGCACTATATGGGGATATCTTCCTCCGCACCGAGATAGTTTTACTGTAGAGGTACGTGAGCTAGTGCAACTTCCGGTTAGTATCCGTCATCTCCTTACTAGGTCAGAGTTGAGCTTATGAATTTGCGAATTTTGGTGGAAACGAAAGCTTAAGACGAGAAAGTTCTCAAAGGTTTTTTCTTCAATTTTAAATGTTTTCAATCCCATTGTTCCAATTGTATATTGTCTACTCTATCCTCTTCTCTTCGTTGTAAAGTTTGAATGCACCGATATGCCAAGCATTCATTCCTAGTCTGGTGTGGTCAGCTTACCCACATTTTTCCTGTGATAGTCTAATAATTGAAAGTTTTATCAAGTGAACTTTAGTCTTTAACTTGTGTTTCTTTTCTAATTTTTATTTGAGTATGAAACGTTTTTCGCAATGAACATCTTCTTAAACCGCCGTATTATAGGGATAGCCAGATCGGTTATTGAATTGAGGATCTGGGGCTTTTCCATCTTGATTTGAGGCCGGCAGAAAAGCAGCCAGCTGAAACTTCTTTGTTTTCTTTTTATTTCGGCATATCAAATACCTGTTGTCGTTTGAGTGCTTCGTGAGACTGTGTGCCCGGCTGAGCTACTGCTCCACCCTGGATCGATAACCGTAATTGGGATGATAAGGCTTGTTTCAAGTTTTTCTGTAATAGTTTTTGTTGCTTTATTTCAATTCAGAGCCGTTTCATTACCGCGAAGTTGCCAACCAGAGAGTTCGTATTCGCCTTCCGCGCTTCAATTCTGGAACGATAAAGGAACTCTCCCAGTGCTGCAATCATGGATGCTATCATTCCTCCCATCAAAATATAGAATATTCCGGCTACTTTTGAAAGATTCAACGATGAAGACGATCCATCCTGTAATGAGCCAAATGGTGATTATAACTTTCATATTTCAAACCACTGTCATCCCAGAACCACATTCTCCCCTGTCATACCACCACTTATTCTCGAGCTTTTTCAGTTCTCCTCTCTCTTGTAGAGCCAATATGGCCAGATTTATATGATCCTTCCAATCAGATCCAAACGGTGTCGCCACACCATATCCTATGCTGTTCAAGTTTGCTCCTTAAAAAAGACAGATTTTCATGTGTAGAGGTAAGTTTCACTAACCAACTTTCATGGTATCACAAGGTTTTCGTGTATTTTCATATTCGTTTGCAGTGGCTTCAAGCAGAAATGCATATCGGCCTTTGTGTGTTCGAACCCTATCTATTCCTTCGGCATACGATGAGACAAATACAGAAGGCACCTGCGACTCCATATAGCGCCACATTCGTTGATAAATTTGAACAGAAGAGTACTTAAGATGATTTGATTTGTTTTTGTTTTGAATGATTTTATTCATGAAATACCTTAAAGAAGGAAGCCGTTGAACCTCCTCCTTGAATTCCGTATTTGATTTTTGTCTGTTTCGCTAAGTCTTCTACGCTTTCTATGGGTGCTTGCATTTTCTCTAAGGTTAAGAAGGCAGCTAAGTTGGCAGTATATGATGAGACTATGATCATTGTGAAAAACCACCAAGCTGATGAAGCTATACGTCCCGAGATTGAGCTGAAAAACGTTTTCATTGATTGTATGTAGCTTGCATTACCGAGGTAATATATCAGTTCCCTGCTGCATGAAAGCCGCTAATGTAAACCACAAACAGTTATATACGGAAAAGTCGTTGGATATCGTAAATCCTCCCCGAGCAGTCTCCTCAACTCTCCATTCATATGGAGAGAAACGAGATACTAAGAAAATCACAACAGAAACCTGAAGAAGGTTAAGCTTGTGTCGTTGTATATGATCTACTTACTCCTATATAAGCAAATATAATGTACATCCAAATTTCAGTACTTAGAGGTTGCATGAAGGAGAACACTGAGAATTCCTGATTTTCGGGCTTCTTAATCATGATTGAGATGCCTGTTGTCATGAATGGTTTGGAAAAATCAACAACACGCTCTCTTTCCTGAAACACTTGTTCCCTGTGTCTCCTTGCTCTGCGAGTTTACCTGATTGATGGTTAATGAGGACACTGCCATATCTGCTCTGCCGCTTAACAGATCTCCAACCATACCATCCCAACTTCCGTCAGGCTTCTTTGATCCTGTTTTTGTTTGAAGGTACACTTCAAAGTTGAATCCCTCAATGCGTTCAGATAACAGTTTGAGCAGATCAATGCAATATCCTTCGAATTGGTTATTTCCTTGACATTCGGTTCGATTCGAGCCATCTGTACAACCTTTTTTGTTCATGACGAACGGCGCTACCTTAATATTTGGGATTATGCTTTCTAAGCACACATTGTGTTGATTACCAAGACTGTAACTACTCGGACGTTCTTCCTAGTTCTATTTTCAATTGTTTTTCTAGTGTGTTGAGCTATTGTTCGATTAGCAAAGAAGCCTTCGCCTTGCCGCCATGCCATCACCTATGAGCAACGTTCTTATTGCGTCCGTGAACATGTTATCAAACCTCTTTACTATTAAAAGTAGCCTTAGTGTTTGAAACTAAATCAATCACGTTAACATCGTAGCGCTTCCTTTGACCATTTTGATCAAATTCTATGTTTCCCGTAAGAGTTCCATCTTTGATATCTATTCGAAGCTGGAAAAATAATTTTTAGTTCGCAGTGATGGGGCATGCAACCGCTTCATTGCTTGCATCATTCAAAAATGACACTCAACTGTCTGGCTGACGTCAGAGTGCTTTCAAAGATTTTATTCATTTTTGCGATGTTTCTTACTGTGGTTGTTTAGGAAAACAGTTTATTGCATTCAACCTACCCCTCTCATAGTCTTGGTAACTGTTCGACCGTGTTCGAAGGAAGCAAATGGACGATTTGGATGAGCTTTGTCCGATAGAGGATCACAGAAAATACCTGAAATAGTTGTACCGATGTGATTTTCTCTTCAGCTCACCGGGGTATCCTCTGTTGAAGAATCGTCCATGTCTGAAAGTACCATGGAAGAGAGAATCATTACCAGCTAAAGTTTTCTTGAAACCATGCCAGGCAACTAAAACGGCATCGTGTGCCAGAGCAGCTCGGGACTGAAACATTTTTGTTTTTCAATTTCACTCGAGTTGAGAATTACATCAACGTCGTCGTAGTTCTTCAACGGACTCCATTCGGTCTTCTTCAAATGTTTTTTGAGATTCCAGTACCCACGACACTCTTTGTTAATGATTTGGAATCCGCTCATGTTTATATTCCCGTTCGCGAACATTTCCACATCGTATGGAAGAAAGTCCTGAAAGGGGGTAAATCGAATTTCAAAGTAGCATGTCTCGGCGACTTACAAAGTTAACAATCACATAATGATAATTAGCCTGACTGAACTGAGCTCCGCGAATGGCCGCGAGAAGCTTCTGTTGTCGTGTGGTGGAAGTTGTGTCGATGAGTATTCTATAGATAACATAGAGATATGATTATCGTTATCGCTAACCTGTTGGTATAATTAGCTCGTCGAATATTAAATTTTCGCAGAAATTCCTCAAATTTTGATTCTTCTCTCGGCATTTCGAGCAATTGTGCGCTGATTGACGTATTCGTCTTCGTATGCAGATGATGCCAAAGCCATGGTGGTGAGAGACCCGCTTGAATATTCAATCGGTCAGTTAGCATTCATAATATTTGTATTGATTAAATCAACATTTCCAGAAACTTTTTGAAGTAAACAAACTCACAATTTTCACCATCTCCTAATAGAATTACCTCTGTCCATTGCTTAAGAATTATAAAGTCTGCTAACACCTCTGCTGGAGAAGGCCTCACATTCAACTCGAAACTGAAATGAAGAAGGATGATGTATGTTGAATAGGAATATTACTCACAAGTTGATAGGCTCTGAAGGAAAAGTTGGTGAATCTACCGAAATGAGAGGAAGTTCTAGAATATCCGCCAGTCCTCTCAGTGATTCATGACCTTTACCACTTTCTACACTCACAATAGCCATGCCCCCTTCTTTCAAATCTTGACAAACTGAAAAACAATACTGTCTATCAGTCTTCATTAACGTCTTACCGGCATCTGTTATATGCCAAGACTCAGATGAACCCGGATCTACATCGCGATTTTGAAAAGAAAGTCTGAAAAAGCTTTCGAAAAAGTTTCAAGCTGTTCTTCACCTAAATGGAGCATCTTCTCGAGAGTTGATTTCGTCCACTGCGTATCGCAGGGTCTTAGAAGCAGTGCTCGTTTCCGGCGAAATGCAAGTAACAGATTCTGAATGATGATACTGATAAACCGTTTACAAAGATTACGAATACCTAAAAGTATTTTTGAAGGATAAGGCCAAGTTACTTGAAAAAGAGCCGATAGCAGATATGTAACAGTAAGCATGAAGGTTCGACTGCTAAATAACATCTTGGACGGAAAGGGGCAAAATGCCCGAAAGCTGTCCTTCACAGAAAAAACGAGGATAGGAAATCGAATAGACCCTTATTTCAAGGAAATACTCTTCTCTACAGATTGAGCACGAAATTCGAGCATAGGTTCCACATAATTTGTCTCCGTGAGAAAGCTGTAAATAAAATTTCAGGAATACGGCAGTTGATCCAAGAAAGAAAAATAAAGTTACAAGAACAAGTGAATGACGAATGTTATAGTAAGTTGAGAGATTATCTTCTTGTTCGGGTTTTTAGCATTACAATACTTCGTTTCTTGACTACGACTTAACAATGAACGAATACGAAGACACTGATGGTCTGGTGAAACTAGACTCGAAGGAATGGTCAGCAACAAATTTTCAAAATGAATGCTTGAACTAACGACGAAAGTACTAAATTCAAGAAGAGGTGATGAGTATAGCACATATGAAGAATATAATTTGATGTATACCCGTAGAAGGACTTCCTAGTCGAAGAGGATGCAGAGAAAAGAGGCGGCAAATTGACTTAAGCAGAAGTACGGAATGTGGCTCGTGGCCGTCGCTCTGGCTGCATCTTCTTCTTCTCTTGCGCTTTTCACGGACAATCAGCTTTCTCTTCCTTTCTATCTCTTGTTCTCTCATCGCTTCTCTCTCGATTTGCTTTCTTCTAACCACTACTTCAAGCACCAAAATGAGAAAGGTCCACGAAATTGGTTGAGGCGTACCGCCAACCAATTATGGAAGAAAGCCGAACAAGTCTGTCTGCTAACTACTATATCGAGAATGCAGTCAACAGACATCAGGTTGATCGGACCTGACAGTGAGTTTAATGATAGGATTAGTTGACTAATGATGTTTTCAAGAAAGTCAGTAATCCTCTCATGGATATAGTCAACGTCATTCTATAAGTTCTCTTCTCTCATGAGCATATGAGAAAGAGCTGTATTAGAACATGAGATCTCTTTGAATTGAACGCTTGCTTAGGCAGAACACGACAACTATCTTTGTTATTCAGCAACCTTAGCGTGAGCCATTGGGAACTATTTGGAATAACCGGATTATCCGGAAAGTTGAGCTTGCTTCATGGTTTCTCTATCAATGTATTGTATTAATTGTGGAGCTGACTTTGGTTAGCTGACTAACATGACATCCATGTTATAAGTTAAATGCTTGGAATGAATTCGAATTGTAAAGTTTTCCTTCCTATAGGATGATTTTCATTCTCATCACTCATTGTCGATTAGAACATACATCAAGTTCACTACATGGTTTTCATTAGAAATTCAAAACGCGCACGGTTTTGTGTACAAGATGACTGCAGAAGCTGCATGAAAATGAATAAACAGTTTTTATGCTTGTGATTGGTTCCTGTTAACGAATGACGAAGGTTGAGCAAGAAGTTTATGTACTTGTACAACAATGAACAACATGAGCATTTTATGAAAGATATTGAGCTTATGAGCAAGAGCAGATATAGAACATGAGATCTCTGTGAGGTAAAATATATACAATCTTTTGATTTTGCAAAAATCTATTATAACTTTATTATTTTGCAACCTTTGTAAGGTTAAAGCCGCAAGAGGACTCGACTGTAAGGATGAAAGGACCTTCTTGACCACTCTGTAAATGAAGTTAGTATAGTTGTTATGATGTTTGAATTACCAAGAAAGTAGTTACTCTTATGCTATACACTCCTGCAGGTACTTTACTCAAACTCAAGAATGTATAACCAGGTCTGTAAAAATTCAATAAACTCATAGGATCATCAAGAAAAGGAAACCTATAGCTGCCTGAATCCTGTTTCTCAAACGGCTTCGACCGAGCCGATGATTCCTGTAGCACTTGGAAGCCAACGCTGTACTTTTTGGGACCTTTAAGAATAATTGAAATTGAGTTTTCATCACTGAGTTCTTCCAAAGAAATACGGAACATTGGATTATTTCTGCAAAGATGAGAGATAAAGTTAGTTCAGAGGGCTTATCGTACTTGTAGTTTTCCATGTTTCCACTGTTACCACAACCTCCAGCTGTAATTCCTTCCCATTTACCTGTTATCTGAAAAAGAAGCTCAGAGTAGGATACATTTAGTAAGCTTTACCGTTTTCTTATGTTTGAGTGAACGCATGGGATTCAAGTTGAACCTGGTGGAAGAATAAACTCTCAAGGAATAGTTTATTGTGTTCATCTTTTCATACTGGAAGGAATAGTTCTGTTAGCGATAGAACAGGGTGTGTATACCTGTGCTACAACAAGAGTGTACTTCTGAATTCCTGGCTCATCCACTATCATCTGGCAGAGATAGTGAGGACTATTTATTTTTAATCCTACATTCAAAGGCTTGGGGTCAACTGCAGAACAGAATTGGATTAGTTTCTCAGGTCAGATATCACAACTTACATGGTAAATAGACTTTCTTTCCAGACTTATAAACCATTACCGTGATATATTCCTTATTATCTGCGAAGTCACTCTGGAAAGTCAGGTATAGGAATGATGGAGAGACAGAGGTGGACTAACGATTTCTGTGATGTGACGAGTGAGAAGAATCCACACAGCAGATTTCCCTGAATTATGCACTTCTAATGTATATTGAGGATTGTCGGCTACAGAGTATAAGTCTTTTATCGGACCAGAACAAGCATGCCATGAGCTGAAATTTCTCCATATATGGATGAGGTTTATGGTAAGCTTACGAATGATAGGCGCTCGTGAATGGAAAGAGGTTGGGGTTCCAGTTGACATAAAAAACGTCAAAGAATTTGCAAACAGAGGCCAATTCAATCCAGAACACACCTGGAAGCAGGGATTGAGAGGAGAAGTGTAGATGCAAACCAACCATCGTCTTTCTCTTTGGCCTTGTTTGGATCATAATCGAGAGCTTTTCTCAGAGAAGGGGTCCAACTAGCCAAATCGTTTTCGGAAAACTTGCCTTTCCAGCGAAGATGTGTCCAAGGATTCTTGACCATGAGCAGTTTGTGACCCTGTACAATGAGAAATGTAACCAGTAGTAGTATTCCATGCTCTACCTCAACTTTTCTCAAATCCAACACAGCATACGCATGGCAGTCAACTAATCCTGCTCTTTCGCAGATACTGTCATCTAACTTCCCAGTTGCCAATGTCACCAAACAATCTCCGGCATGGAACCGTGAGAGTAACTTATCAAAAACCTAATTTCTCATTATTAGTAAAAGAAAATTATTGATCCATACTTTATCCGGATCAAACTTAGTTTCTGGATCAGATGATATGGAAATCCTTTCTGGAATCCAGCCCGTCAAGGCGTGAAGATCGATGTTCTGTAAAAGAATAAGAATCGTTTGAGCATCAGTGTTAGAATGTTACTGAATTAGAACCAGGAAAGTCATATCCTCCCATTACTTTCATATAGGCTTTTTCCAAAATTGAAACCCACAGTTCGCCAGGAAGTTGACTGTGAGAGCATAGAAGTCTCCTGTTTTCTCCGACTGGTAAATAATCATCGATTATCACCTGATTTTAGAATGCATACAAGTGGATTCGATAGCTCGACAAACCTTTCTCCAAACTCCATTTATATGGAACTTGATCATATACTTTCCGTGTGAGTTATATACAGGAACTCCTTTTTTGTTTTGAGGATAAATAATACTAAACGTGGCATTACTACAGAGGGTACTGATTACAAGCAAACCTCGTCACTATTTGCTTTCCAAATCGTTTTTCATAACGAGCAGCTACGGCAAGAGAAGATACGAAAGAGCAATCGGAAACGGCGGTCTAATTGGAATTACCAGACCATTCAGAAAGTTAAGATGAACCTGCTTGATTGTTCCACTATCAATGCATTGTATTAATTTCGGTTCTGGCATGATTTCTGATGGTCTCATCCATCCTTTCAGTTGTGCTTTCTGTTTTTCTGCCAAATGTAGTTTCCCGTCTTTATCACTATTGTTTTCTAGTTAAGTTGCTCGAAAGAAGACCAGAAGCGTTACCTGAATGTCAAAGTGAAAGAGAAGTTCTCTCTCAAGTCTTGCGGTAGGAATGGTACATATTGTTTGCCGTTAATATACGATGTTGTAGCCAGAACCGCTAGCTCTTCCTTTGTCAGTCCAGCACCCTGATTTTGATATTCAGAAGGATTTCTTGGATGGGTTACCTGAGGTGTCGAAGGAGCACTTGCCGGTTTGTGAGGAGTTGGAGGTGTTACCGGGCTGACACTCGCACTATTGATGGAAAAATTATCAAATTCTGTATAAGTAAAGTGAGAAATGGAGGGAAACGACAAAAACCATTAGTCGGAACATCCGGAAGTGCTAACAGTTCGATTTCCTTTTCTTTTACGAGTCGGCTAAGAATTTCCATTCGCTCAAGCGCAGATCCGATTATTTTCAAAATCTGGGCCCGTTTGTTTCCATCAGAACAAGTGTGACACTTCAAATAATCCGAATGCATTATAGAAACGATCAAAAACGAACGGCATCTTTGAAGATTTTTACAGCAGCATCATATTCGTCTAAGGCTAGTGCATGATGATCATCGCAGTCTAAGTCCTGAGCTTTAATCATTCTGAATTCAGCTTTTTCGAACATCAATTGGTTATGAGATTTCGTTGTCTGAATGTTTATTGGTGTTGATGATGGTGGGGAAATGCAAAATACTTTTGCCAATTCCAGTAGGCGTGGTAACTCTCTCTTTAAATACTCAGCTCGATTTATATATTCCTCAGCACTCTTCCGGAGGATGGGTAGACACTTAATGAATCAATTGATATTGGAAATCCTATGCAAACTGTAACTTTTTTTTCGTTTAGTAATCGAAGTAGTTTATTGGCTGCGTCTACATAGAAGTAAATGGCTTCTTCATATCTCCTACCATGATCATAAGCTGTAGCTTTCTGAGCAATTTTCATAACCTTTTCTGTGGCAGCATCATCCGTCGGCATTCTGAATAATAGAAGACGTTTGTGAGTTGAAAAATCAATTCAAGGGGTGTTGTGTGAGCTTTTGATATGAAAATGAACGACACTCATGTTGACATTGATTGAACAGTTGAAAAATGATCAAAAACGTCAGCATATGTTATCGACGTTTTCTTAGGCATTATAGAGAGAATTGAAGTTCCTTCAATCAGAATCACAACAAGCGAATTACTAAGTTTTGTATTATTAAATGCATTAGAGGTGATATGAGAATGGGAACACGTGAGCATTCAGTTCTAAACGAGAGGAAATTGTGCATTTGGATGGTAAAAGGTAATGATGCTATGGTTGAGTACTAAATGTCTTGTTGTACTATACTTCTAACGAATGAATTTTTATATAATTTACCTTTTATACAGTTAGTCGTTGGTTGTGATGTTTACAAGGGGCGGAGCAAGTAAGAAAACGAAACCAACCATGAGCTATTTTCTTAACCTTATATGAAGCTTCACCATTCAATTTGAGTTATAACATATGTTCATATTGAGAACGAACTTAATTTATGACGGTACTTGTACAATGAATAGTTATTGATTTTTTGTGTTTCAAAAATTTTTCAAAAAATTAGCATAGACTGTGTGGCGTTGCTTTTCTTTGCTCATTTGAACTTCTGTTATTGCACGGAGCGGTTGCTTATGTGCGGTTCTTATTCTATTTTTATTTTAAAGAGTTTGCTGGAAGATCAATCGGCTCTCCTCGCATCATCCCATGCTATTTGGGTATTCCATTGGACTTCTCCTGCTGATAAACGGAGTCTCTTCAAATGACTCATATGAGGAAGAATTAGCAATATCACGATTACCAAATCAACATGTTTTAACACAGTTCCGTTTTAAAATAGTAAGTAATCAGAGTAATCTAGGTGAATTCATCTTACAGTCATGATTCTTATAGTTTCGTTATAGGCCATGATTTTCTATTGTTCCCTCGTATAATAGCTGAGTTAGTCAAAGCTCATTCCGTCGAGGAATTGTATGTTTCGCTTGGTCAAGGGCGATGGCTTGCTGACATGTGGGGTTTACCTCCTCAACCAAGCTCTCCTACAGGCATACATGTTCATGCATACATTCAAGGGAACACAACGAAGTAGGATTATAATTCAAACATAACTATCTACGTAAATAACTGCAGAACCGATGCAGAATGGGTAAAGCTAACAAACGCGCTCAATGGCTTCTTCTGTACATCATTCACTAATGTTGTTCCATTATCAACATCCTCGCCAACGTTCACGTTAAAGCCTGAAGGTGTTATCCATCCAGAAAGTCAGTTACGGTATGTATCATTGGCTAAAGAATCGTTATGCACTGAAAACTTAACACCTTGGCGAACTCTTTTACCCTGCAAACAAGTAAGATACATTCATCAAAATTCTCGAAACATCAAAAAGCTTTTCGTAGAATGGATTGGCAACTTTGTTTACACCTATCAAGTTATATTCTTCATTATACCACTCTCTTTATTTTCAAGTGAAGAAGTCATGTTATGTGAGTTTGTGCTCGACTGATTATTTCTCATCCCACTATTCAGAAAGGGTCATGCTCGTGGGTATTAAACATGGGACTTAACATGGTGACTGATAAAGATCTCAAACATGGGAAGTTAGGTAATACGAGCTTACTTGGATATTTTTGAATTGTTTTTTTTTGAGATTGGGAACTTATGGGCTTGACGGGTAGAAAAGTTACGGGATTCTGTCGAGCAGCATCATCAAGTAAAATACTAGTACATGTTGACCGTCCGGTTAGTTTGATAATCACATTTCAAATATGTTTTGAACATTGAAGAATCAAGTGTTAGAGCCTGCCCCCAAGATTAAAGTACCTGTCGGCGGTTTTGCTGTTTATGAGCTGAATGAAGTGAACACTAGCCCCACGTTTTCCGTTGCTGCTTATTACGATAAAGAGGAAACGGCTACCCTATTAGACAGTTCTCCAGCTTTTTCGTTAGTTGTTTATTATCGTTTCCACTCTATAATCTCAATTTGCTTAGGTTTTCAACAATCATCGGTGGAACAGAACAGAGTAAAGGAGAAATAGTCACGAAATTCGTTAATAATGCTGAGGAAATCAGAGTAGGATTTTCTCATGTTCTTCCTTGGTATGTGAAGCTGTATTACCATACATTAGATTTGAGATGCACTGTTTATAACGTTGAGCAGGTTTGTTTCAAATTCTTTCTCTGTTCTCAAAGATGCGTTCAGCAAGTTCGAGTTTACAACTCAAATTTTCAACCAGCGATATCACGTAAAAGGCCAGCCCTGCTTGAACTGGAGTTTTCACTTCCTGTTCTTTCTGTCTGTTATCTCAGAATAGAGTTCGACAAAGCATTCTTGAGGTTGATTTTCTATCAGTTCCTTGACTCATCTTCGAATGTTTCAGATTGCGTGAGTATCCACCAGATGCTAATCACGGTTTGTACCTCCCTGGAGTGATTGTCAAACTTCACAATGAAGAGAAGATGAAACCGTACACGTTTGTTTCTGTTCTATATGTAGACAACTTTGTTTTTTCAGATCTGTTTCTCGCATTAACATATCCGAGCCTATTATTTTACACGGCAATGCCTTACTAGTTGCTCTACCAACACCTGACTTCAGCATGCCTTTCAATGTAATCTGTTTTGTATTGACTGTTATGACGTTATGCTTCGGACCGTTGCATAAATTTTCAACACAGCTGTAAGTTTCTAAAAGACTATCACATTGTTCAACATTCTTTTCAGTTTGATTCCTGTAAATACTAGTCTACCAGTTGCTCACGGGTTCAAGAAGGCTTTACGGGTCTTCTTATTTGCTCTTATCGCCTTGGCGGCTTATATTCAATATAATGAAATCAGTCTGAACGAACTACGAAGGTTGTTAGTTGAAATGGTTGAGAAAACGATTGAAAATTTGAAAAAGATGAATGATATTTGAGTTTTTAACATTCTTATTCTGATTGTACGGGATTGCATTAAATGCTTTATCACTTGGCTTTTTATATATATTAACCATGTTCGAACAATTTTTATAACTACCCTCTTGTATGTTCCTTCTTTTCATTTCACTTTCCTCTGTTCTAGATGGGCGATTCGCGTCTTGGAAAAATAGTTCCCCAACAAACAAGTAGCCTTCATTACCATCAATGAAAGAAGATGAAAAATGTTTTTCAGAAAGAGTGGGCTTAGCTATTGTAGAACAACAACATGATTTATTGAACGGCGATAAAACAGTTTATCAAGAGTTCACAAAAAATCTTGATCTCATTAGACGTCATCTGAGTACTTTCGACGATGACTTCAAAAGGACCCGTGGAAGTAAGCATCTGATTCTATTATGAAGCTTACATCTATGTTTAAGGAATGCAAGATGCTTTGAAGTTGCTTGAAAAATACATAAGAAGAGATTTCAATTTTGGTGGGAATGCAAGAAGTCTCAAGTTCGATGCTCAACAACAACTGTTTTTTGTACAACACTCTGAACTAATCATTCGAGGAATCATTGCCAGAATCGTGATTCCAGACAAATTCCAAGATCGTTTGTTGCGTAGTTTATCTCAATTCTCAGTTTTGATTCAGATGTGGACGGTCTTGATTTAGAATTTTATTCGATGGCATGTAGAAAGCTGTCAGTGCGGACTAATGCTCCACCTTCTAGAGAAGTAATGAAACTGGCTGTAAAGTAAGTATTGTCTGTGATACTCAAGCATTCATTGTTTCTAGTCAAATTGACGAATCATTCCGAAGGTTGCGTATGAACAACAGCGAAGAAAACAACATTGACTTTGGAAATTATGGGTATCCTGGACCTAGTAATGAAGACAGCAAAGAAGAGACCCAATCAGCTCTAGATATTATTAGAGAAAGACTGATACGCTTGAATGTTGATGAGTCTTGCAGAGGTTTGAGGGAGCCTATCTTTTTATCCTTTGCTTTTAGAAGTTTTGGAGGCACAAAGCGCACACCTGTTAGATTTGGCTCGACAGTTTGATCGTTCCGTAAGAGTAACCAGATCTGCTAGTCCTCCCAGACAAGACTGGGCCAATGTGAAAGAAGAGTGAGACAGTTTTTCGAGATGTTTATTTTGTTTCTCAAGAGATGTGAAGGAGGAAGAGCTGACCCCAGCTGAGCAACACCTTATAAATCTTGTGACTGTAACGGAAGAAAAAAAAGAAGAAGTAGACCCGACTGAAAGTAAAGACTCTTCTTCATCTTTTAAATATCTTCACTTTTGCAGCCACAGCACCCAAGAAAGTGCGGTTTGCAGTTATAAACACTGAAAACGATGGATTATACGGTATGTCTGAGTGTTCCTGTCTTGAATACTACTCATTCAACTATAGAATCGATTAATGAGCTAGTGCTCTTCGATCATATTACCACTGCCTATCGCGTTGATCTCGGATACCACATAGCCATGAGGTATGATGGTGATCGATGTAATATCGGACAACTCATGAAAGATCATGTAAATCTCAGTAAAGTTTGAAACATGTTGTGAAGTAGTCTCTTTCAGTCTAAAGACAGATTATTGGCAAGAATTAACACAACTATCAAAAAGGTTGACAACAAGACCAGAGTTATATCGTTGGTAGTGACGTTTTTTACCTCATTAATGCTCTCCGTTCAAGAAATATCATCCGAAGTATCCGTTCAACAGAATACGACTGTACGAGTTCAAGAATGATCAGAACTCCTCTCCATATGGACTTACAGCCTGTAGATGGGAGTAATAAATTCAGCGAGGTAAATGGTTAAGCTGTGAGTAGATGATTGTGTTCTCTTAAGCAAGTTGCAGAGGAATATCTGCTGTCCTGTGCCCTTCAGTTGTGTCGCTTCACTTCCAGTTGGGCGGGAATCTCATATCCGACGAAGGGTCAAAGTTCCACTTTGCATGAGCATGAATCCAATGTTTATGGTTTGGAAAATGTTTTCTCTATAGTCTCAAGGTTGTAATTTAAGGAGTCATGCTGCTGACCGACTCTCTGTTGGAATGTTTAGAACCGAGTTATCTCCTCAACGGCGCGTTGTTCACTTTGATCCCTCCAATAACTTTAGAGTTGAGCCTTCTTTCAATCTAGGATAAATCTCTGTTTCAGCGATATGCTATCAGTTCTCAACAAAGCTAGATACGATCAACTTCTAATTCGAGAGATTGTTGTCTCCTTCGGACACGATATTCTGACATATACGGATAAAGTGACAGATAAAACGATAGAAGCTGCAGTCCGTGCTACTTTCGAGTAGGGTTCCAATCCGCGTGCTCAGGAAATTTTAATTTTTCCAGAGCCATTGATAGGATAGAAGCATTATTCATTAGAAGGAGGGATGACTTTCTGAAGTTAGATCCCAAGTTCGGAATGATATTGGAAATCTCTTCTGAAGTAACAAAGGTTAAAGAAAATCCTTTACCCAATTTCAAAGTCTTGACGATTCCTGAAGTTAGTGCTCCATGCATGATAATCCTAAATACTTTGTTCCAGTATGGTGATCGCGCTAAATGGTTTGCTAAGTACAACATTGCTGTAAGAAAGATTGCGCCATTTATGAAGTAAATAAGATGATGGTGCAAAAATAATTTTCTGTTCTAGAAACTGCAAGCTTGTCGAATGGGCTGATTACAGACCAGAATGTGACAGAGAGTTCATGCAGCAGGAGGACCAAGGCTATGATATGCATTTAATACATGTGGAGAAACGGTCTGCTGGCACTTTTGATATAATATCAACTTGATGTTTTTTCAGGTTCCGTCACTTAGCATGGATTCTCTACCATGAATGTTTCCTACTGCATTTCAGAAATGACGAGGAGCGTTTCCCTCGTCATCGGAATTCAATGAAAATCGATTCTATGGTCTGAGCTTTATTGTGAATAAACAGTACTTAACGTTCTCAGGTATATTGAGATTGTCCTAAGATCAGATGGGTATTGGGTTCTTCTCCTTCTATAGTTCATTCAGATTAGGTATACAACTCACAAAAAACAGTTGAGTTAGACCCTTTTCACGGCAACGTCATTCATCCAAAACATAACTTTTAATTTGACAAAAGTACAGTCGAGCATTTGCTGAAGGGAAGTGGTTTGACAATTCTTATCAGAACTATCATATCCCGACAACCCTAGAATTGCCGGGTTGGCTTTCTCGATGTTTTGAGAAGCCCGAATTTTGATAACCCTTCAACTCCGGACCAATACTATCGAAATCAAATGTCAACGATAGATATGCTCAGCCGTCATTTTTCGCCGTATCATGTTTGGGTGCACATGTTACATGTACATGTAATGTAAGCTCATAAATGCTAAATATTACTTTGTGGTGATAAAAAAAAAAGTACAGTCGAGTGAGTGCTGAAGGGAAGGTTTTGACCTCTTCACCCGGGGGGGCGAATTAGTCGGGTTTTGACAATTCCTTGCGAAACAGTCGGGTTGACATCTCTTAGCTGGATGATGTTACTCATACAACCAAGGGGAATGTCGGGTTTGGTTGGATGGTGTTACCCATACACAACCAGTAATCTGATAACCCTACAACTCCGGACCAGTACATTCATTGAAAAATAGCAATAGCAGATATACACCGCCATTTTCTTTCTCCGTATTTCATTCGAGTGCACTTGTTAAAAGCAATAGGGGATTCGGGGGTCTGCCGTACCTCAGAATATCCATACGATACCCCGAACAGACTGCAGACCCCCGAACCCCCTACATTTATATGATTAATGATAAAAATATATATACTTTTATCTACTGTCTCCGTATCCAGTATGACTTTGCGAATTTAGAGTAAGTCAACAGACTATTCACTCCTTTTCTTTCGTGTTTCTTAGCATTCAATCATGGTATTAGAGAAAAATGTCCTTAGCCATCTTCATTTTTCTGCTTCATGATGACAGAATCACTATCTACAGTTCAAGCACAAAATGAGACATGAAACATACAGATGAACTAACACGGAACGAGAGACAGAGGGGGAGAACAGATTGCAAAACCGGTCGCATTGTACGCAATTTCTCGTGGGTATTTTTGAATTTTATATAATTTGCTGATTTTCAATCCGACCTTTGGCCTGGATTGAATATTCGAGTCGAGCCAGAATGTGGTGTAACATAACCAAAGGAACAAAACGTGATGATGCCAGCAGTATGTCTTCGTACAGTGAGGTAATCAGTAATGAGCTCCATGAGTATCTTGAAAAGAAAAAAGATGTAGGAAGGTGAGACTCTCTTCTTATTTCTGATCTTTAAATCAAGCTTATAGGTTCACCACTAGACTTCAGTACTTACACAACGACCACTCATTCAATTATAGGATTGATGAAGCTTACAAACAACTGAACAAGAAGTTTGTGAAGTCATTAATCGATTACTTAATACCGATGGATGACTGTGGTTAGTCAGTATTGCCTGATTCATTTCTAATTATACACATAGATGAGGGAAGTTTGGAAGGAAGCTTACCTACAGCAGTAGTCGAATGCAACTTTGCATCTGTAAATGACGTATTCACAATTCTGGAAGGAATTATTACGAACCGTGGTAGAACTCTTATAAGAGTGTCTTGTTGTGGATCATCTGTGAACTCAGTCATCGATGAAGTGAAAAACGAAGTTTGTCCTACTGTTCTCATTTTACTAGTGTTTTCATTTTCAGAAGAAATGTGTTTTGTTGATAGACCAGATCGAATTGAGTAACTCCGAATTCATCGATAATTTATTCCGTTTGTTGAACTCGAACAATAAGGATGACTGTCAAGTTGCAGTGATTGTTTGTGTGTCGACTGGTAAATCTATTTCCGAATCGTTGCATTCATCATGATTGTTCAGATGTTGGCTCGTTCACCTCGCTTTGCTCTATTTCAACTCTTAACAGGATCAGTGCCCAAGTCTTCCAACTTCCAACGTCCAGTGTTGTGTTCGACAAAATTATTGAAGAGATTCTCTTTTTCAAAGACCAAAGATACTGGGCTTCGGGCGAATTGCTGGCTATCATCAAGTAAGGTTATTGCATTGTTTTCGAAATTTTTGAGTTGTTATCTCAGAAATCGATTTTTCTCTTCGGATCACTCAGTTGCTGATGTTAAAAGAGTTCTTCATTTCGCAATGCTTCATCATTGTATCAGAAAGCCTATGCACACAGACGTATTCCTTAACCTAGACTGCTCGCCTCTAAATGTTATTGTTTAGTCTGAGCTCTTCCAGTTCCGCAAATGCGTCGAAAGATATTGGAAATGTCTGATAAACGTCTCTAAGATAATTGGCCTGCCTCAAATGGGCATGGGTCTCTACTTGACTCATGAAGCTATCCAATGTGATAAACCTTTCTGGACTAAACGCCAAGCAGACGCAAGTATCGAGAACACTACTCAGATTAAAACTTACAAGTTGACTAGTTTCGTCTTCAACTCATCTTCAATCTTTGTTGCAGCACATGGTATGATCAACAGAGAGTGTCGCAAAATCCTGAACAACTTCATAAGGTTTGCCTTGAACTCAGTTCAGTTCTCCCTGATGAAGAAGGAAAAGCTCTGACATCAGCGATGGAACAATTAGAAGAAGCTATAAAAAAAGATCAAGAAGAAGCAATTAAAGCGGAGAATAAGTCTGAAAATGTTTCACCTGTGAAAGTTCGTTTGTCACAAATTACCTTACTTAATCGTTTGTGGTTCAGGGTAAGAAATTGACTTTAGCGGAGCATAAGAAAATGTTGGAAGCTCAAAGAGAAAAGAAGATCAACAGTCATAAGTCAAAAGCTCTCACAGCATTATTCGATATGATCGAGGTACACAACTTTCTTTCCCCCTAGGTGCTAGTGTAAAATCTATTTTCCCAGAAATGTATGAGTCTTGCTCTTTGCAAATGGGAGTGTCTACCAAATCATGAAATGTTTATTATTGAGTCAGTAGAAGAATTGTCTCTTCTCGATGGTGATCCAGCTGCTGATGCTGAAGAAGCAATGCTTCAACCATTGGTCAGTTTCCTTTCTAGATTTCGATGATTCTATAATTTTCAGTCCGACGGTAAACCTCCCATATCAATTGCTTACCAGCAAATGTTGAACCGTCCAAACTTCAAGCATATTGAACTCGCATCTTGGGGATCGGCTTTTGAGAAAGAAGTCTGTTGGATTCTTTTTAATTGTTTTCAGTTCCTTTTACAGTTACCTAAGTCACTTAAGAGCCATGCAGTCTCAGCATTTTTCGCTTCTCTAGGTCAATTAGAGACTATGGGTGTAGTCAGAGCTCGACCTGATAAGAAAAACACGAGAGTAAATGTTATTTATCATCCTACCGTCTGCACATAATGCGCTACGCATTCTCATCCATACTTTGAACTGTGTTCCCTAACTTTTTGTACTCATTTTATAACTCAGCAGTTAATCTGTGGTATCTCATGCGGTATTCAACTACACTACTGGTTTCATTAACTCAAGTGCTCACTAACACGATATCTGCCTTTTGTCTGATCTCGCAACTAAACTGATACATTCAACCGTTGTTTTATTTCGTCGTTCATTTCGACATATTACTTTCTATGACTGTTCTTAGCGGACTATCATGTGTATAGTATATTATCATTTTTAGAATGCCAGCAAAGAAACTCGTCTCAGATAAAATCTCTGATAGCTCATCTACAAGTTCAAGCTTCGAGAAAGTTTGTTGACCGTTCAGGAAAAGCTCTTAGTATCAGTGTTTTAGGTGGATGGTACTGATTCTCAGAGTGAGAATGACAGTGTTACCGAGGAGAATGTAGAAGAAGTCGTTGAAAAAAACATAATGGATAAGACGGAAGAAGAGTTGCTTGATGTTCCAATGAAAAAAGAACAAGTGAATCATTTCCGAATTCCCAACTTACTTAGTATTTGCAGGAACAATTCTATACTACAGAGGATAGCAATCGAGCCATTCGTAATTTAGTAATGTTCTCTTCTGCCATGTTCGTCTTGCCACTGTTAATCATGTTTTCATCGTATTATTATGTGTTCATTGGTGAGGATTTAATTAGCATATTCAAATCTTACTTAACTATCGCGAAGTTTCGAAATCATTTCTTCATGAAAAAGAGTTGCTTGCGGCTGTGTTACTCATTCAGTTCTGTGAAATCATAAAATATTTTCAGACCATTTCCACTTACCATCTGATCAAGCTATGCTTTACTCTGCCTTCTGTGGCGTTGCTGTTGTTTTCGTAATTGTTGGACTGTTCATTTATGTTGCTTATCAGGAAGAAAAAGAAGCAGAGCTCAAGCTCAAAGCCAGCAAGAAGGCGGAATGAAACCTCCTCATGAGTATGTTTATAAATCTGTGATACTGTTTTCACTTATTATCATTCATAAAGTATTTTTTTAGTGTTCAATGTTTTCAGCGACGTAGAATCGTTTCCGTTACTTCTTTGTGTGTTCCACTGTTTGGTTTATATTTCTTAATAACCCAATCTTTTCCCTTTGCTATTCTGAGTGCCCTGGCATTGCAGGCCACTTCTCTAAAAATGGAAGAAATTATGCCTAGCTTACGTGATCAGCGTGTGCAGGGTGCAGTGAAGAGTCTTATAGTCTACAGTCTCGTCATACTGATTGTTCCTCTAGGATCAATGTTCTTACTCAAGACATATCTGTTCGAAGGTAGATTATTCTTAATGTGCCTGTCCATCTTTTAAACACTCATTGAACAATATGTTCTGGGACAGAATCATTGATCCCGCTAAATTGCTTGTAACCTTTAGCTTGCATGTTCGGGCCTCTGTTCTAACTTATTTGGCAATTTTCAGCTCTTCTGGGATATACAGTAAACGACGCTCTAACATATTCCGCTGTTGTCGCTGTTCTTTTGGTTCACGTCGTATTAGGATTCTGGATTATTTCTGCGAATAAGACAGAAATCAAGAAAGAACTCAAAAAACAAGATTAACCATGCAGAACGACGTTCATGGTCTGTTACAACCATCTAACCTCTTTATCGTTTCGTCTCAGATAGTCCAGTCCATTTGGGCTTTGGTGTTGAACTTGAGCCAGAAAGTTTGTATTCTTTACGTAGTCATTATCTCCCACTTGGTAAAATAGGAGGAAGACCTTCATGGTTGTCTCCCAAAAATATCCCAACATCCTCGCAGCTAGAGTGTCAAGTATGTATACCGGCAGGGAATGAATATTCACACAGATCTTCAGAGTTGCAAAAAAGCCATGTGTTTCCTTATCCAAATTTATGCCACCAAGGATGACGACCCAGTTCATTCTTTCCATAGAACCTTATTTGTTTTTGTTTGCCGTAATCCCGAATGTAGCAAGGTTTGTTCATTTTAAGTTCAAACTTCTCATCGTTGAGTTCCAGCCTAATGACGCTAGCAACCTTAAAGTATTTCGTTGTGTTTTGCCTAGAAAAAATCCATTCTATTCTGAGAATAATGCCATGGACCCTGATCTAGGTAAGGATCTGAAGTGTGAAGCATCTTGAAATCTGTTCAGATGGTGATGTTCCTGATCCCTATTATCCTGCCGATGCTCCCAAGCTTTGTAGAACTTGTGGGTGCTACGCTAGTAAGAAATGTGCTAAGTGTGGTGAAGCATGGTAAGTTCAAGACTAATACTGTTGATACAAGATAATCCTCTTCTAGGTACTGTTGTAGAGACCATCAATCTTTAGATTGGGTCACAGGGCATCGTACCAATTGCGGAACCCCTGCTTCTGAAACTGATATTCCCAAAAATCCTGCAAACAGTTTTGTTTTCAAGGAGTTTGGAATTGAATTGGATCAGGTATTTGTTTTAAAAATGGAATGTGTTGATCGTAGTCTTGTAGGAGTATGCACCAGCTAATATTTTCGATGATATCAGTGATGATGATGACGATGAGGATGGTGAGGATACTGACGATGAGGGAGAGGAGGAGCGCAAACGTCGTTTAAAAGAGTTCCAAAACTTTGTTAAAACTCAAAAAGGCGTAAGACATTTTGGCTCTTCTTCTTTAAATGTATCCCTCTATTACAGAAAAATGAAGATATTACCGTTGAAGATTGTGAATCTGCTGTGGGGGATCAAACTAAAGACGATTCTTTCGAGAAGTAAGAAACCCATTAAGTTCGAGCATAATGTTCCATTGCAGGTTTAATCGTCTGATAAATTTGAATCCGGAGCAGATTGTTAGATATCAACGTTATGGTTAGTCATGATTCCAATTCGTCTTCTTTATAGTTATCTTAGGAAACCCTTTAAAAGCCACCAACCATGCGACTCCTATACCAGACATGGTTCCTCCATGTAATGTATGTAACAGTCCTCGTCGTTTCGAGTTCCAACTTACTCCTCATCTTCTGTCTCTGATTGAAGTTGATTCTATCGGTCAGTGATTTGTCTCTAAATGCAAATCTAAATTTCTATTTAGGTAAATCGATTGATTGGGCATCTGTTTATGTTTTTACTTGCGCTAGTTCCTGTGAAATCCCAGAGATGGGATATGCTGAAGAATTCGTTTGCAAACAAGATTTTAAGTGAAACCTGGTGATTTGAACTGTTGTTGCTAAGCTGTGAGGAGCTGTTATATCTTTTGTTATGTTGTTTACTGAACCTTGTTGTGTTTTTTTCCTATTTTACCAAATTCTTTTATATCTTTTATTATTCTCTGGCTCAATTGTTAATTTCATAAAGTTTTCAATAGAAATCAAATGTCCTCATCAGATCATAGGCTTCTTCATCCTGTTCTTTTCTAAACATACAACTCTCTTCTTTTCTTAAGCAGAGTACTTTTAGTGCATGTCACAAGGGGACCGAGGTAGGAAAAGGAAATTTGATCAAACGTTAACTCCTAAACAGAGAACCCCGAACCGTCCCAGAAGTCCGCCTAGAAAAGGTAAATAGAGAGGACCTCTTTTCTTCGTTTGTATGCATTACGCGTTTTTCCGTCTTTCGTATTGTCTCTTCTTCAATACCTGCAGTGCAGTTTTGGAATATCGTTTTTTTCAGCAAGGAATTTTATTCACAAAGTTCTCCTTGTTGGGTTCACTGATAAGGAGAGGTCTAATCATGAGAAGTTGGTTGTGGGCAACATAGAGTTTGTAGATGTAAATCAATCTGAGTCAATTGTCTTAATGAATATTATCTTATAGTATTTGGTTGATGGTATCACACATATTATTGTTAAGCCAGCAGCTGTGAGAATCAAAAGCTTTCGTTGGATTCCTTTGTATCTCGGAGTAATCTCAGGTTTTGTTTTCTTCATTCTTCGGCAATCATTTGTATGTTGAAGGAGCCTGCTTTATACGAATCGACTGGTTAAAGAAGTCGTTTGAGAAAAAGCAAATTTTGAAAGAGGATCCATACTTGTTCAAAGGGAACGATATCGACATTCAACTCAATAAGACTGGTACAAGCACCCACTGGATTTCTTTTCCCGAGATTTTGAAGCTGTTGGCTGCACCTTTCATTCAATCATCATTCATTCACCTTCAGTTCCTCTGAATACGCTGCGATGGGTGATAAACGAATATTCAGTGATCCACTGTTTTCCAAAGTTATGATATTGTGTAAAAGAACGAAAGAGGGTAAGCAGAAGAAAAACGAGCTGCGGGCGTGAGTTCCTCTTCTAGTACTGTGAGTACTAACACTTTCAATTAGGCTTATCGAAGCGGGCGGTGGTAGTGTATGTGCAGATGAGGTATTTAAAACTATCCAAGATAGAAAATTTGCTGACTTAAGAAGTAGTGTGAGTTCATAATTCAGAGATTGCGGTTAACGAGTAGTTTTTAAGGTCACAGCCGCCTTTATTATCAACGGAGATACTCTTCAAGATATTGAAATAGATGAAGTTTTCATTTGGAGGCTTCTGACGGGCAATGTTCCAGTGATGTACGAAGAGTATTTGAGAAGGTGCATTCGCGGCAAGGTACGCAATGTTGCTATGTTTCCGAAGTTTTGGTTTTATTTTCAGTTGGTCTTGGCTGGGGAGCCCGGATTAAAGGCAATGCTTACAAATTGTTTGTACTTCTGGCAAGAAGAGCACCACCCCAATATAGCTTTTGACGATGAAACATTTAATTACATCACACAAGGGGTTGGCAAACCTACGCTCAGAGCGTTTTCTGTATATATCAACTTGTTTTCGTTAACATATTCTCTGTCTCTTCTAGGCTTCGAGGAATCGATCACGTACCAAATCTCCTCTTCCCATGGAGGGAAACACGAACACGATTGATGAGAGGTTCGGTCAATATTCTAATATGTTAAGCTGAAGTTGAGAATCTTTCAGCTTGGGTCATATAACACTCACTGACTTTGAGAGTGAAATATCGCTCAATGATACATCAGTTCTGAATCCAGATTCCATTAGTTTACCTGAGGAAGAGGAGGAAGAAAAATCGGTAATAAATACTCATAGAATTCTTATCGTCCCTTCTCAGACAAGCGTGATCTTCCATGATAACAACTTGAGTCAAACAACCCTTTCAATACTCTCGGACTTCAATGTTGTTCTGGGTGAAGCGGATATGAGTGTTTTCTCACCTAAGCCTCCTCGCACTTGGATAAATTGGAGAGCTGAGCTCAGTCTCATCATTCCGAAAGCTCTTGCTCTCGCTGGAATTGTAAGAAATTTACTGCAGTTTGGATATTTATAAACCTCTTCAAGGAATCTGGAGAGATGAGTGCAAATGCATTATCATCTTATCAAATGCTGAAAAGTGACTTCGGAAACTATGAACCAACTACACCGGTATGCTTAAGGATGTAATAACCTCTCATACTCCGTACTGTAGGTACACGATCTGATTTGTCACGACACTGTTAGTTTCATAAGACATTCGATGACTTCAAATTTCTTGCCGAATTCTAAGATTCTTTCGGAAATGCTGCATAATATAGCTATGGTTTGAATGTCTTTATCGAATTGTGTGAGTTCTTCTTTACAGCCTGAGTATGGTATGAGATTCGATAGTTCTGATTCGGTGTATAAGTTGATAGCCGCTCTCATGAAACAGTTTCCTCCAGCTCATAGTGGAGGCAGAGTGTACTGGCTGAAGGTTGAGTCCATATCACTACTTTGATAAAAGTGTTTTCTCCAGGTATTCAGTTCTGTTGAAATTGCTAAGAAAGAAGAATGGACACCTGGAAAGATTTTCAAAGCTGTGCTGAAATCTTTCAGAGAAAAAGTATTCAATACCTTTTCGTAAGTTTGAACTGTTCCAATGAAATGCACATGGAATGAGTTTAGAAATGGCGGAACCAATCCAAATCTTATGTCTCTGCTTCTCATGTTGTTAGAATTTGATCTGTACGCACTTCAGGTATAGCAAGTTCAACTGTTGTCGGATTATTATTTTCATAGGGTTGTGGAATAACAAATAGTCAGGAAGCTGTGAAACCCACAATATCAAGCGAAAGGGCAACTCGAAAAAGGTTACAATTTTTCTATGGTACGTATATGAGTGTCAGTTTAGGAGTTTGCACAATGATGACGTGAATTTGGAGGGAGTCCCCCTTGCTTACTTAGTTTTGTTCGAGCCCTCGGCGTACCGACGGCGTGGTTTTGACGAGACATCCAAGAAAGCTCTGTCCGGTGTAATCGACTATGTATCACTACATGACTCGAATGTGAGTTCTTATTCTTCTTCAGTTCGAGTTGTATTGTTTTCAGATTGATATGGTGAGAAATTGCACGAGGTTTATTGCTGTGATAATCGAGGCTGTACGATGGTACTCGGTGGAGGTTCGAAGACTACATAGGAATGTTCAGAATCCTCTCTTTCCAGATTCTCCATTGTGCTGATTCCGATGAAATTCCAATAGAGATGTTACAAGATATCAAATCCATTCTGAGATATTTCATTAAGAAAGGTATGGTTTGTTCGTAATGTCTATTAAGGTTAAGGTCTTACAGGCTGGACCCGATCATTTTTGAAAGAAGTTTTTCCTCTGGTTTACATACATCCCTTGATTGAACAATTAGCATAATACGATAATGTTTTAATACAGATGCATTTCTTTATGTCCTAGCTTGTTGTAGTTTTACTTAGTTTTGTTCGACGTAGAGAAACCCTGCCGTACTTCATGCTGGTAGAATCACCTCTTAATAAGATTTTTTTTATAATTAATTTTGCCTGATGCAATTAATGTTTTATTATTACTCGGCTTGTAATTAATTCTTTCATTGTTATGTAGTTCGAGCATAGTTCTACACAAAACTCGCAATAAAGTTATTCTGTGGTTTTTAATTCTGCTCCATTGCCAAATTCTCATTGGAGCAACTAGTTTGCGATTCGGTCAGGATGACAATAAATATGGAAGGAAGTTCTTCGGTATTATGCTTAAGGAGAATATATTCAAGCTTTAACGATAGTTTCGATTCAGAGTTTTCTTATTTTGGTTCGTTTTTCAGTTTCTCACTTATCATCCTCGTTTGTTTCGTTTTCGATTCGGTTTGGCTTGTTTACTCCAAAATCTGTCATGGTCTTTCTTGTAAGCAATGAAGTAGCATTTTCCGAGTATCGATGTTCATAACTCAATGATCACTTAGTCTTATGAGATTCCCTCATCCATTTCGAAGAAATCATCTTCTTTTCCAGCAAAATTTTGTATATGTATGATTTTGTATGATTCTCTTTGATCCATTCTGATCCATTCTGATCTTCTCTGTGTGTATACTGCTGTACATTAAATGATGGTTGAGACAAAATACTTATTGTTAGTTGTGAGGTTTCAATTTGGTGAAATGGTCTGTCAGGGTGTGAACAGGTTATGTGAGAGGAAAAGGTTTCGAGTTCGATGCCTGTATGAGCAATGAAGAGAACGTGCCGCTGTAGTGTCGCTCGTTGACACGCATGGAGAAATCGAGGCACAGGGGCCATCTGAGCTTTTTTCTGTTGTATTAGCTGTGGTTTAGAACATGAATTTGCTATGTGAACTATTTATTCAAGACCTGAAACTATCTATGAACAATCTCTCTTTCATTGTGTGAATATTCTAACCGTGCTTACTCCTGATTAACAGCTACATTCCAGAACCACAATGGCTGAGAATACACCAGCCCAGACACGTAAGTTTCATTCAGTTCAGTATTTTTCATGATGATTGTTGAAGTAGAGAAAATCTATCTGAGACTCGCTTTGTGCGAAACAGATGCCCAACTTCAATCTTTCACAAACAAATATCTTGTGGAACTCATATCTCTGTTAGATAACAATCCCATGCTCTTAATCCAGGTAGATGCTTAACACTGTAACTGTCTTACCTACCTTGTTATTTTAGGGGAAAGAAATTCTCTCGCATTACAATACTAGAGTTCGAAACAATGCTGAAATATTATTTCCTATCAATAACTTATTGGAAACTCTTTTCAATGGAGGAACATTAGCGAGAGTTGGTTGTAGAAGTTTTTCTTATCAAATGAACTTTTTCAAGAATTTGGTTCTTATTTATTTACGTATGGGACGTTCTCGTCTCAGCACTGAACAACATTTTGAACTTCTGCCCATCTTTTTGAATGGAGTGGAAAAGAAACCTTTGGACAGCAACTATTGTTTTGAGTTCGTCTAATTGAACTCAACTCGTTACCAGGGGCTTTTTTCAGGCTTCTGAGTTTAGCTCTACCTGGCTTCCTTCATCTGGCAAAGCTTAACTCCGATAAATGGCCCAAATTCAATTTTAGTCAAGCGGCTGCCAAAGTCATTCTAAGATTCTTTCATTGCTATGTTGTTTTTACAATATCTTCAAAGTCAGTTCACATTGCGCGAGTAAGCGATACTGAGCGCTGTTTAGGACTATCACTGGAGATGTCACACCTCTATCTGCTTCGGAACATGAAATTATCAAAAAGTTCATAACTGATGAGGATCCGTCTTTGATCAGCAGTGATGTATTTGGATTACTCTTCTTTCTTCGTAGATGTTTGAATTCCAGAAAAAAGAGTCTATTCTGAAATTATCGGAGAATGGGTTGTTCACAGAAGAACAGTATTTCCCTTTGATGGTTATTGCCTCAGGGTTCGAGGAGGATAGGTATAAACATTCGAACCCGCTATAAGTGTTTCTTCTACTGTTCTAGAGTGTCGAGCAGTGCTGACTTGGCTCTGAGAAAAGTTGATATGTTTGTATCTTCATAGTATTCTGTCTACAGACATTGTTTCAGACAGAAGTGTGTTGACAACCCGGAAGTTGTGAACAATCTAATGGACAGTTTCTTAGGCAGTAAAGGAACTGATAGTATTCCTGCTCAGCAACAGGTAAAGCAGCTAAATTGGCTTTCAACAAGATTAAGCAGGTGGAAGCAGCGAGTTATGCCATGAAATGTAAAATCCTCAACTTTCTCTGTCGATCTGCAATAGCTCCGAGTACTTATATGAAGAATATGAAGGTTCGACATTGAAATAGAGATGTTCTTATCATGGTCTGTAGATATGCCTGGCCAGTATCAACCAAGTTAAGCAACCAAAGTTGCAATCAGGCTCATTACTGTTTTTGCTGAAAATCATCGGGAAAATGTCTGCAACGGTTTTAACCAACTTTGGGCCCTCGTTATTCTCTCGCCTGTATTCTATTTCTGCGAACACCGTAGGCTTGTGTTGAGACTTCCATTTCTTATCATCGTTTGCTTTAGCAAAACACTCAATGCTTAGAAATGCTTTACCGATGTCTCGGAGCTTTGGGTAAAGCTCACAATACGCTTGTACTTTCGAACATGTACATTGTAACCGAATTGTTTGATGCCGTTTCAATAGTGAGTCAGGGTTTGATATCTGACGTACTTCGAAATATTCAGAGTGATGACAATGTTGCCTACTCGATAGTAGAAACATTAACAGACTGGTTGCCAGCTTTCTGTCAGTCTGAGAATCAGGAAGTTCTGACAAATTTGAAGAAGTTGGTCTCCGATTTTGTAATTCATGTAAGTTCATTCTAGTTTCTTGAAATTCTCGATCCTTCACCTCTAATTGTAGTTTTCAACAGAAATGTTGTTTGTGGTTTGTTCTTGAAATTTTTGAACTTTTTTGTTGTTGGGATTTTGTTATTCCTTATTATCTCTTTTCTCTCTATGATTTTCTTCCAACAAAAGAATTTCAGAAAAACGCTAAGAGCAGACTTATTGCTTTGAAATATGTAGAAGCACTGTTGTCTGACCAGGAAATGGATATCAAGTGGATCTTACTCATGGCTGCTGGTGATAGGTATTTCTTGATTTGATATTTCTTAGTTTTTTTCTCTCAAGTCGTGACGAAATGAAGAAAGAAGCTGCCCGTCTGCTTGACATGAGTCTTTCAAAGAACGCAATTCCTAAGCTGGAAGTTATTGTCGATTTCTTGTGGGCGAAAACAAACACTGATATCGTCGATGAGCACGGCAAGGAGAAATCACTTTCCCATCAACAATTAACGGCTGAAACTTATCACATGGTGAGTAATTAGCATATGGTTCACGTGGAATCTACGTTGATTTCTTTCATTCATTTCAAATTGTGCATGAGGAACGGTTGTTCCTCCTTCGCCCGTACGCATACTTTTGATTTCAGTGCGCTCGTTACTTATGGGCAGTTTCCGAGAGTTTGTGTGGAATGGAACCAGATCTCCGCATTATTGAAGGGGATGATCACTGGATGACAACTTCTCCGAAAATTGCGAAGATGCTTCGAACTCTGGATCAGTCTTTGTTGAGGAAGATGACATTGATTGTTGTGCAAAGTGTCAGACAAGCATATGGTTAGTTTTTCGAAAAATATGCCCCTTCGAATACTTTAGAACAATATAACAGTTCGTCATAGATTTGTTTTCATTAATCATGAAGGTAGAAAGAGTTGATATCAGGCCCTCGGTTTTTCGTTGGGAAATTCGTTCTAACTCCCGACCAACCTTCTTCATTTTGCGTTCTATTCTCCCCCCAACATAGATGTGACAGTTCAGTTCAGTTTCTTCGTTTCAGATGTGCATTTCTTCCGTATCGCTGCTTGTTTCATATCTGTTCATCCTCTCCAAAACTTCAATATCTCTCTCGAAGCTTGTGCCCAAAGAGCTAGAGATAGTTCTAGAGGAGAACTCTCATCGTGCGCTTCTTTTGTAACTTGTTCTTTATTAGATGCGAAAGAACGTATACCATTCTATGAAAAGAATATGCTTCAGTTAGAAAAGGTTTTTTTTACATTAAACCTTTGCTGTTAAACCTCTGTTATAGATTCCTAAATCAGGAACATGCTGGTTAGCTACGATGGCGTTAACAGTTGGCGATATTAATGAAACTTTGGAAAAAGCGAAAGAACTGGTCAATCGTTTGATCAAGATGGCTGAAGATGAGTACTCCGGAGGAAGCAGCTTGCTTGAAGGAGTATTGGGTTGCTTAGTGACTATTCTGCGAACTTTCCATAAAGGAACTACGGTTTTTACTTTTTTTTCAAGTTTAACTGTTCATAAGTTCATTTCAGCTTCTCAATCTCGAAGAAAGCGTATTAACTAAGCTTTTCAACATCTGTGAGAAAATCGCTGGTTCTAGAATCGACACACTTTCCACGAAAGCTCGTGAATCAGCTGTGCAAGCTTTAGGGTTCATTCCTTACGATACTCAAGAAGAGGAACTGTATGAGAAGGTATGTTCCACTTATAATCACAGTCATATCAAGCTATTTTAGGTTAAAACTGCTCTGTTCCGAGTTGCTGATGGACCACCTCAACTGGAACTTCATCTTATCGTCGGAGTATCTCTGTGGGATGCTATGCTGGCAAATTACTCTTCTTCTCGTCGCTTAGTATATGTGTCTGCAGAGGAGGACTTCCAAGTATTTATTTCTGAATTCAAAATGTTTCCATATTTGCTAAAATTCAGACTACCACGCTGTCTTCTGATGAGAATGCTTTAGTGTCGAAAAAGTTTACGGAATTGATTGATTTCATTCTGACTACTAAGCTAGTCTCTGGAAATCACCATGTTCGCCGTGCTTCAATTGTATGGCTTTGGGTAAGATAGTTTCATCATCTCGTTCATTATCTCCAGTTTTCAGTCGTTGATTCAAAAAGCTAGTGTTTGTAATCTGCATTGCTTGTCTTCCTTGTTAACGAAAATTCAAGAAGGCTTTGCTGAAGGACTGACAGAAAATGATGGTAATTGTTGACTTGTAGTACATCATAGGTTTACGTATGTTCAGAGTTTGCCCAAGATATTGCATCCAAGGGTATGGGAATCGTTTATCAGATAGCTCCACCTGAACAGAAGAAAACTCTCGTATCAACTTTGATGAACTCTTTAATTGACGGAAGACAAAGTAGTGTGAAAGTAACAGAGGGTACTGTTATCTTCAAAGAGGGCCAACTCGGGAAAAGTCCAGATGGGTAAAAATTAACAGGTTGTAAATTCCTTAACTGGTTCCGTTTAGTTCCAATCTCACCACGTATAAGGAACTCTGCTCGTTGGCTACCGGTCTGAACAAGCCAGATCTGATTTACAAGTTCATGCAACTTGCTAAACACAATGCTATTTGGAATTCGAAGAAGGTAGTGCTACTTATATTCCTGTTCTTTGTAATCTGTGTGATCTTCAGGGTGCAGCTCACGGCTTCAGTGCTATTCTAGAGCAAGCCCGTGAGGAGTTGGATCCATTCGTTGGAGATCTTGTTCCTAAGCTTTTCCGGTGAGTACAATTTTGCTTTCAGTTAATTAGCATCAGTTTGCAGTTACCGTTACGACCCAGATACGAAAGTTCAACAGTCTATGAAATCCATTTGGACAGCATTAACTAAACAAAAGCGAAACGTGGTAAACACCTTTCTTCTTTATTCAGTTTTCCGAATATCGAATAGATTGACCAATTCGCTGATAATATCGCAGCTGAACTCTATCCACAACTCACCAACAAAGAATGGCGAGTTCGCGAATCAGCGTAAGTGCATTGTTTTTGATTAAAGACATAATATATTCTTCTTAGGTGCTTAGCACTTTCGGATCTTCTCCGAGGGCATGATACACCTGCTATGCATGAGAAAATTCCTTATCTATTGGATATCATTTTCCGAGTGAAGGACGATGTGAAAGAATCTGTGAGATTGGGAGCTGACAAAGCCGGAGAGGCTATTTCTAAGATTATTCTTAAAATCGGGCAATCAACCAATAAAACGCGAGCTAACGAGTTCCTAGGGAACGTTCTCCCAACTCTTATTGAGAAAGGAGTGCATTCAAGTTTCTCACCGAACAAATACTACAGGTTTGTGTTTGAAACTCTACTCACATTTATGAATGATTATTCAGTTTGGCTTTACTGATTGATCTGGCCAAAAATGCTGGAGAACAACTCAAGCCATATCTGGCTGATCTTATCCCTTGCCTGTTAGACGCAATCAGTGGATCAGAACACCAAATGTTGAACTATTTGGCTGTTAGATCAAATGCTGATCAGCTGGAAGCGGTAACTGAGCTGATTTAAATGGTTTCAAACTAATTTTCAGCTCGATGATGCAAGATCTAAGATGGCTCGTACCTCACCTATGATGACAGCTATATCGGACTTATTACCTCACGTAAATCTTGTTAACGCTTCGTATCCATTTTTTCTATTCAGATTGACACATCTGTTCTCAATGATCTGCAAAGCAAGCTGTGTGATTCCTTAAGAGCTAGCGTTGGGACTAGTACCAGAGCCGGTGCATCCCAAGTTGTAACTCAATTATGTTTGAGAGCACCTCAACTTATGATGGACAATCAAGTAGTTTGTGGTATACCAATATAATATAACGACCATTCTATGAAAACTGTATCAGACAAACTTTTTGCTGCTCTGCTACCCGGTATCCGTGATAAGAATCCTTCTATTCGAAAGAATTTTGCAAACTGCCTCTCATATCTCGCAAAGTACTCGACCCATCAACAGATGAATAGTCTCATGAAGCAAGTCACGAAGGATCTTATTTCAGAAGACCGTTAGTGTTTTGATTCACGATTGAATTTTATCGGCTTGAAATTTTGTAGAAAGTATGAAGGAAGCTAGTCGTCATATCCTTAGGAACATGATTGCCAACTGCTCGGAACTCATTACTTCATACTCGTATAGACTGGTACCTTACGTATTTCTCGAAACATGTGCTGAAGGTAAGATCATTCCGATAATTATTGTTTATGATTATCTCTCATAGTTGTGAAAGGCGATGAAAGTGGGAAGAAGAGACATGACGGTTGGTTGGAGCTTTGGAATGAGCTGGTGCCAAGTACAGAAGGAGCCGTCCGCTTGTACAGAAAAGAGATAATCGAACTGGCTGTGGATACTTTGCAAAACAACGCTGTCTGGGCTGTTCGAGCTCAATCAGCCAAAATGCTTTCTAAAACTGTTAATCTTGCAAAGGATATATCGGTGGAAGATGCAGGTATTCGCCTACTTTCTTCACAGTTTCTCAAGTTGCTTGTCCAGATAAGATAGTTTCCGTCATCTTGCCTCTCTTGTCAGGACGTCTTTGGGAAGGCAAAGTGCATGTTTTGAGTGCATTAGGTTCATTGTTTGATGTATATGGGGATGGTTTCCAACAAGCATGGAACCAAGATCGTTTGAACGAGGTTTGTTTTGTTAACACAACCGAGTGAAAACTGTTTGCGTACAGGTTGCCACTGTTGTCAAGAGGGAAGCTTCTAAGCGAAATAAAGTTTACTCTGGTGCTGGAATACATGTAGCTGCTATCTTTGCATATAGTTTAGCAAATTTGGAAATGGCCCAATGGGTTTTGGAAAGAGTGGAGAACGTTTTGAACAAAATTTTGATTCCATCTGAAGCGTATGTTCTAACTCCGGAACAACATTACAGTTTATAATTTAGTGATAGCAGTTCTGATGGAGAGGACTTGTCGAACTTTGAGAAAGAATCTATCAGTATGCGATTTGCCGCTACTCATCTCGTTGGATTAGTTATGTCTCTGCGCTCTTTCAAAAAAGGTTTGTAATAAGTTTGCATAGTAGTTCAGCCACATTTCTTGAAGGAGTTGAAGCGAAGCGTACAGCAGATAAGGTTGCTTATTACCTCTCGAGCAAAAACTTGTATTGGAATTCAAGACAAGACATGCTCAGCTCCCTTATGGTAACGATGGAGAAGTGAGGAAGCAATTTTTTCGAGATAATATTGATCATTTTGTAGATGGGAGTTGAAAGAAGTATTTGACGCGAATACTCTGGTTGACGCACTTTTAGAAACGAGCAGCGAAATGTACAACGACAAGAGGAAAACTATCGCTCTTCAATGCGTCAACGTTTGTTGTTCATTCAAATTTAGTTTCCTAACTTAAAATGTCTTAGATTGTAAGTAAAATAGCTGAAAGGCGGGATGTTTTCAAGTTTGAAGTTGACCGGGCTAAGACAGTCATATCACAGATGCCACTGGCTGCAGAAGGTGGTTTAACAACCCTTGTAGATAAACTCTCTTAATTTATTACCAAACATAAGGTTTGTATGTATACTGATTGTTTGTTTGTATTTTACATTAATATGAGAATGAAGTATGAACTATCGCAAGACTGACTTCGGTGTGAAATGTTTTATTTGAGGGTTTCGTAAGAGAACAGAAGTTGTCGGGATTCATACGAATTTTGAACAAGAAATGCATAAAAATATGAGTGACCAATTCATATTTGAAGTTTGAAGAATTAAGATTTGTTTTAGAGACGTCAAGCTTAGCATAAGCGACGGGATCTTAGAGAGCTTAGCATTTTCCACAAGTCTTGAGGCACTTGCTAGCAATGTCCATGTAGCGAGAATCTTTGCAGAATGGCTCGAAAACTTTGCAGTGTTCTCCTGAATTTTTTATATTAATAAATTTTTATAGAGTTCAATGTGCTTACCGTGCTCATCGACACACTTGGCATCAGCGAAGGATGCAATCATAGCAACAACGAGAACGAAGAAGAAGACGTACTGAAAGTTGGAAGGTATAATTGAAATGAAGTCAAGACTCTACCTTAATGGCGGCGTTCATTTTCAGAAGAGATTGGTGATTTCGAATGAATGTAGATTTGAGCAATCGCTCTCATTATATAGGGCCAGAGGATCTGATGATTATCCATCTGGAAATACAAAACACAAAAGAAACAATACATTTCAAAATGAATACCTCCATGTTTGAACAGCTGTGTCCTGGTAAGTACACGATGACTTCCATGAAAACTAGCTAATGACGCAGATTTTAGATGATTATGAACTGTTGAATAACTGATGATTGATTGTTTCTTTTTACAGATAAGTTTGAATCATCTGGCTTCCCTAGTTGATCTAAGCTACGAGAAGTGTGAAAGACATGCTGAGCTCATGTTTGTCCAGCATGTTGAATACTAAAAATGAAACAGATTTCATCAATCAGAATAATACTATGATGATCAAACACTCATGTGTGATGTCATGTTGGAAATCGTACAGCTCCCTCGATGAAGAAAACATTTCGTAAAACTAAACTTTCATTAGTCACAAGATCCTTCAAGCTTGCATTACAGAAGGAGAAGAATCTCGGAAATTACAAGTATTATAGTTTGTTGGGTCGAATTCGTTATCAGCTGAAAGAAGGAGAATTTTGATAAGATCAGTCGCATCATGAGGTTTCTTCCCTGCCTGCTGTTTGTATTTTCTGTCTTAGTTTCAGCTTCTGCTACTTCTCAAACATGCACTAGCTCTCCTTGCCCATCTCATGTAAGTCTACTTTTACATTGTAAGTTTCTTCACTGAAATTATTTCCTCTTTCAAGGCAATCAATGCTGATTTCACTATCATCGTCGACGTCTCCAGTGCTGTAGGAGGCCAATACGAGTTCCTTCAGGTTAATAAAGCTTTCAAAATCTTTTTGGCAACTTTTTGGTTTTTCTTTTCGAAGATCATTGTTTTTTACTTTCCTGATTGTAGTTTCTTTTCTTTCAATCTTGAAGAAGCCACGTTGTGATAAGAAATTAATGGAAAAGAAAAATTGATAACAGATCTCAAAATCCTCGTTTACCGTGAACTTTCAGCTCCAAACATTCCTCGCCAATTTCACAGCTGGCTTGACATTTTCTCCTGAAGATTCCCAGGTGTCAAATCTTTTGTATTCTGAGAAAACAAAAACAGAGTATTTAGATAGCTTTATATACTTATTCGCTCTATACTAAGACATACACAACCCTCAACAATGGCTCTGACCCTGCCAATGTTCAAAAAGCCATTCAGTCTATGACTTTCGACAAATCGAATGATCGTCAGCTTTTCCAGTTAAGCAGTACTTCTCACTTGCTTGTTAACAGATTAAGTTATTCAGAGCTTTGAGTAGAGAAGAGAATGAAGTAACGAAAGCTAATGGTCTCCGTGATGGATACAAACGCATTCTCATTGTTATCAGTGCTGATAGGTGAGGACATACAGATTCCTAACACTATTTTTCCGTTTGATTTAGATGGACTGGAACGTCTGTTATTGGAAGTTCCGTGTTGACCAAAGTACAGAAGAAGTATGACATGGTCATGGCTGTCGGTTTGGGTTTCAACTCTGTAAAGAATCAGGGCGATGTACTTCCTCAATTCACAGGAAATAATGAGTAATTACTAATATCCTTGATTTCAACGATGATACATTGCTTTTCAGTTACGTTTTCTTCGCGGCCAATATTAATCAGCTTCCTTATGTAGGCCAATGGCTGTACAACTATGCTTGTCCGTGAGTCATTGAAACGAAACTTCTATTCTCATTATTTATTTATCCAGAGGAACTCATATGACAACCACAACTGTTGGTCCATCTACCGTGCCTACACCAGCTCCATCAGTTCCTTGCTCGCTCTCCACCCTCAACTATGATGTATACTTGATCGTTGATATTTCTTCATCAATGAGCTCAAGCGACTTTGAAGCCGTGAGATCACTTATGCTTTCCCGATCAAACCACCTTTCGACCGTATTCAGATGAAACAGTCTTTGATTAATTTCGTCAAGCCTTTCCCAGTTGGTGATGGCAAGACTCAATTCGCTATGTTTGGTTGCTCTATTGATTCCGAACTGTACTACACAGGTTTCCACCAAGGGCAGACCATGTGAGAACTACAGCTTTTGTTTTTGAATGTAATGCATGTTTGTTCAGGTCATCTCTCATCTCTACTATTTCAACTTTGACTCAGGATGGCTCAAGCGGACAAGCCCTAGAGCTGTGATTATCATATGATTCTTTCACCACTCACCATTCTCATTTCAGTTCATTAGAAGCAATTGACAAGGCTTACTTAAGCCGTAACTACCAAACAAGTAACAAACTTGTTGTTTATGTAACTGGAACAGCCAAGTTTGTCAAATACTGAAAATCACATTGTTTCTCTTCCTCTTACAGTTTTGATGTCAGCCCAAACAATGAGATGAAGCAATTATCTCAGAAGTATGGACTTAAGGCTGTCGCTGTTCAATGGACAGCTGGAGCTGCTATTTCAAATCTTCAAGGATTTGCCGGTATCTTCAGAATGTTTCGGTGCTGTTATATCAAATACTTTTCAAGGTGGTAGTGATTGCGTCAATGCTGCAACCACATCTACTCAGCGTAACAACGTTGCTGCCTGGCTTCAAACTAAGATGTGCGGAAAGAAGTTCTGCTACTGAACAAGTTGTAATTAGAAGAAGAATAACTTTCATTATAAATATGGTAAATAAATTAATAATTGTGATTTGAGGATATACCATATACATGCTCTGACCGCTCTAAGAGTTCTGCTGTTCAACAAATGCATTTTGGCATTTGGGGTTCACGTTATCTCACGTAACCCGTTTCGTTCTAATTATATTTGATTTTAATCGGGGACATTAAAATGTGATTTGAAAACAGATGAGAACAATGGACGCTGAGAGCAGAATGAGAAAGACTGTTAGACTGAACCACCAGATTACTCGTTCCCAACGGTGTTTTCGGAAGTTACGAAGCAGAAGAACTCCCAATAGTAATCCAGCTACGAAACCTCCCAGGTGTGAAAGGTGGGAAACCTGAAATGATAATGGTTAGAGTATCATGGTTGAAAACAGATTTTGCCTTCTCTGTGCGGTCTGTGAAGAAACGTTGATAAGCAGCAAAACCTGCGTCCGACCCAATCATAATGAATAAGATGAGAGCTCTTATGTAGTTAAACTCCATCTAAATCAATTGTTTTCCATTTGCAGAGGTTAGAATCAAACAGTACTTCATTCCAGTTCATGATAAGCTCAGATAGATGAGCTGCCAGGATAGCATAAACACCTCCAGACGCCCCAGCCAAGTAGACATATGGATCGACGATAGTTACGAGTAACGATCCTTTCAAATGGATAAACCATATTTATAAAATAAGCAGATCACCAACCGGCTATAACTCCTCCGATGTAAACCAATATGACCCTCCATTGATGGACTAATTCTAAGGGCAGACCAAGAATAAGCTGAGTCAATACATTGAAAACTAGATGACAGATGCTGAAAGTACATTATCTTGTTTCATACCAATACTCAACTTAGCTTACCCTATATGGATGAACATGTATGATGCAAATCTCCAGACTTCTGTTTTTCGGTTTGGATTTAAGATCAGAGGGGATTTCGTTGGTACAGGACCATTCACTGATATGCCTTCACCGGATTCAACGGCATAATATGCATAAATTCCAATCTGTAATGAGGATAGCTCTTTGTTTTCAAAACGGAATCAACTCAACCTGGATCAAACTGATCAAGAACATGAAAACAGGCGGTGGGAAGCATCGATATCTGAAACAAGTGAAGAGTTTTTCAGCCCCTTCGAGTGAACAGGTTATCTCACTTCTTCAAACTTTCTTTAATCATTGGCTCTTTAGATGAAGACGTAAAGCTTGGTCTGTTCAATCAAGAAACTGTTTTTTGAGATGAGGTTAACTAATCTAAGCCTTCTGGGCGTTGAGGCTGTGAGTTCAAGCTCTACGTTCGCAATGACTATTGGTGAGGATGCTACTCTTCCTCAAAAGCAAAAGGTAAACAGAGATAGTATGAGAAGAAGAAAGAAACTTGATGTTACTTACTTTTGCAGATAATTGAAATAAGTCGTACGATGTTTCTTAGGAACTACCATCTGACCAGCTCGGAACATTCCGTGTCGAATATACAAACCCTTAATTCGACTCATCTGGAAATGGAAACTACTGCTGTGATTATACTTTCCAAGAACGTACCAGAATACAAAATTCTGCAAAGTCAATCATCCCATCCAGATTCTTGTCAATATCGGCAGTCATGACATCAATTTCTCTGTTAGTCAGCCTAGCCCAAGAAAGAGGAAATGTACCGAGAAGTGTAATATAACCTACCCGAAGGAAATGGTTGATTCACGGATAGCTTTCCGTAATTCTTGATTAGGGATGAATCCATCGTGATCATAATCAAACTGAAAGTGCGAGGATGAAGCAGAAGCATAACGGTATTGAGATTAAGCTCATGTCTTACAGCTCTAAATAACCTGAGCCATGATGTGCATTCAGATTGGCTCTCACACGTCATTTCATACATATCTTTAGGCATTCTGAAAATATTTCAATCGAAAACAAACAGAATGAGGTATACGTTATAGATTTCATGAGATATGACCTTGTTTGGATGTAAGGAGAACAACTTTATGATTCTAATCGCTCTAACTCTGTTATGCTTATAATATAACAATGAATTTTCACATAGTTAAAGCGAATAAGGCTGTAGATCAATCAAACTTTTTATTTTTGCTTGAAAGCTTTCTTGTTATGAAAACTTTCAGAAAGGACATTGCGAAGAAAGGGAGAAAAAATAATAAAAAAAATCAATCGGACGAACGAGAGGAACTGTTCTAATGATGAAGAGAGCGAGAAGAGACTGCGTGGTTAACCTTGAGAATACACAAAACCTGTCAGATTTGACTATACAAAGTAAAATAATAATAAAATTTGAATATAATGTTGTTGTTGCAGCGCTTGAAGGCAACAACATCACGCACGTTCATTGACGTTCTCATTAGCACCGAACTGTCACACATGCAATGGAAACACTTTTCTGTTTCATAAAGCATTTTAGAGTTTCAAAGTTTGAATGTGAAACGATTAACAGAGAGATTATCCTTGTATTCAGTACATTCGAAAAGGATACTACTCACTCGAGAAGAGACACAATACAGAAGAGGCAAATGACCAGATAGTTAGAGGAAGAGATATGGCGAGATGAGGGAAAAATCATTATCAAGGAATTACTCATCATCTTTCTACTGCTACTAGTTCTCTCTTAACTTTCTTTCGATTCAATCACGGCTCATTATAACTTGCTTAATCCTTAATGAACTCATGATATCCATTATTACCATTTTTGAAAGTTCAATAGAGTACAGACAGCCAGATGAGAGCAAGACCACCAAACGAAATGAAATATTTTGAAATTGATCTTCGTGTAATTCATTTGGAAAGTGTAAGTACAGGACTTATCGGTTGTGTCTTTCCATTACTCATAGGTTACTCGATGATCAAGCTTCGCAGAACATTCGAAGGACGCGCTCCATCGTTAAAAACGGAACAAAATGTTAAAACAAAATACTTGACATAGTTTCATCAAGAAGGAACAACACCACTTGTATGCTATGTTTCTCATGACTCATTAGCAGGATCATCATTCATACGTCAGTTATACGTGAGAGCGACTTCAAGATGATTAGCATAAAATCAATCAATAATCGTTTGAAAGTCAGTTCTGACAAGTGCTGAGATGGGCTGGTATACACACGTTTACATCTTTATAAGAGAGCTCAAGAAGTCGAAACCCATATTAGGACAGATCTTATCCATATCATTGAACTTAACGTTGGTAATCCAGGTTTTCTTTATACTGCTTAGGTGAGCGTTACTAGAATTTCTTTAAAGATGCAATCCTCTTCAGTGTTTATATATATGGCGAGCACATTGCGGGCCATTTCATTCGAAACTCTATTCAGGTTTTACTTTTCTTTCGATCTTACCTTGAAACATGATTTCAGAGTACTTTCTACATGATGATCTACTTATCTCTTGTTTCCATGACGGCGCTCTGCTTACTTGTAACTGTTTTGACACCTGTAGCAAGGGTGCCACAGACTTACAGAGTATCGGACGTAAACGACAAACAACTGAAATCGCTTACAGCCCAGATTGATGGGAAATTTGTGAGAGAAAAGTCTTCCAAGGAAAATGTAAGACTGTGAGATGAATCTATCAACGAAGTTATAAAGATTCAAAAGCAAGTAGCTCTGTTGGATATGTTGGCAAATGAGAGGAAACTGATAATGGTTGAAGGAAGTCGTTGTGGTGGTTACAAGTAATTCTTTTCCATTTCATCTCTTTCATTTATATTTTCAAAAGGTATTGCTACGATTGCCAACATCTAAAACCAGACCGATCGAAACATTGCCGATCCTGCGGACATTGCGTTCTTCGGTATGATCATCACTGTCCATATATCAACAAGTGCATTAACCATCATAATTACAAAAGTTTTTGTCTCTACATATTCTATAGCTGTCTGTCTGTTGTCTGGTCAGTTTAATCCTCTTAAGCTCCCATATATTCCTTTTCCAGGTTTTTTCTCTCATCCAGTGAGTGTGTTCTGCGTTTCATCATTTACTCGGATTGGGAAAATGATATGAATTCTATGATTTGGATCATATCAGCTCTGATCCCTGTTTCCATAATTGGGTGAGCATTGTAATTATCTTTGTTAACACTATTCTTCTTCAAGTTTCTCTGTTTATGCTGATCTCTTGTTCTACCATTACTACCTCATACAAAACAATTCGACAACTGCTGAGGAAGCAAGCTCCTTCCATATGAGGTATCAACTATTCTTCGTTATCTTACTTGATTCACCATTCTATCAGACTTGATGTTTCAATATCATATGATATCGGTAAAGAGGAGAACTTTAGTCAAACGTTCGGGTGGGGCCTGTGGTTCTTCCCGCTCTGGACGAGCCTGGAAGATGGCCTACACTATGAGATTAAGTAAATTCTGTAGTTATTCCTCAGGCTACAAATTATCTTTAGAAATTCACCGCTAGCAAAGTATCAAGTTAAGCGAGTAGTCTGTGACAAGGAGAACACCATTCATTGAAACCGTCCCGTCATGATATCCTCCTTCTCATGAAATCATCTCGGACAGTCCTCTCTAGTTCTTCATATTTCTGTTTTCAAATTCAAAACAAATGAAAATGAAAATTGTTTTGAAGATAAATAATCTTATTTCTCTTGCTCTTATAGGCAAACCCATGAACGATACCAACAAACTTGAGAATAACCTCTCTTGACAATCTGAATATCTGAAATTCGAATGAACAATGCTTTGCATGAAAAAGATTATTCGGAAGTTCTGAGGTTGAGTCAGTTTGGACTTCTAGTAATCTAGACCGTTAGCTCCTTGTTCTCTCTGTTGTGCGTCTCTTGCGCTCTGAGTTTGTAGTTTCAAATGGAGTTTGAGTTTTGTATCTCTTGATCTATTCTCGAACAAATTTGCGCGCACTTTCTCCCCATTGCTCTCCTTTCTGGTTTATTGTTAGGTGAGAGAGGGGGTACCTATGTTGTTTTTTGGAAAGATTTGAAAGAGAGAGATGTGTGCTACTGTAGGACTACGTTAGGTTTTGAGTTTTTGGACTTTCGGATTCGTTTTGCGTCAACTCGTGCAACAGTTAGAGACCCTGTGACACCATTTATGATTTTGTGAATTTCGTTCTGAAAGTTGGAACATTTCTGTTCTTTCGGTGCATCTTTCTATTTTCATTTGTAATTTTCTTTTTGAGAGTTCTGAGAGAGTTGGGGGGTGTTGCTATGCAAGTTCTTTCATGTGTTGTGCTGAAAGGAAAAATATGTTTTACGTTTGATTTTGTCGACCAGAATGAGCTAGTGTGGACGTAAATGTTTGAGATTTATTCATATGAATCTTGATTGTTTGTTCTGCGTTTTTTAAGAAACGTAAAAGAACAATCTTTGAGCAATTTCGTGTTAATCGCTTGTTATGAGTATTAGGATAGGTAGTGTGTTAGAGACTTCCTTCAGTAAATGGCCTTTGGTTTACTTGGATATAATAATGAAAAACTAAGAAGGTATGAGTTAGACCTGAAATCAATATTGAGATTAGGTTGATGAAGGAATAAGACTGGAAAACGAGGTAGACATGACACGGGAAATACAGGAAACAGGGGATGGAATCGGGAAATCTTCTGATTCAGAAGATTGGGAGGGGACAGACGAATCTGAAAACACGGGAAGGCGAGGTCATGCCCAAATTTTCATTTATACAAATAGTATATTTTTTACAAAATGTTATTCCTATTCACCCTTCTATTCTACCATTCTGGTACCTCTTTCCAAGCTGTCCTGCTACCCATTCCACCTACCAATTCCTGGGATCTGGCAGGGAGGACCGTACTGCTTGTGTTGGTTAGGGAGGGGACCGATCCTCAGACTTCCTTGTCTTACCTGACCGTATACCACTCTCCCAACTAGCCCCTATATCCCTAGATTTCTATATCCTTTATATAGGATGGATTATCAACCAAGAAAAAAAGTTTTGCCCATCTCCTATGAGAACCGCATCGAAACAGTTCTCACAGGAGAACCTCCTTTACAGGAGGTTGCCAGCCTCTCACACTTAATCTCCTCACATCCATTTCTAAAGTGCACAGATCTCAAATTTACTTCATGTGTCCGTTTTTAATTTCTTCGAATAGTCATCCATCTAATCAAAAGTCTTTCTTAAGAGCTCAGCCAATAGGTGGGGCCAGTCGAACTGAGCTACTAAGAAAGAAATCATCATAGTTATCAAACCAAGGAAGAAAGTAAAAATTGAAACATAAAAGTAAATTGTCGAACCCTGTCTACACTTGAGGATTAGAACCTGAAAATCAGAACTATTAATCGAAACTATCACAATGAACTCATCTTGTATCTGACACGCAGTTTCGTGGGAAAGTTCCAGCATAGCCATAAAGGCTCAGTTACTTCGGTCATCATGGAAAAAGAGACAACGGTACGATCCATACAACTAACAAGTAAAATGGTAAGGATGCTAACTACTGGACCCCTCCAAACTAGGAGAATATGAATTGACTAAGTAGATAGAAAACACTGATCAAGACCATCAATACGATAACTCATATCTCTTATAAACTCATTAAGTTAGGACAAGAGGGGAAGAGGGTGGTTGATAAACGCCTAAGTTATTAACGGATACCCTATAAACAACACTAGAAAGCATCAGTAAAACACAAAACCGATAAAAACTAAAAACTAAGGGTCGTATTACGAGGAAACAAACGTTTGGGCGTTCTAGAAGTAACTTGTCCACAAGCTGGATGAGACATGTAAATTACGGAAAAGCTATATGTTGAACAAACAAAAAAAGGAACAAGATAGTGAGAAAATAGAAAACAATGAGATAAATGGTTAAAGGTCTCACAAATAATCAATCGATAAACTTAAACTTAGGGCAATAATGAAAAAACAGAGAAATCAATCTTACGAAAGATCACGTTCATGGACTAAACTAAACTACAACGAGCAAGTACAAATCTACAGGGTTCTAGAAAACTCTTGGGTCTTGTCTGTTTTCATCTATTACATAAGTCAATTAAATCAAAGAAAAATGACCAGGGAAATCTGAGCTGAAAAACTTTTTGTTGTCGTCAAGGCGTCTCTAGAAGACGACCGCTCCACCCGGGTAAGTACTAGAGGAATGATATCTCCAAACCGACTGCTCGGTTCTATTAAAAAATTATAGAATGAATTTTTCGAGTCAACCGCTCTTCTCGTGAATCAGAATGTAAAATGAATGTTCTGTATGGATAGTTCTGATCACGTTGAGGACGGGCGCAATTATTTGAATTGATTGTACAGCTAAAATGGAGAAGCTGAAAAAATCTCGAAATATGCCCTCTGTTTTCATTCTTTGAAGGTGTTCGACACTGCTACTGCGAGCTATTGATGGAATCCTGAAAGACAATCTGCTTGCTGGAGAGGATGATTAACAAAGAACTCGCATAAGCAAGATACACTGTGATTGTATAAGTTATCGATTGAATGAAAAGATATGAATTCTTCATTTTGTACAAATAGTTTTCGTTGAAATGGTGTGAAAAAAAATATAAAAATGTTACAATGTTTACAACACTTCAGTTATCGTCTTTACGAAAACGAGAAGTTATCTGACTTAGTCGTGCTTTCGAAGCTGCAATAGATAGGATTAACGGTGTCATTTAGAAGAGAATCGATAATCACCTTTACTAATAATTTTTAATTTTTCACGGAAGTCTCTTTCCGTAGAGCGCATAACCATCTCTTCAACCAATGGTCCCTCGGGTAACAATGGTCCTGGAGATGTTGCTCGTCTTCTTGGCTTTGGTTGCGGTTTTGCTTCTGAGTGGTACGTAGATGAGCTTCTACGTTGATTAACTGAAAACCGAGTATAAACAAAATAAAAACAGAAAGCTGACCAGGTGCGATCCCCATGCATCGATTTAGCTCTCTATCTTGCATCAAGAGAGCTAGCTGTTCGTCTTCCAGTATTCTAAATGCTCTAGATATACGACAGTCATGTGATTGATTAACCTGGCTTGCATCTCATCCGTAACATTCTCTAAACGGCGTTCATTCTCTTTTTTCAGATGATCAAGACGTCGTTTCTCTTGTTTAAACTCATTAAGGCTGATACGCGGAGCTCGACTGCGGGCACTGAAGAAAACGTTATAGAAACGATTGTAAATATATAGGAGAATTACTTGCGAGCATTGGCTATCGAAGATAAATGATTAGCATTGTCAGCTGAATGATGACGTCGAGTGAGGGAGATGTTAGCAGGAGCTGCAGAATAGTTAGTATGAAACGGCGATGAGTCCACAGTATTTCTAGCAGAATGTGGATGAGCTGAGCTACGAATAGCTTCAGAATAAGGAGGAGGTGGAGGTACAGGAGAAGTCATTTGAATTGGATAAGTAGCAGATGAAGAGGCATGAGCGAACGAAGAAAAGTTTGGATTGAAAAACATTGGATTAGGATTAGTATGAAATGAATTCTGAAATTAATAAAGAAATAATGGGCGATATAAACAAAACAAGCATACAGATTGATCAGCTAGAAGTTCATCAATTGTATTGGCAAGATCTCCATGATGTTTTTGTAAAACGGATTCAATTTGTGCTATAGTTTTCGTAGGGAACATCGCTTGGAAGTTATGAATAGTCTGAAATATGTGTCCCTCATGGTTATATGTTATAGCATATGAGAGGAACCGTGTTGGAAATTCCTAGGGAATTCTCTTGATCAGCCGCTACAGTCGTCATGATCTATTAGCAGTACAAGGCGGTACTTTTCCAGCAATCCAGCTGAAAACAAACATATTGAAATTCATGAATTCACGTCAAAACGTTGAGAGAGAGAGAAACGAAAAAAAGGGGAAAATCAGGTCAAATCATGAAGAGAACAGCTAGGCAGTCACATATGCAAATATGACCAATTCCAATAAGACAAAGTCTCAGTTAAGAGAAAGGAGAAGACATAGAGCGAGTTGAATGGCACGCAGCATCGATAGGAGTTTCAGTAATTGAACGAAATTTAATGAAAAGAGATTCAGGCTGGGGATAAAAGTTTAATCAAACAGCCAAGTGCAAATGAGTTCAAGTGAGTAAGAGAAACAATGTAAGCATGAATGATAAGAAAAAACGTTTGATAACCCCCTAAGCCGTTCTGCTACATTTGCATCGATTTCTGGGGGCGCAATTGCTTCAAATTCTCATCAAGAAAGACGGAAACGCTTCTGTGGACGTAGATGAGAGAAGTAAGTATAGACACGAAGATTTAAATCGAGTTCATTTCAATCGTTTTCTTCCTTCTCTCTTCTCGATCTTGACAGATTGGGTGAGTCGACATGAGGTTGTATAAAGCGAGCAAAAGTAGGTGAAAGTATAAACTTCACAGTCAAACACTTACATTTAGTATGAAAACTATACGAGAAAGGAGAAAGACAAAGAAGGAAACGTATATTTCAGGAGAGAAATGGAAACAATCTGTCAGCCGCACAGCGAAATCGAACGAAAGTTACAACCGAACGGAAAAAATAAAGAAAACAAAGAGTATCTACCAATTTCTTCAATCAAAACAAAAGAGAAATCTATATATATTGAAATGAATCAGATTAAATCGGACGAACTCTTGAGGTTTGACCTGCTAACGACGATGGAGGGGAAGCAGTTGCGAATACAACCTATGGGAGGATAAAGCTGGGAGAAGTTAACGTCGGCAGAGAGAGAAAGAAAAAAAGCTGAGTTGAGTAAGCAGAGTGATGTCATTTTCGTCCATAAAAGACATCTTATCGAAAATTCCGACTGAGTGGATTATAATGATGAATAAAATTCGTTTCTAACGTTTGCTTACTGATTTTCATGAAAAAGGAGTCAAGAACAAAGCTTCATCGCACTTAGAAGCTTCAGGGCAATGTCCATTGGGACACTCAGTCAACAAAGGGTTTGCTCCTTGCAGTATAAAAAATGAGGCAAGAAGTTGTGACCAAGCATTTTTTTCCAGCGGAGTAGTGAGTCATGCATCTGTGAGCTAAAGTTAAGAAGATAAAATGAGTGGGAAGAGCATATGTGTGTGAACATGAACAGCTTAACAACTTAAGAGAAAGAAGGAAGGAAAAGGTAAACGTAGTGTGTCTCATCTATACTCGGCTACAAATAAAGATGAGAAAAAGGTTGAAAACATAATATTATGTACTTTGTTAACAAAATATTCAAAGAGAAAGAGTACGAGAACGCCTGAATGAACAAAATACGTTGAAGCGCATAAGAGGAGAAAAATGCAGAAAACCTGGCCGAGACTGCCAATAAATTGAAGTAAAACGGCCTTAGCACAAGAGAGAAGTGAGATAGAGAGATAGAGAGAGATAGAAGGAGAGAGAGAAGAATGAATATAAGAAATTGAAGCGATTGTGAAAACAAGAATAACCCCAATTCATCATTATTTTTGTGTCTGATTGACACCTTATTTGGGATGAAAAATGTATTGCATATTTGTAGAAAAGAACAAAAATCTTTTTTGCTTCCCGCATGAACATTGACTAACTTGACTGTTGGAGAAGATGGAAGACGAAGTAAGAGAAAGAGACTGATTAGGGTCAATGAAGATGAAGCCTATCCCGATTTATGAAACTGGTAGTCGTTAATGGTTTCCTTATATAAACACATCTCTATTCTCATAAAAATGTTTCATCCATATGGCAAATTAAGAAAAGAACGAATTGCAGCTGTTAACCATTGATGGCAAGATCCAATCAAATGTAGCCAAAATGAGGAGCTGAAAAAGCTTCAACGACGAAATGAATAGTAGTTGGAGATAGTGAGGGCAGCGTGAGAGATGCGATATGATGCTTCAACCAATATTTATAGTCAAAAAAAGGTTTCACACAGTTCGTACTATTATCAAATAAAGAGTTATAAAAACAAAGAAGCGAGTTTAATTAGAAGATTGTGTTGACTGTAGGATCATGTGAAAAAAACAAATAGGAATGTCTAAATCTAAACATGAAGAAAAAAAAGTAAAAAAGAGGAAAAGCAAAGGTTCAACCGTTCAACACGTTTTTCAAAATTAAAATGAAATATGCTAATTAGCTTTGGCGCCCCTTTGAGTAGAAAATCGATACAAACATATTTTGATCTACCCAACTAAGAATGAGGGATATACATAGTCATACACACACAAAACCACATTTATAATATGAATGAAAGAAAATAACAATTTTATGAGATCGTTGTTGAGTTGTTCAAACCTGAACATACAGCATACAATCCATGTCTCATATTCAAATGAATTCATTTTAATAAGCACGCAATATGCGTCAATAAGAGATTTCTATGAAGAAAGTTTAATAAACATATGAGACACTTAGAAAACGCCCATGTGAGAGCTGACAACAGACAGCCGACACCGGCTTTTATTTTTCAACAGCCATTTGGACAACTGAGAGAATGAAGAAATGAGGGACGAGACAAGAGAGGTTCAGTGGTAGACATCATGTGTGTGTGTGTGTGTGTGTGTGTGTGTGGATTTTCACAAAATGAAATCAACAATGCCACATGGAAAACTAGTAATAGAGTATGACATTCCATTGACATTGGCTGTGAAAGGCGAGAAGATCAACTTTCAGACGAATTTATGGAAATATAAAATCTGTTGTGGCTCCTTGTGCCTACATTCACGAACGAATTGTGATTTCTGATGAAATGAAGCAGAAATGAACGAACATCAACAATGAACAAGATTTGCTTCCGAGCTTTCGAGGGAAAAAGTTTGCAATTTCTAATAATTCTCCTTCACTTCGTGATCGATATCCATGGCGACACTCCGCTCGAAGAACAAATGTGGCAAACGAGAAGACCGGCAGTTTCAACAGCGACGAATAAAAATTTCTTTATTTTTCTCCTTTTATGGACTTTTTTTTGGAACAAATTCCCTGGAATTTCATTAAGATGCCGAAATTAAGAGGATACAAGAGAAGAAAGGAATCTATGAGAAAGAGGAGGCAGAAAACAAAATGCAAGACGCTTACGATTTATGAAGAGCAAGCTTCAAGAAGGAGAAGCTCTAATCAAGACTTGCAGTGAAAGTCTCAATTCTGAAATAATTAATTTTTATTGAATTATCCAAATTAAATTTTGTTGAAGTAGAGGAGAACCAACTTCTGACGATATTCCGAGGGAATCGTATAGAGCAGCTTACAATTTCATTTTTTTTGCTGAAAGTTAATTGAATGTTCTTCTTCCTGCTTCTTATTTTTTGCTTTTGTTAGTTCGATTTAAAGCATTCCTTGTTTGCTGATTGTTTCCATGCTTTCCCAACATGCCTCTCATGAGACTAGAAAGTTCATCGACCACGTGACACGTGACAGCATTGGCCAATAGTCGATCCGATCGCCAACCCAAACTTAGCTAACTCGTCTGCCAGCTGCACTTTCTAAAACGGATGATCAATCTGTAGAGTGAGCCAGAAACGAAAATAGTGAGATCGAATTAGATGAGTGTAGTGTGCTCGTACCTAAAACGTACCTTAAGGGATAGCAATTGAGCAGAATGATAATCTTCCCGTTTCAAGTGGAACCATGTCCTTTCCAATCATATGCTTCCAAAGTACAACATCTAACTGAAAAGTTTGAAGATTAGAATTAGTAAACTTCCTTTCTTACCTCAGCGAGTCACGTTTGTGAATCATTGCCTATCCTGTAACTTGAGTGTAAGATCATGCGTGCTAGTGCAGTGAGGTGAGAAGGATTGAGCTGGATTTCCATACAAATTCTTTTGAAAACGTTTATGGTCAAAACAAAAAATTATTTTCAGCTAGTAGATGATTATAAATGTTTCTATATTTTGTCAACATTCTTGTTATGTTCTTATTCAAGAAGACTTCTAATAAGGGTCTGGTTAACATCCAATTGTAAGATTCGTGTAATGGATGAAGGATATGAGCATCATCCACATACGATGCATAGACTTCAAATATAAACGTTGACGCTTCTGCCGTTTCATTCAATTGTTCAAACCTGTCATCAATTCATCTCCTGATGGCCAAAGGGCTCTGTCAATCCTGAATGGCGGCAGAGTACGTTTTCCTATCCATTCATCTCGAAAATCACTGATATTAGATAATTACAATAATGAACAGTTATCAACTGAACCTTCTGTTTTCAAATGAAAATAGTTTTTCGGAAACGATTATCTGATCCGCAAACCAACTGACGCTAATGTACGGCTTGCCCGAACCATATTTGATCAGACTTTCCGAGAATTCTTCATACAATCGCTGGGAGAGGACATCGCCGTCTTTCAGCCAATCCTTCTCTACTTCTTAAATGATCAAATGTATATTGCTTTCTCTCACATTTCCATATAAGACCCATCAATTCTCTCCAAAGACGTGCGGACATGGCAATTGTAGCCATTGGTCTCATGGGGAACCTTAACGAATCATTTGAACCATATCATTCCTTGTCTTTCAACTTACTGTGATTCATTGTTACTTGGCTTACTTGTCATTCCGCAACACTCTGAGTTGTACAAGAATATTTTTTGTTTATCAATAGGTACATGGTTTTCTAATTTAAAACTCCATAAGTCCGAATCAGAAGTTATCAATAGGTGTGAGTCAGGCATTGAGACTTCAGGAGATGATGCAACGTACAAACGACATGTCTGCAAATAACAATAGATTCTTGTTTGACATGGAAAGACACTTGTGCTATCGTATGGCTTGGTGCTAAGGATGTGTTGAGGAATATAAGCTGAGCCTATAATTAGATGTAAAAGATGCCAGTGTAGAAGGTAAACCTGTAGTATTCGAAGAGCCCGAAGAACTAGTTGAGAAGACTCATCTTTGAAGTTGTTTGTTGAATTTGAAAAACAAACAATGGATTTGATGCCCAATCTTCTCCAAAATAATACTGTTATAGGCAGAGGAAAGAGATAGATTGGATTGTCGTCAGCACCGAGAACTACAGACGTGTTCTGGAAGGAGTAGGATGAGAGCGAGTTGAGGAAATGCATATACCTTATAGATGAACGAGTAATGATCATTGAAATACTGGAATAAGGTAAGAACTTTGGAATTATCTATGGAAAGCCTGCTGAACGTTTTGTAACTTCTAAGATGAGTTGAATGAAAACGAAATAAGATGATCGATTCACCTGTAATGTGATAATGAACATATAGCAAACGTGATGAATACTAATATGCCAGTTCGATTACTTCTCATTCCTATATTTAACGATTTTAAATTGAAACCTTGTGAAATCTGGCCAAGCTGAACAAACTGATCCATTTTTCTTTTTATCTGTTGGCTATAAGCGAGGAAGGTAGAACAAGGTATCTTACTTCAGCAAAGCCTGATGCTATCTCTTTCATCCTAACCCGCTACTGGGTTACTCATAGAGATCATGACAGTCGAAAAAGCACGCACGGCTACACTATCTCATCTTTGACTCTATTTATTGACAACGACTTTGTGGTGTTTCCCCTATCCCAACATAGCCGTTGATGCTATCTCTGAGGACAGTGTTATGAACAAGAGACCTGCTCTAAAAATTCAATCCCTTTCGAACACAAAAAAATACAATTATAGGCTCTAAGCTTAACAGAAACTTTTGCGAAGTCGTAATCAAACTTCAGAGCACAATTTCCGGTGAAGGATCTACTCTTCTTGTCCGGCTCTAAGTATCACATGCAGTCGTTTAAAAAGTACAGAAAAATGAATCTTCTCAGTGGAAATGAACAAATTAGAGAATATAGTTAGACTTCTGAGATTATAGCTGTTTCAAGTAATCAGTTATGGTCTGTACAAGCTCGTTCTTCTTCAAGTTTCGGTTTTGCTGTGGCATATGATCCGCCATGAACTTTTTCAAGTCAGCCACTTTCACTTTATCAGCCTGAAAAACATATTAACTGAATGGAAACTTAGATTAACAAACCTTCCCGGATCGTATCAGCTCTTCTGGTTCCAAATCCTTTTCTGGACCAGTTAGCCTTGGTCTTTTTGCGGCAGTCTCCATTGTTTCGGTTTCTTTTGATTCAGCTGACAGATCAAAGTGCTCCATCAACGGCGTGATTAACTTATTTGTGAAGTCTTCACTCCTGCTTTTGAAGTACGGTTCTAGAGAGGAAGTTGAGTTGCAACTTACAGCTGATCACTTACCTAACGTATCTTTGATCTCTATTTTTTCTCCGATAGCAGCCTCGGTTACCATCGAACAGAAAGACAGAATACCTTATAACAAACAAATACTGACCACGATATGGTACACACTCACGAGGGTTAGAGAACGTTTCCGGTGCGAAAGGCTTTTTCAAGTTCCGAATGAACTTTCCAGTAACATCTACATCCTCATCAGTGGCTACAACCAAGAGGTTCGTCTTGAACATGGGGTGGTAACTTACGAGCAAGATTTTTATATCCAGGTGGTGCTTTACCTTCGAAGTTTCTGACATCCTCGGCATAAGGTAAATAGATAACATAGAATCCATCATTCTTGTAATCTCTGCTAATCGACTGTAACTCGTTCTTATCAGACTTTTTACGAAAACTATCATTACTTCAGAATTTTCCTTTTTTTCAGCAACAAGCGCTATTAGACGAATCTGTTTAGACTGAGTTAAGAATCATATCAAAACAACTTATACCTTCTGATTACTGCGACTCTGGAAACGACAAATCATGGCCATCTTTCTCTCATAACATCTTTCATGCAAAGCACGAAACAGTTGTGTAGAGCCTCGAACATCCTACAAAAAGTTATATTGTGAACTTCATTTTCCACTAACATTATCATTAGGGATGATAAACTGTGGGGTTGATAGATGATCTCCAAACATGTCAAGTTCTTCGATGGGTTTGAAACCCAGTAGAACCACTCCTACATAAGAAGTGCTCATGATAAGAAAAATCCGCTACAACAACCTTTTGCATTGAAGTCTATCGGTTCTCTGATTTCACAATTCTCCACCATCAGAGTTTTCCCTCCGATCTTAACGACTTTGTGCAAATTGCTTCTCTCTTCTTGTTGCGATACAGTGCTTGAAGAGCTCTGGAAAAGAAGTTTGGTTCCCTCCATCAGTAATCTGGAACCTCGTCTTTTTTAACATATGCTGTTTTAGAACCCAAAGGAGCTTCTGTTGCAGAGTCCAGAACTGTTTTCTTTTGCAAGGTAGCCTCTTTTGCAAGTGTGTATACACTAACACCAAGTTGAATATTTGGTCCAATATCGAGCAGAAGTCTACTGAATGCTCTCTGCGTGTAAGTCCTCTTATAGGCTCTATACGTTTACGATTAAAAAAAAAAGTGTTCTCTATCATACTGTATATCCAAATCGTCAACATCTCCCACGAAAAAACTGTTCGAGATTTCTCTCTGCAATAAAAGCAACCGTTCTGAACGTCTAAATGTTCACAATCGAACCCATCGTTCTTCATCTTCTGCCGCAACTTCCTCAGACATCATAAGAACATGAAACTCTCCAGGTGTTTTATTGAGGCGACGAATTCCTTTTTTGTCAACATACGAGTGTTGACAGAAATCGGTCAGAATCGTTTTGAGCCGTACCTGATATATTGATTATTTAATGTTTTCAGAAAAGTAGACACTAACGTATGACTTCGCATCGTTTTTGAATGGATTAGTATTATTGCTGAGATACATGATTATGTGATGTCTTGATGATGTTCCCGCCCTGAACAAATCATAGAGCGAAAAGCTATCTGAACTAACATTGTCATCAGTTTCTTACAGCTCCAGATCAAATTGGCCAAATTCACTTCAGCATGTCCGCCAAATCGGCTACGGAAAGCTTCCGATATGTCTTCTGAAGTACAATGTTGGTTTGAAATTGTACTTCATGTAAGTTCACCAGAATCAATCATTTTTTTCAATTCATACAAATCTTCCTTAGATGGAGTATCTAGTTCGATCAGCTCGAATGAGAACTTCTGGTTGAAACGATTCTTCGACGATTCCTAGAAACGCAACTTCTTTTAGATTTTCGGGCAAAAGATAAATTACAGTATTCGTAATGATCAAGCCCACATGTTGACTGAAGGAACCCGAACAAGATATATTGATCATTTGATGGTAAACCACCTAAACACATGAATACAACCCAACTATCTGATGAACATTACTTTGAGAGCTTTTCTGAACGGACAATTTTGTGAAGTAGGATCCTTGAACATATCCGGTCCACCATCCACGACATAGAGAGTGAACTGAAGAAATCAGAGTAATGCGTAGCACACTCGATAAAACCTTCTTGTTGTACTGAACCTCATCAGTATATGCTGAATCTTCCACCTCATCCATGCTTAACATGTAACATGAAACATGAAAACGGAAAAGCAGATAAGTAAATACTTTGAAAACAACGAGTCAAAATGAATTACAAAGTCAAATTTTATTTTATTATGAATAATATATGAAAAGTGAAATCTTTCCTTACATAAGCTTATCACATAGCTTACATAATCGTATATAACAGAGTTAGTACTTGCGTTAGATTATACAGTCAGTCGCATCATAGGTGCGAATAGATATGCCAGATTCACGCGGTTGTATGAGTTTGAGCGCAGATAACGGGAGATAATTTTGAGAAAATCTTCATACATTACAATCGTTGAGCAGTAATGTGCTTCCATTTGACCTGAATAGCAAAGAATTAATCAAAAATATGTAATTTTCTTACGTTTTTCTTCTATCTTCATCTTACTGAGTACTGATGACACATTGAAAATCTGTTTGAAGAACGATTGCTGATCGAATAAGTGCTTCGCTGTGTACTGAAAACAGACTGTGATACGTTTTTAGAAGCTATAAACCTCTCTTCTCAGTATGCCAACACCACATTTTGAACAGTCCAGACCTTCTTTTGACCATTTCAGCTCATAATGATGAGTCTTATATGAACAGGTTGCTTCATCGCATCTACAATATTCAATTATGAAAACATACACTCAATCTACTAACCTGAACGCGGATTTCAAGTGTTTAGCAATGTAATTGGATAATTGATTATCGAGTAAGTTCAACAAGTATGGCTCATATTCCATGAAGGAGACATTACACTTAGAGCAAGAGTGCAACGAAGGTTTCTGATTATCGTCTTCGCCTTCGAATGCGCTTCTGATATGGGTGATCACCCCACATCCTGGGCATGGGAAAGAAAAGCTTTCACAATGGTCAAAGTTATTCAGATTGAAATCATGACTCGCTTCTTCATGTTGGTGCTCTTGTTGGAGAGCTGCAGCAGAACGACGATAACCAGCTGTATCAAGTCCTGAAGATCATGCTATGCTTGAATATGTTGTAGCAAATATGAACCTAATGCTTCAGCGATAAAAACAGAATCAGTTTCTTCGATAGGGGCACAGAGACGGCTGACAACCGGATGAACTTGTTGGGATAAATAATAGTTAACATCTGCGAGCAATTGAGATCAATTATTAAGGAAGTTCAATCTCACCAATCTTCAAGTTCTTGTTGTCTTCTAACTCCGATCTATGATATGCCCGTTGAGTGCTAGAGTTATTCGTTCCATCCTATTACAGATTCATATTATGAAATTGGTAAAATGGAATCAAACCTCGCAGATTATGTATTCTATGATGTCTCCGACTTTGAAAGCGAATTTACCAGTTGCATTGAGCCTACTGGCTACAGCAGCATGTGGTTGTGCTTTGAGATCATGATATTCACTTGGGTTGCGAGTCAATTGCTAAACATACAAGAAACAAATGACTGTATTCACCATAACCTACTAACCTTAGATATTTCAAAGACACGGAGATCGTTTTCACCATTATCCAAAGATTTTCTGAGGCTTTCTAAGGAACTTCGGATTTTCGTAACGAGTTCTTCCCGTGTTAGCTCCGAATTCAAGATGTGACCGACTATTTCACTAAAACAGAGTTGAATGTTACTGGAAAAGCAAAGCACTCACGTTCCAGAATCTCTCGCTAACAGAGACCAATCACGACGCACAATATCAAGACCTTTCAGCTCTTTCTTCACTTCATTGGTATTATCTGGGTTAATCTGTAACTGAGTATATTCAAGTTGAACGGTTGAAACAAACGTACAGCTAGAGCGGCATACTTCTTCTTTTTTAAGAGAAGCATTCTCTTGAATATTCCATCGAGACCTAATTCCAAGATTTTATGAGTCTGGTTGACTTGTTTCCGGATCTAACTAGCAAGATAAAGAATACCGCATTGTGATTACCTCTACTGCCAACTTCTTGGCTTCTCCGATGTCCACGCCGTTGGTATTGACCATGATAGAATCGGTATCTCCATAAACAACGGAGAAACCCATTCGTTCTACCAAGTTCTTAGTGTTCATCAAAATCTATATGGCAACGTGAGTGCTTAATGAATAACTGAAATTCACCTCACGACCCTTCGAAGTTACTAAAGCTGCCAAAGGTTTGGCATAAAATCGCGAATTTTTAAAACCGAGACAACCATACATACTGTTAGCAGTCAGCTTCAAAGCCATTTGTCTGATGTCATACTGAAGCATTTGGGTAAAATTTCTACGAAGCAAAGAAGTACCTGTTTTCTAGTTGCTTCAGACAGATTCGAGTCTTTCATCATATTCTTTACTTGACGACGACGGTCAACTAGAATTCGAATTTCTTTAGGAAGAATTCCTTCTGGTACTCCTGAAGGAGGAGCATCTGGCATATTATCTCCATCTTTATTATGCTTGACAGTTGTGAAGCAAATGTTGTATTCTTGGATGATACTTGGATATAGAGAATTGAAATCCAAAAGAAGAATCAACGTGTCGTACAATCCTAAAGAATCACGGATAAGATATGCTAGCTAAGTAATCCAACCTTTCTTGGGATCTAATACAAGACCACCAGAGTATTGGGCTTTCTTCGAATTAGAGTCTTCCGGTGCTTCGGCCTCGTCCGGTTCGGATTTTACTGATTTATCTGTAGACAGACTATAGACCTGCCTGAAGATCTTCATACCTTTACTGTAGCTTGGAGCAAACTTGTTAGGAGCTATGACATTGGCTCTATGGAAAGCATGTAGAAGTAAGAACTCGTTTCGTTCAGCACGACCTCCCATCAATGTGCGGGACTAAAGGAAACAAGTAGTCGGGCAGTAAATGAAGTACTCACGAAAATACCACCACAAATTTCTGTTATTTGTAAGTAGAGCGGTAAAGCATTCAAGCGTTCAACAATCTGGAAGGCTAGCAGAGCATCCATCCAACTGACTCTGATGAGATCGAACAAACTTGTTGAATTTCTGAATACTCGATCTCCAATATATAATCTGAGAGTCACTTACGCGTATTTCAGAGGCACTTCATGTGGGTAAACTTCAATTTTGTTACTTTTCATTATTTGAATGCTCAACTCGGAGAGATCATAAGAACGACATCTAACAGTTTCCATTGCGGCAACTCTGAAATTTCCATGAAGCCTATGTGGGATGTGGAATGTACCGAGAATCCATCAGAGCTCGTCCAGCAGTGAACTCCCATTGACCCGCCTTGTTACTTTTTATAGAACTCAAGTTAACTGAGCGCTTGAGCCTACTCATACGTGACCAGTTGGGTACATTCAGTTTTTGTAAGCGCAGCTTCAACAAGTCCATCATTGCTTGGAGATCGTGACCCTAGGACAAATGATAACTAGGAAAAGCCTCTACCTCGCATACCACAATTATATCTGGCTCCCATTTTTGGATTTTCGCTAAAAACAGGCAAAGAAGCGCTTTCTCGTTGACGGTACTCTGTGCTGTGTTACCAACATTCAACTTTTCCAAATGCTCTTTAATATCAAATGGAAGCGCAGTGTTAGGAGGTTTGCAAAACACTGAAATGAGTAACACGTGAATGAATGGCCATGTTGAGCTTACGTGTAAATCTGGAGAATGTTCCTCGATCTACAGTTTGTTGGATGTCAGCGTTAGCGTTGTAGAGACTCGAGATCATGCAAATCTGGAAAAACACAAATGACATATTTTCAAAACCGACTAGTCATACTTCACGTCCTTTCGCTTCATTAAGAGTCGTTAGAACATTAAGAACGAGAATCCTAGAGGTAGGCATTGGGCCAGAGGCTTGAGAGCTTCGAATATTTGACATGGACGATTCCATATTGATGTTAAATTCATAATCACAATAAGAAACTTTGGAAGAAGATTCCGCTGAACACATGCTATATTTATATCGTTTTACATTAACACTCACTGTAGTTGTGCACACTGATCCAACTTGGACCCATAATACGCTGCTCAGAGAACAAACGTTCAAGAGGTGTAGTTGTTGTGTTGAAGACGGCAGAAAACGTTTCGCCACTTAAATCTGTGGGCAACTTTGGTTTCAAACTCTGAAATTAAACCACTCTTCATCTCATCCTGAACTAAATACTTACATTATACCGAACTTCGAAAACGTCATTCTCTTTATCATAATTCTTTTCTTCAACAGTTCCATTGTACATAAACTTCTTCGCAACTTTCTAAAGCCATTTGAAAGTACAAATGAATATGAAGTTAATCCTACTTTACACTTGAAGGCTCCTACTCCGGCATGTTTCGACAGTACACTTTTGATTTCCTCGTATATCTCAACATCCGTAGGTGCCTCTTTTGTATCTACACCGTTGATGATACGCTGAAAAGCTCATGGTTGATGGATAATTATAATATCAAACCGTTGCTCGAGGGAGGATGAAAACTTGACGTTGGATATTCTTAAGAACTAAGCAACAACTAGCAGACACCGTCTTAGTCTTCATAACTCTGCCAAAGAGATAAACTGTTCCAGAATGCTTCATTGGGTCTTCGAACGCGTCCAAGTAGTACATTCTCACGAACTGTTCGTCGTTTTCTTTCTCATAAAAAGACTCAGTGCCAGCAGTGACTTTAACCTCATCAACTACTCTGAAAAATCAGGCTTATCACAGGATACTTTGAGAACTAACTCATCAACCCAGTCAGCGTCGTTCAACATTTTCAAAATTCCTTCTTTCTCTGAATGCGACATCTGATGAGAATGTTTAACTTCAGGTTCCACGATTTCCTGAACCACGGGATGAGCAAATTTTAATAATGAGAGAACGTACTTCATCAATCTCGTGCTTCACTTTTTCAACGTGAATAGTTTTTGCTTCCACATTATTCACCGGCTCAGGAGCAAAATCATCATCATCATTATTACCGCCAACACCAAAGTCATCATCATCTTCATCCAACGGTTCAGCCTTGACATCACGTTCCGATTGAGTAGTAGTTGTAGTAGTAGTTTTAGTATTAGTAGTAATAGTACAGTGTTCTATGGAAGGCTCGCGGGATTGAGATTGCTTGCTAAAAGCTACAGACTCCACTGGTCTCGTTAACTTTGCTGATCGTGGGGTAGCTCGTGAAGTTAAAGCAACTTTTTTTACTATGGGCCTTGGAGTGATAACATCATGATCTGACACAGGAAACAAATCAAAAATGCTAAAATTGTTTTATCACCTGTTGCTGCACGCTTTACTCCACCTCGTAAGAAAGGATTTGTTTGTGAGTTAGATATAGGGCTCATAACTTGCTCATCTTCTTCATCTGAGTTGTTCAACTCAAGAAGCAAGTTATCTAATAGAGCATCGTTGCCCAACTTCACTTCACTCTAGAAGGTGTGCTAATAACAAGTAGAAATAAAGAGAACTCACCTCATCTTTCATCTTTCTATTCGAGTTAGTAGCAGAATTGAAGAATGAAGAAAGGGTACCAGGTCGACTTTCTTAAAAAAGGAACGTCTTAATAACATGTGCATGTTCAACCTCTTTTCTTCTTTTCTTTCTTGGCTTTAGCTTTACTGACATGACTCTGCTCTTCCATTCCATCTTCCTCATTCTCTTCCATGAAATCATCACCATGATCGACATAGCCTCCGCCATCTAGATATAGATACACAGTAATGAACGAATGCTCTTCATTCTCACCATCATCTACGACGAAATCAACGGCTTGGCGACTCCGAATGATTTCATTATACTCCTCATCATCAACTTCATCATAGACGTTTTTCACCAGATCCTCTACCTTTCAGAGCAGAGAAGTTGTTTCGAATTTTTTTCAGATTAAACTCACATTCGGTTTGTAAACTTTACCAGTTCGCCTGGCTTCTTTCAAAGCTTCTAAAGCGCTTTGGTTTTTCTTGACTGCCCTTACTCTAGTCGATCGGCGTACTTCCGAATCATTCTCTGCATCAGACATTGAGACAACGAAAACTACTACAGGTGCCTGCAAGTAAGAAGCTGAGGTTCAGCGGCTATGGAACCACAACCGTAATACACGTGCGAGAGAAACAAGTGCGAACAAGGCAGATTTTAAAATGAATCGAAAAATTTGAATAAAGCCTATTTATCACGTTATCTGTAATTCATATTGTATTTTGGATTTCGCGCGCAGTCAATGTAGTTCGTTCAAATCGTAGGGCTAAAAATGTTACGCTAAAGACAGAATAGCTGATCACTTATACATTCAAGTTTCTCTTCTTTTTTTAGAAATATTGTGAAGAATAAGTTATTTTGAAGAATAAGTCTGCTTGTTGCGTAGCACAGAGTCATAGACTTATCTATAGGCACACTTGCATACGCGAATCGTTTTCGCGCCAAAATTAAGTTGAATCGCTTTCGAAGTGTCTCTCCTGTTCATATCTTTATTATTAGCTTCGATCAATTATATGTTCATTTTTGTATATTAGAATTCTGTATTTTGAAACAAAGCAGTTCAGTTTTCATTATAACAAGTAGCATAACGTCAAGAACAGAATAAATACTGTGTACATAGGTCATCACCATAACACTAATCCAGTATGGCTCTGAAAAAAAAAGAGGAAAAGGTTGCATAGAAAGCTTGATCAACAAGCACGTAATGGAATACAACGGAAACTTATTCTACAAAATGAAGAATTCATATCTTTTTATTGAATCAATAAGTTATACATTCATCACAGTGTAATTTCCTTATGCGAAATCTTTATTAATCATCCTCTCCAGCAGGCAGATTGTCTTTCAGGATTCCATCAAATCGAATGCGGATTTCAGTATTAGTGGGGTTCTCAATAGCACTGGCGAACACCTTCAAAGAAACATACAAATACAATCGTTCAGTGTACTCTCGCTATGTTTTGAACACACATAAGTCTTCTCAACAGAGATAGTTTGATAAGCAATACCTTAAAATGCAATGCTTCTAAGGCTCCTCTTATGGCTCCCGCGATAATCTGGGAATAACTTAAAGCACTCAAGTTAGCTGGTACCTAAAACTAGGCCATTTGGATAAAACACGAATACTGAAAGTACCTCGACAAGTTCTGTAAGAGGATTATTCTCGATAATGAGAGAAAACTCTCGATCACCGGCTCCCCAATTAGTTACAGAGGCAGGAACGCCTGAAGAACTATTAAACTTTGTAATTGGCTTTTCCTATACCTAAGTAGCTTGGAATGGCATTCTTACTAATCACATCAGCCAACTGGCGACAATCAGTGCATTTCGGTACATGAGAATTCTTGGCAAGGAAATCATCTGCCAAACGGTTACCCATGTTGAACCCCATCTTAATCGAAAAAGTTTACGAATTCGGAGAACCACCAATAACCTTATCCAGTTGCAAGTTGACTTGCTTAGGGTCTTCGTAATCCTTCAACATTTCAGTGACCAGAGCCCCATAAGTTAAGGAAAAGAGCTCAGCACTCATCTGAAGTTATGAATTATTCCATTGTTTGGTTATTGTTTTTCCACCTTTTTAGATTCGAGAACCCCAGTCTTGCTAGATTTAGACATCTGAAGAAGTTCAGAGTTGAGGTAAGTTCAACAGACATATGATAGAAGATATTGTGATGAAAAACTTTTGTGATAAAGATCAATGAATGAGTACACTGTTTATTATAACAAGTAGCATAACATCAAGAACAGAATAAATACTGTGTACATAGGTCAATACCATCATAACACTAATCCGAAACACTATGGCTCTGGAAAAAAAAGAGAAAAGTATTGCTTCGACTACGTTATCAACATACCCGCTTTCTTCTCTCATCATCACTTCGTGAAACTGATCGAGAATGAGATCGCCTCCTCGAGGATTTTTTCCTTTTGCTGGAACGCTCTACAATGGAAATAAGTAAATGTAGAAAAGAAGATACGACAAACCGTCATCACTGCTATCTTTACCACTTTTCTTCTTCTTTTTCTTCTCTCTAATTTCCCCATCTGACTCTGAGTCTCTCTATAATCATATAGCTTATCCGTACGAGCAAGATTCCAAACGACTAACCTTTCTTCTTTTTTCCTTCTTCTTCTTCTTCGATGCTGCATGGTGATGACTACAAGAATCCAACAAGGATGCTTTATAGTCTTCGAAACACTTTTCACGAGCTTCGTCAGATTCCAACTAGAAAAGAGGAGCATCAAGGAGAGAATTCGACGCCAAAACTTACTGCTGCAAAAGCCTTCTCCTTTTCAAGTTTTGGCTTAACAACAGCCCATTCGGTATCGGGTTCCATAACAGGTATCACAGCACGAATCAGACTCCTGAATTCACTTTCCAGTCGTTTCTTCTTCCGTGACTCTTCTCTCTCAACTTCTTTCTCTTTCGATTCAGCCTGTAAAAATTTGAATCTTGATACATAACAATTAGAATGAACATACCTTTTCAATCAGAGAGTTATAGCAGAGTTTCATGTTACCATGATCTACAGCAGCTCCTTTTTCATCGGAAGTAACCCAAGTTCCGAAGTCTTCAAAACTTGTTTGAACCTAGAAGTTTAACTTTCAAGAAATGGTTTGTAAACTAATCATACCGTTACAGTCTTTCCAAGATCACTGAGTATTCCTTTGATGACTCGCCTATCCTGGCCATATTGTTCTTTCAATTCTTCAACGTAGAACTTGAATAAATCAAGAGGAGTTGATCCTGTCTGTGTGAGCATAGCATCAAAACGAGCATCAGCAGCTATAGTGGGATAGAGGGAAGACCAGAGAGACATAGATGTTATTTCACCTAAGACAATGGAAAATGAAAGAGGTAAGATGGAACAAAAACATACCATTTCTGTGTAACTCCTGTAAGAACGTTTGGAAGTTTTCGCGGACTTTCCGCTCCTGACGTTTGATTCTTCTGTCCTAAATTACAACAATGATTGATCGGAATCATATGAAAAGCAAACCTCTATAGATTTTTCATTCTCATGCTCTTTTTCAGCAGTGCGAATATGCTCTTCGAATACAATCAGCGCATCTTCTTTATCCATACTTTGCAAAGTGACATCTTCAGCAAACTGTGGATTCTCAATGAGAAGGCGTTGAGCCTGAGGCCATGTTGTTTTGTATGTTATTTGATCCATGCTATCCAGAATTTCAGCCAAAGCTTTGATGTTACGCTTTCGTACTGTCTTTTCCTGGTCGTCCTGTTTCCTAACAATGAAGTTCTAAACGAAGTGTATTTTCAATCGTATGGATATTCTGAGTTACCTGGACGTCGCGGAAAATTTCTTGTCTATCCTCATCCGGAACAGCTTGCCAAACCGGGTCTTTCGAAAATATTTCTCTAGCCTTAAAAGACAGGGGATGTTTCTCACCACAAGCTCAAGCACTTACTTTGCCGTATTTTAGTGATGGTTTCATTTTAGAGTTCTCTTGTAGAGATTTTTCAAGATCTTCTTTTGCTTTCTTAATAGCCAATCTCTTTTCATCCTGAAAAACAAAATTCAATAATTTGTTTTCATTTACTTCATTCTCATGAGCCAGTCACTACTAGCTCTTCTCTCAGTCGTGAACACAGTTTGCGCTAGCGACACACAATATGCGCCAACAAGACGCCCGTGCATATTTCCTTTCCTTCTAACTCACATTGTGGCAACGCTGTTTAGGCTTTAAAATGTCGTCTTATATAACTCGTGCAGAGCGCTCGGGTAATATTTTTTATAGAACTACTGGTCTCATTCGATCTGGTCAACTCTCATGGGCTGATCGGCCTTTATGGTATTTTTTAATCGTTATCCGTTATATGCATATAAGTATCGTTCTTGAGGTACGATGTATATGTGGCTCAACCACCATTAACACCTCCTGATTGGAATGTGAAACTTCCAAAGTATGATGAGCCGGTTAGAAAGATCTTTTATGAGGAGGATGTCGTTAGAGCGTACGGAGCACTATGTCACAGCAGCTTATAATGTAATTTCAGAGCATTTTACAAAAAGTTCAAAAGAAGTGGAATTATAAATTGTAATAATAAAGTGGAAAGCGCATCTCAGGTAGATAGAAGGATAGGTTTCAACATTCAGTCGTATTCTTCTTCAGATATTCATCAAAGAATACTTTGCATTAAAGAAAGAGAGCGACGAACAAGGAAAAGGTTTGGAGCACCAGGAACTATTCAGTCTTACGGAGAAACGATTAGAAGAACTTGGCAAAAACTTGAACTAATTGTTATAAAAGGACGTACCCGTTCTTCTTTTTGTTTTTGGACTTTCCAAGCGTTGAATAGTTGTTTTTTCTCAGATACCTACAATGAACTTTCATAAAATTATTTGTTTAACGATTATTACCTTCGATAGAATTCTAAACCGAGGATCGTTCTGAATATGTTTCACAGTTTGTTCCCACGATCCAGTCGCTGTTATTCTTCCTGAACACGACACGGTTACACACTATAAACGATGAACGATTTACCGTCTCTGTACTTATCCCTCAACAGATCCCGGAAAACTTCGCATTGGCGACGTTTTAACGACTGCTCATCAGATTCTGTCGTATCCTGATGAATAAAAAATTATACAAACATACAAGCAACTATTATCACCTCTTCTTGTGGCTTCCCAGAGGAGCTTGCGAGCATAGCAGCTAAAGTGGCTTTCATAGCCTTTTCCATCTCAGTTTCTTCTTTGGCTTCATCTTTTCTCTCTGAACCATCGTCGAAATCTTCCGGCTTAATCCACGTGGTCTCTTTCGTGGTTGAGTTGTAATAATAAGGTTTACCATCCGGTGTTCTGTACTCTTTCCACACGCTCGAAGAGGTTGCGCGCTACGATGACAGAAAATGAATAATATCGAAGAACACATCTACCAACCTCTTGTGCAGTTTTCAGCTCATCAGGCTTTGTCCATGTAGACTCCTTTGTTTGTTTGTTATAATAATATACTCTACCATCAGTTGCAATTGATTCTTGCCAAACACTATTCTGCTTTAAAGAGGAACAACGTAACTACAGTTCAAGCCAAAAAGCTGTTACCGATTGCTGTGGTTGCGGACTTTCTGTAGATGCTTCTTCAGAAGTGTTTAATGTCTGTGGTATTAGCATAGGAACTTGTTGTGGTCTGGATATTGGCATAGTGACATTCATTAGAGCCGCTAAACTATGATTAAAAAACAAGAAGCTGATTAAGCAAAACCTCTCTGCATGTTGACGGCCACTGCAGAAGCATTGACTTGTGCTTGTGCTTGAGCTTGAGCTTGAGCATGTGCTAGTAATACTTGAGGTGTAAAAAGTCCGTTCATAGGATGAACGAACCCTGTAGGAAACATCTAAATATAGGAACTAATTAAATTGAATTCGAAGAACTCGACAGATACAGAAAGAACATCGAAATGAACAAACTTCCGTGCAAAACGTTTCACTACAACTACATCAATGACACTTTCGTAATAACATAAGACGATGAGTGAATACAAGCTGACCTTTGATGGAAAAAACAATTCAAACCATGGAAGTTCATGCACAAAGTCTAATTATTTTTCGATATTCTGGATTCCAAAGAAGCGTGCCATACCACGCAACATGCGCACTACTGGCGCAAACCCAGTGTATTAGAAATGCGTTTGTATATTGCACTAACAGAACAGTTCATAGCTTAATATAGCCTTACGATGTGCTTTATATGAATTTATAAGACAATTGTATATCATAGTATTTATGAGCTTTATGTTGAGAATTAAGAAACAGGTTATTACAAAGATTAATATTCTCAGGCCGAAATAAAAGCTTCGAGTACACGATACATACAAGAATCCACTTTGCCATAATTTTCATAGAACTTTATACAACACAACTAGTCTACTTCTATACAGTTCAATACGAAGATAACCACCCGTTCTAAAGTAATCATAGAAAGAATGCGATATATTGATGTATTACCAGGAAATGATGAAAGAACTTCAGCACTAAACATTACTGGTCGAATCGAAATCACCCGCTTGCAAGCGCAAAAATCATTTCTTCGTTCAAATATTGAGCTTGACATTTTGTGTCATGTAAAGAAAACTAATCCCGAATTGCGTTTAGCTTTATAGCCAAGAGAAGAGGTACTGCATGCGAATTACCAGGCATAACGGGGCGATATAATGATGTAAAACGGTTTCTGTTCTAGTCTTCTAGTAAACTTATATTTTGCGATGTAGGTAATTGAGAGATCTATCTGGTATTTTCTAAATTTCAAAGTTTCATATCAACTTCTTTGGAGCAGGCCACGATGGCTTTCTTCCACCCGTTAAATCAGAGATCTTTTTGACAATTTTAACATTACTAACGGTCGGAATACTATCAGTAGGAGTAGGAGGAGGGAAAAGAACCCTTGTTTTCGTATTGATTGTATAAACGGGCCGTTGACCAAATTCTGAAGAAGATTCATAAAACAAGAAATACTACCTTGAAACTTACGATTTTGGTTGGTGTGAGCACGTGCAAGTAATGTTCGAGCCATTGTTAACATAGTGTCCAAACGTGATTCTAGTCGAACTAAGCTTCTGAGAATGAGATGAGATGAGAAAGGTAATGGATGTAATGAATACTTTCTGATGGCTGGAAGTTGAGATATACATTTCTGACAACTTGGATCTTTCGTAGAATCATCATGATCTCCTGAGCACTCTTCGCTGTCATTCTCAACCTAAATAACTTACTAGCACAAACAACAGAATGAAAGACTCACCTTCTGGTTAGTTAACACTGGTATCGCAAACGATGTCGATGCCATCGCAGGATTAACATCGATGGTTCTGCTGTTGTTCACGTCCATCGTTTTATCTGGAACTTAGGGTTCAATGGAGAAAGAGTATCAGACTCACTACGAACTGCCGTAGACGTAGATGCAGCATTCGACATCTCCCCCATTATATCCATCAAATTGATAGGTCCTGCATATGAATACACTTAAATCAAGTCAGAAAGAAAAACTTACGAGCTACAGTAACCGTTGCTGTTGCAGCTTGCATAGGACGGGCATCATTTGCTGGTTTTATAACATTTGACTGAATGAAAATCTTTAAACGATCATAATCATGTTGCAAACCTTGTGAATAACTCGGATTACTTTTCGAGGCTGAGGAAGGACTGGTTGAGTATCGGAAGTAGAAGTACTACTTGATAGAGATCCTGCAACGGAAACTATCAAGAAATAAGTTGAACCGAAGAAAACCTGCAAAGCCAGGTTTCATTGCTACTTGTTTCCGTACTGTAATAACAGGTAGGTTTCCATTCGCTGAAGGAAAACATGAGAAAAGGATTGGCTTTAATATTTTACCGATAGCTTGCTTCCTCTTTCTTGTCTCTAACTTCAACGATGGGAACATTCCTATTTTCGACGACTGTGATAGAAAATGAGCCTCACACACCTAAACTATGGTTCATAAGTAAACTGTTTCACTTCTCTACATTGCCTTTTTGTTTTGGTCAGCTAATCCTGGAACGGCTTCTATCCAGAACTTCCTCATTGTGGGTGATGAAGGAGGGGAATGTAACAGTAGCTTGCGTCCTCCGATTTCAGTATTGGAATCATTAGTGCATGAAGTAACAGCACACTTTGCTACCTAAACCGTCATGAAGAAAACGAATATATGACTGTAGCTTACGATTTCTGAAGACTCCTTCAACAGTTCTGTACCTTCCAACATAGACTTCTTCAGAATATCTTGTCTGAAATACTCAGATAACAAAGCCTTCGAATTTATTCATACGTTGGAACTGATAGTAAATCCATATTGGAATAAATTAAAGTTTCAATTAAAGCATTGAAATTCCTTACAAGAAGCGTAACCTGAAATTACTGGATCCTTTTCTTCACGGGACCAATTTTCTATATACCTATTTCATTTAACCCAGTATTGTTGATAGTCCCCTTACTTTCAATGATTTTTCGGCTTAACAACATTATGCCGACAGAGAACTGCTACAAAATAGTAAAAAATTAACTTTCAATCTTAAAAAATTGGGCTTCAACTAATTTATCAAAGTTGTGAAGAAGCACTCATAATCCGCCAGTAAAATTGGCTAGCGCAATTCTTGCTACCAGTCCTTTAATTTCATCACTTCAGCTGCAAATAGAGTGTAAGCTAAATCTTTAAACAAATTTTGGCTTATATGCATTTTTGGAGTAGTTTCTGTCAGAAATGTTTTCTATAATGTCTCGTTTGAGTTTGATTGTCGCTTTCATATGTGTATCTGCCAATTTCGGACTCAAATCCTGCATCATTCTTGTCTCTTCTGATCTTCCGAAGAAGTTTGTTCGACCGAAAACTGGGTTGTGTCACTAAACTGAACTCTCCAGCTTCGTTCTTCGATTCTCATACCTGACCTGGTGCTTTGTGTGTGAGAGTATAACGAAATATAGGTTTAAGTTGTTGAGAATAGCTTGATTATCAGAATGCTAAAAGCCTATCTTCTTCTGTTTAATCTAATTCTCCCTATATAGCAAGTTCTGATCACTTACTGTTGTAAGTTCTTCTTTTTCTGTTTATCTCTGGTGACCTGAACTCTTAACCTCTTGTTTGTTCTCACCGAGACTGAGAGCTGATGGCCTCATTTTAGGATGACAGTGGGTGAAACGGCAGTTGATATAGCAGTTCCTGCTAGTAAAATGGATGAACTCGTAAAGGGCTCCGAAGATTCATCTGTTACTGCTGAAGGTTTGCGCTTTTTAAATTTCTGAATCGATTTTTCTTCAAGACTCTAACAATGGCATTGATGGAACTTTGAAGATGACCATCAGCCCCTCAGTTGGCGAACCTTTCGTGCTCCAAGTAAACCTTTTAGGTTTTATAACTCATACATTTTTTCTGTTAAGTTGAACACAACTGAGATGGTTCAAGAACTTCATCAGGTTTTATTGGAAAGAGAATTCACTTGTCATAGAACATGCTTCTCTCTTCAACTGAATGGACAAACTTTGGACAATTTCGTTGAACTCAAAAATATTCCTGAAGTTGTTGATGGTTGTGTAATTCAAGTTGTGGACGGTGAGAAATCAGCCGAAAATTAAAACTTACTATATATCTCAGAACCTTTCACTCTTCGTGAAGCTCGTATTCATCTGAGACACATTAGAGACCTTCTCAGAACAGTAGATCCAGTTGATGCTGCGAATGCTGTTGATGGACACTCTGTTACATATTTGCCCAGCATTAGTATTCAAGAACGTAGAGATAAAGATAAGCCTTTCGATGGTCAACCTCCTGAGTATGTTCTTCCTGGAACGAAGGTAGAATTTCGCTTTTTTTTCTTACGAATTCTATGATTTTCGTTTAAGGACAGAGCTCTTGGGCACTTGCTAAGCACACCAGTCAAATTACCACAAGCTTTGAGGAATATTTCCATTTCATCTTTCAATCCACCACCAGGCCCTCGTAAGATGAAAGGAGATGTCCTCTATTTTTACATTGATACGGTTGAAAAGAGACGTCTTCACGTCACTTGTTGTACCAAAGGTTTCTTTGTCAACTCGTCTACTGATGAGACATTTGACCCATCCCCATCTAGTCAACATAGAAACATTTATCATAGCGTTGTCGATCTTCTTAATGTAGTTAGTCCAGGGTTCAAAAAGGTACTGTTTATCTTGATTATTGCAAGTTAACGAAAATCGTTCAGGCTTATCCAGCCCTCATTAAAAGACGTTCTGAGCGTCAAATGCTCGATAGACTTCCAACTCCATACCCCATTTTCTCATGGGTTGTTCCACCCGTATCTGTCACTGAAGACGGTTTCCGTGCTGAAGATGGTACTCTCCCTCATCGTGTTGGTTATGAAGGTTTTCACTATAATTCTTGACTTTTAAACATGTTTTTTTGCTGTACAGATCATCTCCCCGGACAAATTCGCGACTGGAATGAAGAACTTCAAACAACTTATGAAATGCCCAAACAGTCATGGGGTGACAGAGTCATCAGAGATCGCAGTATTTTCAAAATCCATGGAGATTTCATTGGTGCCGCCGTCAAGGGAGCCACTGTTGTCTTAGACGGTAACGCTATGGCCATCAACCCAGCCGATGAACCAAAAACACATATGTTCATCTGGAACAATATTTTCTTCTCGTTAGGATTTGATGTGAAAGACCATTACAAGGTATGGAGATTATTACTTTTATCATAATAAGGGTTTTGGCTTCAGGAAATTGGAGGTGATGCTGCATCTTTCACTGCTACCTCAGCTGACTTGAATGGAGTAAAGGCTTACGTATCCATTGATGATCCTAAGCTCTGCACTCTTGGAATGGCTGTCATTGATTACAGAGGATGTCGTGTAACGGCCCAAAGTATTATTCCCGGAATTTTGGATAAGGAACAAGTAAACATACATCCTAACAGTGCTCGTTTTACGTTTTTGTCATATTAGGACCAATCTGTTATTTATGGATCTGTTGACTTCGGAAAGACTATTGTCTCATCCGATAAATATCATGAAGTTTTGGGAAATGCCGCCAAACAGCTAAGAATCCTACCCCACGAGGTTATTGTTGGTCCCGATGGAGAAACCGCCAAGTTATACAGTAGTTACGAGACTAAGGTTCTGAAAGAGTTGTTTTTCCATATGATATTCATTCTTTGTAGGGTATAATAGGAAATGATGGACGTCAATACGTTCTGGACTTGTTAAGAACTATGCCACCTGATGTTCATTTCATCAAGGGAGCTGATGTTTCTGAAAAGGCTAAAGAACTGGGATTCCCACGCAAGCATCCTCATGAGTTGGCTGCTCTTCGTCAAGAACTCGTTGAAGTCTTCTATGAGTTGGTTTTTTTATATCGTTATGAACTTATTTCTGTGTTTCAGGAACAAATGTCTTCAGTTCATCCGAGTCGCTGCTGAGCACGTTCGCGACGTTTGTGCTAAAATGACTGACGACGAGAAAAAGAAGAACAGTGAGATCGAGAAGGACATGACCAAAATTCTTGTTGATATCACCGAAGGAAGAGAACCAACTACTGAGCACAAGGCCGTTTCAGAGGCGCTCGAGAAAGTAAAAAGATGGTCATGTTTCTGAAATATTTTTCCGTTCAGGCCGCTAAGGAAGTAGGATCTCTCAAACCAAACACTTGTGATATTCGTTTCAATCCTGATTGCTATTCCACCACTGTACAACATGCTCCAACTGAAAACTTGGAAGCCCAGAGACGTCTCCTTGTTGATGTAAACGAATTCTTTTACCTCAGAAGCTTCACCCTGTATTATAGGCTGCCGAATTCTTGTTGACTGTTCACATTCCTGAATTCGTTCAGCATTGTCTGGAGTGTTCCGTGACACCTATTGATGGAGAAGCACTTTCCGAGCTTCTTCAAGCCCGTGGTATCAACATCAGATACTTGGGAGAAATCGCCAAAATAGTCGAGGTTTTGTACTTTTCTGTTTTCGTTTTTGTATTTTTCGTTTTTCTAGAAAGCCTCTCAGACCACTTATATGAAAACTCTTGTTGTAGGAGAAATTGCCTGTAGATGTATTAAGAGAATTTTGAGAACTTTCATCCATCCGTTACAACAGGTAAGGCATTTCTTGAAAAAGTGGCGACAAGGTCGAGCGCGTAATGGCGCAATATGGACAAATAGGTCAGGAGTTCGGTTCCGGCCGTTGTCTGTCGCCTTCATAACATTGGTCCTTGATGAAGATACCACTCAGCTCACTCTTAATAACAATACATGTAGATTTGATGCTCTGAAAGAATCTTTTTAGGATAAACTGGCAACTGCTGTAAGTCATATGTTGAGGGCTGTTTTCGGGTCATCTTCAAACGATGAAAGATTATCTCCTGATGAGAGACATAGTAAGAAGGTAGGCAGCAGAGTTGTTAGATTGTATTCAATTCCGGGTTCAGAATAATAAGAAACCAAAGAAGAGTACTGCTAACGAAGAATGGTTATCTCTCACACCGAAGTCTTTATGGAAGTCTGTTTGTGATGAAGCATTCAACTATTATGGATACAAGCTTGAGGTAAAGCTGAAATATTAGGCTGTTCTCAACCATCTGTTCAGGTTGATGACATCGATGCTCTCAACGAGAAGTTTGGAGTTCAGAAGATTTCAGTTTTAAGAAGACTCTGCAAGACCCTCGGAATCCAATTGCTTAACAGAGTAAGAAAAGACTTTCAAATTCTTCAAAAACATTTCACAGGATTTCCATTTCGACTCTTCCAAAGGAAAGCCAGTCTTTACTGAGGATGATATCCAGGGAATGTTCCCAGTTATCAAACATAGACAACCCATTTCAAACGATGCCAAGATGTTCTATCAACAAGGACAAAAAGACATTCAAATGGGAAATCTTCGAGAGGCTTACACTTGCATAGCCGAATCTGTCAATTCTATGACATCTATCTATGGTGCTCTTCATTCCGATCTTGCTCAAGCTCTTAGAACCCTTGCTCGCATCTCTTATATCATGGGAGACATTCCTGAAGCATTGGCCCAGCAACACAAAGCTGCTATCATCAGTGAGCGTTGCAATGGAATCGATCATGGAAATACAATTATTGAATACGTAATCAGTTCTTCTCTCTTTCAAATCTTATATCACACCTTTACAGATTAATTTGGCTCATTTCGCTTTCGCCAATCTTCATGTATCCGCTGCTTTGAAACTCTTGTACAGAGCACGTTACCTCTTGTTGATCGCCCATGGTGAGAAACACCCAGTTATGACTCAAATTGATGTAAGACTGTTATTAATTTCAAAACAATACTATCATTTTGTAGGCAAATATCGGAATCATTCTTTTCGCTGTCCAAGAATTCGATTCAGCTTTGAAGTATCTTCAATCCGCCAAAGCATCCATCTATGCTAATGGAGAACCGAGAAGATTGAAGGTAAATCAGTTTTCGTACGTGTTTACTCAAAACAACTATGCAGTATGCACTTGTCGAACACAGCATCGCTATCTGCAATGCTTCTCGTGGAGATTTCCGTGCAGCTCTGTCAGCCGAAAAGGAAACTTATTCAATTTACTTGAATATGTTCGGTCCCGAAAACATCCGTGTGCAGGTTTGATTTTACTATTGTTCTCGTCAGTTAACTATATACTCTAGGATTCATCTGAGTTCTTGAAGCTTTTGACACAGCAGGCTGTGCACTTACAGAAACGTATGATGGATGTCAGAAAGAATAATTCGATCGCCCGTCTTTTGCCCGTGCAGGTGAGACATCTAGCAGGAATGACGGGTTCAAGAGTTCACTTCAGGTCCAACAGCCGCCCTTATCAACTATACTAGATATAATGAACATCATGAATGGAATAATAATAATCTCAATGCCGGCGACTGAGGAGAAAGATATCAAGTCGGAAGAGAAGGAGAATAGAGAGAACTCAAAGAAGGAGTTGTCTGATGAAGCGCTCGATTAAATGACAGGTGAAGACGGTTTTCTGAGTATTGTTGTAGATTGTCTCTAGTAGAATCGTAGTTTTAGAATCAGATCTTTCAAAGATCTTTTTAGTTATCATAATACAGAAATTTATATTTTGTTAATCTTTGTTATGTAGTCAATCCGAGTTAGACGTTTGTTATCTTTGCACCACGAGGACACCCCGTCGTGCCTTCCCTAATGCTCAAGCCTTGTTTTTGCTCTTAAAATCGTTGAAAGTTTAGTGTTTTAGTTGACGATGTTTAGAAGTAAGAAGTAGATTCGTATTAGATTTATTTTTTGCATTGTTAATTGTTTTAGTTTTTTCACCCTCAAAATTAACATCAAGGCCGCGTAACTATAAACAGCCTGAGTAGCTAGGCTTTTCGCGACCCTGATCTCAAGTACATGGTTACTCACAAATCGTTGTTGAATATAATAGATGTTTTTTCCAAATAAATTTATTAGTATTATGCGATTTGTATTATATGGATAGATATGAGGTAGATTTTACAAGAAGAGCTTATGCATTCGATTCGTGAAAGAGCTCAGTTTCAAGGTGAAGTGAGAAGGAGCACTTAGACCTGATGACTTGGAGACTGAAATGTAGTTTGTGTTTAGTGTACTGTGCACATCATCAACTTACTTTTGCCCGAATGTTTTCTATAGAAATCAATATACCCTCTGAGGTGTTTCCAATCTGCTTCAAACATATACATGGGAATGCGAGGAACTATATGGAACAATGAGGAACGACCACTACAATTTGATAAAGTTTAGTCATAAAAGCGTCACGAACTTACTTTCCGAGTGCAGATTGATAGTCTTTCAGAACATTTCGTAATTTCTGAAGTATATGTTGATAAAAGGAATTTTGATGATCAAGCTGATCGTCGATTGTTTGGATGATGGAGACAAGACATCTACAAGCCATATCATAGTTGGAAACATTCTCTTCGAACTCTGTAATTGTTTATTCGTGATAACAGGAAGAGAATACGTAAAGTAGTAGTAAGTGAAAGTACTTACGTGGTCTGTTTAAGCGGGCGAGGAAGTGATAACAGTCGGTTAACATCAGGTAGTACATGCATTGTACATTAGCATCGTCAACAATAGGCACATCCTTCAACTCACGCAACCAATACTCGTATAGATGCAGAATCTTAATATGAAATAGATTTTGATAGGAAAATGTAAATAGAAGCTCACTTTGAGTTTATTGTTCGTCCAGATTTCATAGGCTTTCATGTCATCTCGGTTCTGTAGAAACCTCTGGTGGGCGGAATTCATTTCTCTTTGACGTAACTGGAAAAACAGAATTGGATTCCACAATTTAATAATAGAAAAACAAGATTAATTAACAAATAACAAACCTCGATGACTTTCATATAGAAGTCGGACAGGAAACGCAATCTGGCAGCGCAGCTTTCAATTTCCATATCTTGGGAGGACATGCTTAGGTCTCTGTCGTCAATAAGTCGACAATACTTAGGAGTAAATAGATCTAGAAGAAGCGACTTTATCATGGCTCAACCTAATGATTGTATAAACAAAAATATTGCGAAATCATCTGCCGTATAAGGTGGTACATAAGCAGATGTCAAGCATGTTGAAAAAAATGAAGGAAAAGACAAGATGTTAGTGATAACTATCACATGGCTGACTAAGAATGCCATCTGGCAATCATCTGGCGGAATGATTTTCAAAAAGATGTTCGAAATCGTCTGTTCGACATCTTCACATATCAGGTGAAGATCAATCAAACACATATTTGAACAGGAAAGTAATAGTCAGACGATACGATCAGATGGCGCTCAACATTTAAAGTAATAAAGCCGTTTACCGACATTTCTGATGATTTTTAGACTCACAATTGGTGATTAAAAATAATTCTGATTAAAGGAAAGAGAAGAAGCTATTAATTGGTTCTGTTTTGAAAGATTATGGAGCCAGAATTCTCAAAAGATAACACATCACCCACGTAGAGTCGTTTTTCAATGACTGAACTGATAAGTAATGTGGTTGACTCATAAATTATGTGGAACTACTGAAATTAGCTTTCAGTCAGAATAGCGGGGTGGGAGGCAGTCGCAAATTCGAAGGGGGAAGTTGTGACTTGGTGCATCCTGCGGAACCTCAGTACGACACATGGACTACACAACAATGCAAACGCTGATAATTAAGAAGCACTTTCACTTTCATCTAATCAAACCTTTCATTTTCAACAATTCCGCCAACCGAGCGTTGTTTTTTTTGAAGTTTGAAAACATAACGTGGATGATGCCACGTCACGGGAAGTTTATTCGTGTCGATGCTAATGAGTTAAACGGTTGCATTCAAATTTTTTTCTCATTATCATACCTACTCACGTCGTTGCGCGTTCATTCTTAATATGCTAATGGACACCAACGCTCTCATTTCTGTGCAAAATGACGAGTAGAGAGGTTGTACCGGTTTCACTGAGGTTTTCTCCGGAAATCAAAATCTTCAAAGTACTAAAGATTGTTGTAGGTTCTTCCGACCGCGTATGATTGATTACCCCGGAGAGTATGAAGGTGAGATATACTCGTGTCCTCATTGTCTCAAATGCTATGCGACCGAAATGGTGAGATGAAGTTTCCGTTGGTTAACTGATGCATATGATATAGGCAAGAGCTCATCATATAATTCAAGATCACTGTGTAGGCTTGAACTGTTTTGGTTGCGCAGAGGTACCTTCCTTATCATTAATCAAAGTAAAAGTTTTTGTTTTTCGAACTTCAAAACCTTTCGACAAATGGCTTTACATGTTGCTACCAAGCACCCCAACAAGCGATTTGTTTGTTGCTATTGTAAGGTAAGATCAAAGTTCAAGTTTTATCGAAGCAACGGATATACAAAATGATTTTCAGGCAAAATGGCAGAAAGTGAAAAAAATGAATTTGAATCATTGGCAAAGAGTGCGCCATCACATCTATGGAGTATTATATATTAGTTATTATATAAAAATGTACAGTTGTATGTTACAGGAGTTAGTATTTGAGAAAGTGGCAGAATATAGACAAAAGGATCAGGACGTTGTAACGCCGCTCATGCAATCAAACGAAGATAAGCCAGAACAGACAAATCCTTTAAAAATCGAGGACATAGAGTATTGCATAGAAGAAAGTGTGCAAGCAATTTTCGGATAAAACTCAAATCTACCCATGGAGATCTAATCAACAATCACAGTCATTAGAATAAAAGAATCGAATAATAAATTTATGATAACAGTCGTGCTTCTGTTTTTAATTCTGCAAAGAAAATGACAGTTGAAGAGCTGCTGCTGTTGCGAACTTACTTGTCATACTTCGAGTACAGATCGAACTTGATCGTGGTGGGATAGTATTTTTCTTCTTATTTTCCCGTTTGTCCCTCTCCAAACGTAATAATTCAATCCTAGAATGAACTTCCGAAAATCTGTTTCTTTGAGTGGAACGTAAGAAGTCTCTTAAACTATAAGGGAAATTAGTTATGGCTGTAGCGGAAACAACTCACAGGGTCGAGTTCATGTTTTCTCCCGAGTTTAGAAGTTCTGTGAAAAACTGAAATCAACAGAGAATAAGCGAGCATGTAAAGCCACAACTCACTCCATACGGATATATAAAACGCGTCGAACTATAACTCACTAAGAAACTCAGTTCCTTCTCATCAAGTTTCACTAAAACTCCATCAGGGCGAGATTTCTCTAAACACATACGCAATCGATTGAGGGTGATGATCAACTGAATGAATACCTGGAAACCGCGTTAAGTAATCTTCAATAATTCGGTTGACTAAATGATCTCTGGATAAATCTATGATAGGAAACCGGCACTGAAGTGATAATGATCAAAGATTGGGAGCTAGACGATTACATACTTTCGGACATTCTTTGTTGAGATTAGCCCATTGATATATACAGCCCGCACAGAACTTGTGATTACAAGGAGAAACACTATAAATGATTGATTCGTGAAAATCGAAAAAAGAACTGAATATCTCACTTCATCACATTATGCATAATATCCAAGCAAATCGCACATTCAAGCGTTCCTTCAGATAAGAAGTCGATGCCGCCGAATAGATCATTACCCTTGAAAAGGTCAAAGATGCATATAGAGTGAGGAAGAAAGAGAAAAACCTTTAGACCAGTTTCATCCAATTTTGATTTTTTTGTTTCCAAACAACTATAACGCCTTTTGAGAGACATTTTTTGTACACGGGACTCCTAAAACTACACGATTAACATAAGTGGAAGGTTGAGGCATTGCACGGATAATCCAAGAAAGCATGAACGATATGTTTCAAAAAGAAAATGTTGTTGAAATACACGAAATTAATTAATGTACAGTGTCATCTTATATTAGGGAGATTCAAATAGAAAGTTAAAGTTTTTGTGAGTGAATGGCAAACGATTACTATTGACTACTTAGTTGAGCGAATATTACTGAAAGCCTAGTCTTCTGCGCGCTCTTGGTCTTGTAGATCTGAAAGAAATGTAGGATGATCAATCAAAACCTATAAATATCATCAAAACCTGGATAAAGTTGGAAGTAACATCGTCGAACGTCGTGCTCGCGTCGTTACACGTACTAAAGCGTTTCCAATCGGTACAGGTCCGGCTGGAGAAGCAAAAATAACTCCTTTCGCAATGACGTAGTCGCTACAAATCGCAGAAAAATCCGGATCGATAACTAGCTCAGTCATGTCTGTCCGACACTGCAATTTAGATCTTTATAACAACTTGAACCCTGGTACTCACCCGTGGACATGTTTTATTCGTATCTATCCAGCGCAGAATGCACAAATGGCAAAACTTGTGCATGCACGGAACACAACTGAGAAAACGGTATAATTGGCTTCTCAACGGCTAAAGCTCACCTGGTGGCATTCTGCATGATATCCAAGCAGATTGCGCAACTAATTATATCTTTATTAAACCAGGAGTCGTTCTGTGATGACGTTGAAGGAGTAGTTGGGAAGAGAAAAGGATTAGAAGCTAAAGGAGCAGGGGCCAAAACGGGCGTAGTAGTTGTAGTTTCAACGGAGCGAGCTCGCACAGTTCGAGGAGTCTGATTAGTCGAAAAGTAAATTTATATGACAAATCTGTCTTACTGGTAAATCAATGCCCAGAGTAATCGGATTATCCTGTGTTCCTAATACAACAGGAGGCATTGGAGGATTTTGTCCTACAACTTGGATGGCACCGCCAGAGGCTTGAGCATTATGACGAGACGAAGCTCGTTCTTCGTGATATGTGAATAAGACATCTCCTTGAAAGAAACAGGTGATCTGTATGAGCAAGAGTCAACTTGCCTAATGAAAAGTTAGTGGGATTAGTAAGAAGAGTGGCTGTACCCGGTCCAAGGAACCTATCGCTTTCTAATGAACAACCAGAATTTCTGTAACGTAAGATATATAACTGATGAAGATGATACTCATACACTTTACCCTAGAACTATAAGATAAACTCCGGTATAAGTATAAACTAAACGTGCATGCATTGGAACAATGCCTATCCCAGTTACTTCTATATAATCCGCTATAATTTTTATATTTAGAAGGAATCAATGAGCTTTTCCTACATGATCCAGAGCCGATTGTTATGTCATTGTTCCTGAGACCCAAGCTGAATGATTTAAACTCATTGTTATACTCCAATGTGCACAATTTATATTTCATAATCTGCAACGAAGGATGTGAACTCGTGCATGCTTGCATGTTTCAAATACTGAGTAGACGAGAACTAAAGGAACAACACATAAAAGAAAGAATGAAATAGTTCAATTAAATTGTGAATGAAAGAAAATGAGACGTATTGTTAGCGGGAGAGGTCTTCTTTCCTAAAAAAAAGAGGAACAAGGTTCACACCAAGTGGTGGATAGACTCGGTAACCTTGCTTCTAATAGTATAGTATCCAAGAGCTGAAGAAGACGGTCCTTCACCTCAGTGCTCCACCCTCTTCTCTGATACTCTACCAACTCATGTGTTGCTTGATTAGGTGTTGAGAAAAATATTCCTGAAAATTTCACAATACTATATATCGATTCATACACAGCAATTACCGTGATCTCTAAATATGAAGTAGTGATTGGCCACATAGTGGCCGTTTTTTGTTAACATATGTCTCTCGTTAATCTTGACACTCTGATAAGAGAATGCTATATTTAGAGAAGCGAAACGAAAAAAGCAAAAAACTGGGATCTACCTGTCGATCGAGACGAAGGGTGTTGTCTTTAACGGTATTGTATTTTGGATTCTCCAAGTGATCCCTATATATCATGATCAAGAGGTAATACATGCTTTTGAAGACGTTAAAACCTGTACAGATCTTGGGAGAGTACAACTCCTCCTGTCCTTTTTGCCAACTCTAGCATGATAACATCGTCAATAATATTTCTTTGCACAACATGGACTACTCGAGCTCTTATCAAAGGCTAAGTTATGCATGATATTCGAAAACGCTGTTAATCAATACCTTCATGAGGTGAGCAGAATGCTCAATGTTCTTCCCATTTATATATCCTGTAGACAATACAATGCACACTTCAAAATCGTTCTTTACGAAATATCTTGTCAATGAAATAAGGCCACAAATTTCGGGCTGACCACTAAACGTTCACGAAAGATATAAAGAATTAGAACTTTACGAACCGTCCTTTAGTGAAATGCATAAGATTGGGTCCGTCCAGGATAACCAAGCGCTTGATCTCATTGGGATGTCTGCTTTGAAGCACTTCATCATTCCAAAAGAAATTCGCCTTCTCAACCCCCTCCATGAGCCCCAGGTTATGTTTCAAAATTCCGAACACAAAAACCCAACCGAAGAAAGTGAAATAAAATACAACACTTGATTAAAAAAAAACAAACTAGTCGGTACCAGTTTGTTTTAAGGTAATGAGTGTGGGCCAGGAACTCTATCGATTTCTGGCGATTCGCAATAGTCCATGCTTTCAGGCAGTTTCAGAATATTTGACCTGGCCGAATGCAAAAAGGAGAAACGGGCAGCTTCTCCCTCTTTCATCGTTTTATGTTCATTTGAGCTAATTTATCAATCTGAACATAGATCGATTTCGATTTGATTTCTAAAACATCAAAGAATATCCTCACCCAAGGGCTGTTTCGTTCACAAGCCGCTGTTATTGCAATACCTAAGCACTTATCTTTCCTAAGATATTGGGAAGCACATTAAACGAAAAAATTACTTGAGAGCAAAAAACTTAGCAAAACCAACATTTCCGCTAAAATAACAAAGCGGAGAGATTATGAGTAGGGCGAATGCTATTAAATTCACAGCTGATACTTGATTTTATCAATAAAAATACAAAAACATCCAATTTCGACTGATTTCGATAATGACAAGCATTCTTGCCTGTCAGCCTCTTCTCTCAAGTCCTTTACCACAGCCTCCGCCTTTTCTCTCTATTTTTTATAAATTCCATTCATTTTCTATACATCTTCTCCGGAAAAATACGTCATTCCTGAAAAATGTTTCTGTTGGCAGCGATATATAGGGGCATTTGGGCGAATATTGACTGCCTAGTGCGCGAGAGAAGAGCATAGATAGATGAGAGAGTCAGACTACGAAGATCGCAGAAACAACATGGATGGAGGAGTGAGACGCAGACAAACGTCTCTCACCCTCGTCTCCTCACATCGATAGATAGGAGTCTCGTCGTTGCTTCTTGTGTGCTTCACTTAAAGAACTATTTTCGATTCGTTTCCGACTTTTAGTTTTCATTTTTTTTGCTTAAATTATTTATATAAGTTTGTTGCAATCAGTGTTGTGTAGTTCAGCTGTGACTTCATCATCGAACAATCCTGTTGGGCTGTGTGTTGTGACACAACTATTTCGTTTTGAAACATTTTTTTTAATATTAAAAAATTTTTTCTGTTCCACACACAGACGCACACAGTCGTCACATGTTCTGCAATCTGCTTCACCTTGTCATTAACTGTTTCAAAAATGGTAAAATGTGGAATTCCCATCACATGATTAACTTGAATCCCATCTTATACCCTTTGTTTACGGGTTACGAAGGTTACAACGCTCCTCCCGAGAAGCTCATCCCTACTGCTTTTATATAAATTGTAAATTGATTTTTACTTACTTCTTCGTACTTCCGATCGTTTCTTTCATCTTTTCTTCCCATAATTCAGCTTTTAAATTATCGATTTTTCAATATAAGTGGTGGTTTTTATATTTGATGTTGATGTCATATGATTCTTGTATTCATATTTCGTTTCCTTAATTATGAACTTCCCATCAAAAGCTAATTATGATTTCAATGCTTCAGCTTATTCACTAACGTTTACCATTGTGATGGATTTGTGTGGAAATGGAGCTGTTTGACGAATTTGAATATAGTAAACGCGACATATTGGGACATGGAGCTTTCGCCATTGTTTATCAAGGGCGATACATTAAAGTGAGTTCGGAAACTTTATTATTTTTCTTCGATCATTCGAGAATTTCGTTTCTTTCTTTCAATTCGCGCCTGAAATTCGATACATTTTGTAATAGAGCGATAGCACTTTGTTAATGATTCCTTGCAAGCTTATGAGATTTTCAGAGACCGGACATACCAGTTGCTATAAAATGCATCGGGAAGAAGAATTTGTCAAAATCAAAGTCTCTACTCACGAAAGAAATTAAGATCTTGAAGGTATGTTCTTTTTTCTTCCCACTCATCACAATCATTTTCTTTCGTTCAGGAGCTTAGCAACTTGAAACATGAGAACTTGGTCTCTCTACTCAAATGTACTGAAACCAGTCAATATGTATATCTCGTTATGGAGTTTTGTAATGGAGGCGATTTGGCTGATTATTTACAAAAAAATCAGAAACTCTCCGAAGAAACTATACAGCACTTTGTTGTTCAAATCGGTATGACTTCACACCTCGTTAGTTCCATTCTATTCTAATCCGTTTACAGCTAGAGCTATGGATGCCATAAATAGTAAAGGAATTGTACATCGTGATCTCAAACCACAGAATATTTTGCTTTGTTATGATACGAAATCTGCTAACCCTCCCATTCATGACATTGGTAACGACCCGTTTCTATCTTTCCTTCTAATGTCTTTGTAATAGTTGTGAAACTAGCCGATTTCGGATTTGCCCGTTTCTTGAACGATGGTGTCATGGCAGCTACTTTGTGCGGCTCCCCCATGTATATGGCTCCAGAGGTACATAACGATTTGAGTTTTGGTCTATTAAGTTCATATTCATAGGTTATCATGTCCTTGCATTATGATGCTAAAGCTGATTTGTGGTCAATTGGAACTATCCTTTTCCAATGTTTGACAGGACAGGCTCCATTTCCGGTAGGAAACTGTCACGTTTTATTTGATTTAACCAAACATTTTTTATAGGCTTCTACTCCTCCAGCCTTGAAGCAGTTCTACGAGAAAAACAATAATCTCGTTCCTAATATCCCTGAAAGCTGCTCCTTCGATTTACGGGACCTGCTTACTCGACTTCTAAAGAGAAATGCTGTGGACAGAATTTCTTTCGGTAATATACTCCTGATGAAAGTGCAAAAACCCTTTCTTTTACAGAGGATTTCTTCAAGCATTCATTCCTTCACAAGAAAATCGTTCCCGTGCCCAAGCGTATTGGGTTGGAGAATGCTTCTCCTGCCGTATCTCGTCGAAATATTCCTACTTCTGCTCTTCCCATTCCACGAAAGCCTGGTAGCACAGCGAAATTCGAAAGTCCACAAGCTTCTCATCGAACGGTATTTGTTTAAACAAAAAAAAACTGTTAATCACACTCGTTTCATTTAGCTCGTTAGTGCATCGCCTCAACCTATCAGACGTTTTAACCAAAACCATAATAATGTTAATGATAGTAACGATTTCACATTCTTACCTCCTTTGCCAAACCGTGCGCATGAAAACAACCCTGTTAAACAGGTAAAGCTCATAGATAACTTCTATCTTACTTTAAAAATAAAAATTTAAGGTTCAAGTGCATTCTGGAGAGTCTCCACTCTGTGTAAAACCTGTGCCAGTCCCGAGCCAGAGGAACAACTTTGCCAGAATCGAAGTGAGTTTTACCATCTCTTATATAACATATTGAAAGCGTCAAATGTCACGATAACAAGTCCTTCTCCTTTTTTTCAGGAACGACGGCCGAAAGAGTCACATGAAACCAAACCTCAACAACAGATATCTTATAGCCCAGCACAACAGCCTAGCCAATATCAACAGCAGTTGGGTTCTCCTCGCAAACCATTAGATCTCCCTCCATCACCTATCGAAAATATCAGCTTACCTCATAGTAAGAAATGTTCTGGTTCCTAAGCTTAACTATCTCCTATTTTAGCTCAATATATCGTGCGGGGCGTTGCAAATAGACGATCCGCAACTGACTTAAGACAAAGGAACGCTTCATGCGCAACTTTTGGGCAAAGCAATATACCGGGCCAAGTTCCGGACCCGGGTATAACTGAAATATCTTTCTTGCGTTCAACCCTTCTCTTTCCAGTTATCCCAAAATCAGCCACGGTCAACGAACTTTGCAATCCAACACACCCCCGAGAGGAAGATCTAGACAATTTAAAATTTTTGGCTGCTGGCCCTGCAGAAGAAAATAGACCATCAGCTGGAAGGTATGGTAGCTCAACTATGATTAATATATATTTATTCTTCAGCGACATCAGTGAAGATGAGGATGACGGTTTGAATGACAATCCATTGCCCTTCGCAGCTAGTCGATTAGGTCCGTCTTTTTTCAACTGTTGCAATTGTCATAATATCAAAACGTTCAAACTGACGTCTGTTTTTTTTCAGATTCTACTCACTCACAAATGATGGAGAGCTGTCTGAGCGAGGAACAAACCTCATCGTCGTCCGTTGGTAACCAGAACATGAACGAGCCCAATGCTGAACATAAAGTAAGTTATAATAAACTTCAGTCTTTTAACAATCAAGCTCATTACAGATGGGAACCCCAGATTCGCCAAGTCGACAAAACAATGAAGTGGATGCTAATGTGCCTCCTGCGCTAGAACAAGAAACGGTCATGGAAGAGGAGCACAAACAAGTATTTCGAATTTTCTTTTCTTTGAAAAAAACAGCTCACGTGCTCTAAACGTTGCACACAGCAATCACAACCGATCACAAAACCATTTGTTTAAATAATGACGCCGTTGACGTGACGTCTTATACGAGAGATCTACGTGGCATCAACGAGCTCATGTTTATGTTAATTGAGGGAAAGACTCAAAGAACACATCAAAACATCAGGAGTCTCAAACATGAATATTTCAGATTCTTGCTAAATTGCGATTCGTCGTGGAATTAGTGGACACTTTGATGCAGGTGGCAGAGCAAGCGGATAATCCACTTGTTGTTGCGTTAGGGAATAGGAAGGTTTGCATGATGCAAAATCTTCTTTCTAATTTTTGTGTTCAGCCGGAACCATCTTCGGCTTATAGAAGAGCCGAACAATTAGTAGTATATGTCCGTGCGTTACATATGCTCTCTTCTGCCCTATTACTAGCGCAACGGAACGTTGCCTCACGTACTCTTCAGCCATCATCAGCCGTTCAGAATGTATTAAATCTTCTTAATGACAAGTATCATCAGTGTCTCGTAAGTTCTAGATCCGTAAATCGATCATTGTATATATTCATTATAGGTTCGATCCCAAGAGTTAGCCTCCTTAGGTTTACCAGGACAGGATCCTGCAATGGCTGTTATCTCAGCTGAACGAATAATGTATCGCCACGCAATTGAGCTTTGCCAAGCAGCCGCTCTCGATGAACTCTTTGGTAATCCACAATTATGCAGCCAGAGGTATGTACTATCTTCTGAAGACCGGCTTATACATCACCCTTCAGATATCAAACTGCTTATATGATGCTCCATACGTTATCTGAGCAGGTTCATAGCGAACAGGACAAATCCATTCTTTCACGCTACAAATCAGCAGTTGAAAAAAGATTGCGAATTTTGGAAAGGCAAGGGTATGTGACTGCTGTCCAAACATAATTTAAAACTGATGCATAATACTACTGTTCCATGGGTTGCTTTATTCTATTGCTGCTAGTTTTCTCTCTCATTGTAAGCTTATATCTTGAAGCATTTCTAAAATGGCCTTGCACAAATCATGAAGTACAACTCTAAACTTGCCAAGTGATATTTCTTTTCGTCTAAGTCATTCTATCCTGATTCATACTAGTGGTGCTACTTTTCTTTTTTGGCGTACGGTAAATATATTCCGGCTATCATCTGATAGTTCTCTTTTTGGAAAAAAAAACGTAATAATAGATTCTTATGAAGATCCCGTCTTAGCTCTTAGAGTTCTGTGTGTGTGTGTGTGAGTGTGTGTCAAATGGAAAGAGAATTTGAAGAATGTTTGCATCTTGTACTATTGCTTGTTCTTATGTACATATTCGCATATAATATAATACAGATTTTACTGTTGTGGAAAGATTGTATTAACGTGGTTTACGACAAATACATCTTATGACAAACCCATTAATTTTGACAATAAATGTTCTAATAAACTTCTGAGATTATTGAAATAACAATATAGCCTTTTTTGGAGAATTCAAATGAGATCGAGCTATACATTCGTTATAGTTTTGGTCATACGATATGACAAGATTACAGTTAATTAGGATTCGTAGGTAAATATTAAGTTTAAAGAACATCTTCTTCGCTATCTTCGCTCGTCGCATCGACTAAGAGACGGGACTCTAGTTGAGTGTACTGCACTGCTCCTGTCCACCTTCCGAACTTCAAACCATCTCCAAGGCTGAAACACGCGGTGAACTGCAGCAACGACGTTCGGAAGAATTCCGTTGTATGGAAGGTGGGGTATACAGAGGATCGGCACTCTCGAATTCATAAGATTCTGAGTGGCCACGAATTCGGAATACTGATCCACCGCCATAACTGAAACATGGGGAAGCCTGTAGATCTCAACCGCACTCGACTAATCTAGCCAAACAACACAGCTCTCAACCAAAAATTTAATTAAAACTTAAAAAATTTACAGGGAAAAAACTCAAACGCGGTTGAGAACTAGGCACATGCATTGCAAATGTAAGCTCTGAAGGACAGAAGACATAGGTGTTTTCACAAGTATTAGACTTCTAACGGTACACACGATTGGAAAGGATTGAAAAGCGAAATGAAACGGCAAGAATCAACAGGTTGGCTAAGATACATTGAAAATACTGGACTAGCAAGCAAGTTAGAGGTGTAGGACAAGTAGCCTACCTAGTGTAGACGGGAAGAAGCCATGTTTTCCAATTTGAACCAAAAACTTCACGATAGTTCGACCGGATTCCATGATTGAATGCATTCTTATCAACACTCCCTCGTTCTACCATCGGAGCATGGAAAGACTCTGAAAACACAAAATCAAAATATTTTCAAAAAAGAAGCTACTACTACGGCAAACAAAATTTTGTGCGCATACTAACCTAGAGTAGTCCTATTACGAGCTGTCAAATACAAATGATAAAAGAATAAGAAAGACAGTGAAATGGCAAACATTCCGGCAACAAACAATATGAGAATTATTTGGAATCCAGCGGACTAAAAGAAGAAGTACGAGTAACTGAAGAGAGCCTTACACCTACAGAGAATCTGCCGCTGAACCCTTTCCAGAAGCTTATGAAGAATGGTAAGTCAGTCAAGACTACATAAATACAAAATATGAACCCATACCTGAAAGAATATGATGAGACACATTACAACAGTTACAACAAACCCTAAGAAGAGCAGGAAAAACTTATAATTACGGAAATTGACACAAGTATTCACCCATGGACAATGATGATCAAACTTTCTGAAAGAAAACATGTTTATCCTGTTTGATGCACTTGAAAGACTTACAAAACACAAACTCCACAAATAGAGCAATGATGAGTACGATCAGGTTTTATGCATTTGCATTTTGCACAGTAGCGTATACCTTAAAGAAAAAAAAATCTCATAATCTGCTTCACGCATGATCTTACCTCCATTGAATGAACGCGTAACTAAATTGAGCCCTACATGATCAACATATCTGAAGGAGGTTTATATTATCGGCTTTGTGTTTACAAATACCTCCTGAGCACAGCATTAGACAGATTGGGATCATCTCTACAGCCTTCCAGCTCTTCCAAAATCTCGGGAGGCAAGTAGTACTTAAAAATTATTGATTAAGTAGGTGTAAATGATGAGCGAACGTACTTGACGCGCTGGAGTTCCGATATTAGTGAATATAGTTTTAAAATATGAAACACCAAATAAAGCCAACAATATGTGAAAGAAAAATAAATATAAAAAGCGTTGTACAGGGTTCTCAACAATCCCTGAAAAGGCCAGTTTGAAAGGCAATATGACGAATATGAACTTACAGAAACATAACTGAAAAACATAAGCATAATAACCCCAACCCAAAGCTCCTAAAAGAATGGCAACCGGTAACCAACGCACTAACTTAAAAAATGAAATTGAGGGAAACGTGTGAAGATGGTAAACTCACTTGTAAACAAGCATTTAAACATCTGAAACAACCACCCATTTTGTTATTTTTGGTTTAATTATCTCTCCACTATCGAAACTGTAAAGAGAGAAAAATATTTAAAACGTTTAAAGGACACCGTCCCAGAAGACAACTCAGCAAATGACTCATTTCACACAAGTGGTGAAATGGTTCGAGAGTTCGGGAATGAGCGCAAATATACTTTTGATTCTTCCAACAACAAACAATTCGCGATTGTCAAAATAATAAAATTAATGTGAGAATAAAAAAAAAAAACTAAATTAGTCATAGACGCATTGGAACCTTCATCAGAATATCGAGCGAGAAATCCGCAAAGTGGCGTCTTGCGTACTTAGTTTTCAAATAATCTCATGCAACAACTTAAGTTTCTGCGTGTCTAGACATGGAGCTAAGCTCTAATGAAGCTCTTGCAATCGACAAATCATTGAAACAGTGATGAAAACATAATAAAACCCAAATTCTTTTGTTCTAAATTCCTTATTGAAACCTCTCACAGAAATTTGTAACTCTTGTCCTTGCAGACCTTTTCATCTTTCCCTTCACACCGTTTATTTGGATTTATGAGAAAGATTATTGTAAATGGCAAGCACGTCTGCAATATCGTCAGGAATCTTTAATCAGCCTGTTGATAGTGAACCTAATCCACTTGAAGAGAATAGATATGCTCGATTTGTGATCCATTCAAACCATAAAGGCAACTGAAACTCCAAAGAACAGGCATCAAGTTTGTTTTGTTTTTCAGTTTTCTCTCGAGCCATCACTTCGTTATCCAAATTGGGTGTTGATCTGTATATAGAACCCAATGAACTAGGAGTAGGTCACACTTTGAAACTTCCTGCAAACCTGCTCATTTCAGTTATCAATCAAAACGTTCAATAAAACCAAGAGTGCTTATGGCCTTTTCCAATTCTCTAGCGAATTTTTCTCAGAAGTAGACGCATCCATTTTCTCAGAAGATGAATCTAGTAATCGTCTCTGTCGCATATCCATGAAAGTAAGTTTTGATCTTCCAATCTCGTATCATTGGTTCATTTTTAAGTGTGCTCTTTCCCTTTTTAAAGGTCTCCAATTTAGTGAAAAAACGTTTGTTTCCTGTGAATTTCGAATTGATCCTTCGTCTGATTTCTTCATCGTACAGCTACTCTATGCCTATGGTCTTTAATCCTATTTTGTGAAACAGTTTTCTGTTCTCTTGCAGATGTCTCCAAAACATTCGAAATCAACTTGCTGGAGACACAAACCTCTTTTAGAACCACAGTTGACAAAACAACTCTTCAAAACTTGACGATTGTGACTCCATCTATCCTCCATGCGATTCTGCATTCTCTGGGAAGTAGTGAAGAGATGATTATCCAATCTACGGAGAATGAATTGATTCTCAAAAACTATCTTGCACACGACGATGGTATTGGGATTTCATCTTGTTTACATCTGAGAATCCTTTACAGACAACCGGAGAATCGTGAAAACTCAAGCCAAGCTGTCGACTACTCATTTGGAGAGACATAATAGCGTCATCAGTACGGAAATCGCAGTCAGCTTGAAAGAGTTCATGGTAGATCGCTGTCAAAGACGTGCTTTTTCTAAAAATGGTGTTTGAGGCGGTTCTTACGTTCGCCGATCAAAATAATGCTATTCTAAGTCTATATTATGATGTGCCAGGGAAGTGAGTCATTTGCAATAGGGAACTGTATTGAAGAGGTAGCTTTCAGACCTTTGGTTGTCGCTCTTGAGGGGGACATCGTGTACTCGGCTGAGTTCATAATAGCCACAGTCGAAGCTGAAAATCCGGAAGTCCATGAACATCGAGAAATTACGACACAACAGATCTCAAGGTTTTTCTTGTAACTTGATCCGAGAGCACTTTCTCCCGTTCAGACACAATTCTCAAACAAGCAGAAATTCAACCCGAAGGTCGAGGATTTCCATTCCCGGCCCGTCCCAGCCCAGAATCACAGCGCTTTTTCCACAAAATACTGTTGCAAGTCCTCAGCAGTCATTAAGAGGAAGAGGTTTTTTCTTTTGTTTAACAGCTTGTCAACACTATCAAGTGTTTTCAGAACCTCCTCTTGTGTCGACTCCCAATGTCGAAGTTGAAGTTCAGCAAGAGGAGACTGTTGAAGAAGAGGAAAATGTTCCCCAGGTTGAGGCCATGGAAGAAGTGGAAGAAGAAGTATATGAAGATGCCCCCGACATTCCTGCCAACAATGAAGAAGCGGATGTAATTAATCCTTCTCATCTCACTGTCCCCTCACAATCAACTACTAATGCTCTAGTAACTCAAACTGCCCCAGTGGTCGCAGATATAGGCGAAATGGTTTTTGAAGGCTCAAAGAGATATCAATTTCGTTGTAGAAACCTTTGCAGAATGAAATCACGAACGTTAGCCTGTATCCGGATCCTGCTCCGATGGAAGTAGATGAACAAGTGGAGAAAACGATTATGAACGAAGTGAGTGTGCAGAATAAATGATTTATAATTTTTCTATTCAACAGGAAGTGGAGGATTTGCCTGATACGCCACCTCCGTCTGATCAACGTCATATCCTGTTTGGGCAGACGAAGCCAGATATCAAGGAAAATAAGAAAATACGAACAAACTCGGTAATGTTTGAATGAAATGATTTATTGATACTCAGTACACGTAAAGAGGTTAATAACCCAGATATCATTATTTCAGTTCCGAAGGTTCTTCCTAGGAGGAGAAATGGCTACTCAACATGAAAGCCAAAAGATGGAAGACAAAACGGTTCTAGCGGAAGACACGGATGGGGAATGGGACTAAACCCTTTTAATATCACTTTTAGTAATAAATCTTAATATTCTGTATTAAATAAATACTTTTTACAAATGCTTCCGCGTTCTCAAAGTTCTTCATTGTCATCGCTGAGACGCGAATACTTCTTGCCTACAACATGTGGCTTTCGAGGATAAATGACGAAAAGAGACAATTGAGTTGCTGACAAGAAAGTGGCGACGTAATTTGGAAACTGAAAATAGAAAACTAATGACTACAACGAAGGATTTATATCACCTGAATGACAAAGTCGTCCACTATTATCCCGTATAACATCCATTGTAATGACACGCAGAAACAAGCGATACACAAGGGCAATGGCAATGACTCGGAACTTTTGGTGCGAATAACCTGCAAAGGAGAAGAATGCATAAATGATGAGTTAGACTTGAACACTCACTTCTCCAACAGACAACAAAGGTGCTCCGATGTTGGCAATATTCAAGAACACGCAGCAGATCCCCAAAGGTTCGAGGCCATTATCTTTCAAATTTCCTATTTTGACAATTTGTATATGCATTAATGAGAGTAGAAAGAAATTACCATGGTGTACGAAATATTCCATTAGAAGCATTATCACCAACTCCGCAATTATAATTCGATCTAGCCATCGCTGAAAGAAGCATTTAAAAAAACTTTTCAAAATCTTTTTAGTGTTTGATCCCTTCTATCTTTTTCTCTCTTTTTTTTGTTAATAACACAACTTTTTGATTAACCGCGTAACGTTTATTTCGATCTTCAAACACTCTGGGGAGAGTACAAAGCGCTGTCAGCCATTCCGGGATTTTTTTTGTTGACGCGCGTCGCCGCGTATCAGGCTTCGTCCGCGTTTCACCTCTCCGCGGCAAGTTTTTCGTTTTGCTTGGAGTTTTTATTGACAATTACAAACATAGGATCAGCTTCAAGTCTCAGCTGGCGGGTTTCGCAGTGCTCGCGCCCTTTTTGTGTACTGTTAACTGCGCAAAGCGGGTGCCGCGACGTGCCATCCGCACACCTTCAAGGACGAATTGTTTTGCTTAGCAGCCCTCATCATGAAGAGACATGGAGGCGATGATGACGAACTTGATGATGATCAGCAAGATTTTGAAAAAAATATACGCAAAAGTCAGATGGCACTGGGTGGTGAGTAGACCAAGGACATGGCGAAAGTAAGCTACGAAAAAGAAGATACAGGTTGTTTGCGTTTAAACTGTCACTCAATAGAAATCTTTTTGACAAAAATAAAACTTACTCTTTGGCGTGTCATCGAATAATAGTAGCACAGATAGCTTGTTTGCAAACAAAAACCAACAAGATTCACAAATATAACGACGTTATCCTGCTTCAAGAGACCATATTGAAGCCAGAAAGCACAACTGATGAAGGCTAGCAGGAATGGAGCTGATCCCGTTCCTTCTGTGCTTCCTCGAGCTCGAATTCGTTGGCAAATCGATAAACCACAGAAAAACAAGCCAATAGTTGATACGATTGCTGATACAGATAAGTATGGGAGAACAGTTTGGCCTAGTTCATCCCAAGCAAGAGCCATGATAGACACTGTTCAGAGGAGAATAGGAAATCGCCTACGACAGATTAGCCTTTCTTGTTTGGGCCGTTGATTTGTTTGGGGGGAAAATCGAACACCTGAAACACGTGGAATGAGAAAATATTCGTTAGCCAACACAATCAATTTATGGGATGCGATGGTGGGACCAAAGGCTGAGCCGATCGATAAGATAGCAATGATCTCAGCAGCTGCAACAATAACATTCACGGCAGTCTGTTTCAGGAGGTCGAGGGCTGTTTATGTTTTGCCTTCAGCCTACATAACAGAGCATTGGAAATTATATAAACTGGGTCGGCAAATTGAATTGTTCTATTAAAATTTAAATCCCCCACTAATATGCTGCTACCTGCGAACACTAAGTTTTAATTATTGGTCTTTGCTAATGTGGAATGAATAATTTCTGTTTTGATGTCTGCTTCGAGTGAGGAAATTTTGAATTTGGAATGTAACTCCCTGAGACTGGGCTGAGGTGAAACTAAAGATTGAATCTTGGCCATATCGAAGTAACACTATTGATGGTGAAGACCACACAAAGAGAAGAAATGAATTATACAAGATATCCAATAACAGCCGTTTATTACGAGAACTATCATTTCGCCCAACACAAAATAAATAATAACTTAACCAGATTGACAAGGTTACATGTATATATATAGATGGTTGCTCATACAACAAGACCACGAGTAAGAGATAGCTCAAGAGGTATTCCTTAACATTGATACCGTAATTGATACATAATTGACATCGACAGTAAAACGACAGTATGGGAAGCTACTATGGAACGAACTACTTGAACAAGGATTATACAAGCTGTTAGCAACGAATTGCTCATACACTATACAGACCGTTTGTGGTAATCTAACTCATAATCACGCGGGTTTCTCTAGCGGATTCGACCGGGAACTACTTGGAAATTATCTACACCGGGCGGCACGAATGGTAGCCGTTTACTATCTGCATATCAACAAGTTATATATGGACATATATAGATGGTTGATAAAGTCAGGAAAATAGGAAATGGGCATGTGTACAAACGTAAAAAAGCATGCCAACAGGAAAATTCAAAAAGCAGATTCACATGCAGCAGTTTGACTTTCCACATTACGCATTTTCGCTTATGAGGAAATAATAGGTTGGAAAAATAAAACAATTGATTATTATATGTACAGGGAATGGGCTACAAGGACACGACGGCTCAGCCGTCCTACGTACACGTCATCAGAACTGCCTAAAAAGCTTAGGCAGAACACCGTGTTGTTTCGTTTTCGCGCAGGCGAACATCCACATCAATCAAACAAACTTGTGATTGGAAAAAAAAACAATTTGAATTTTTTTTTATTTTTTTAGGGGGCGTGGACGAATTGGTGGAGGTCCGACACTGAAATCGGACATGACCAAACGTTCCACATATCCAGCTTGTTGCTCATCTTCTGGCCCTAGAGTCCAGATCAAAGAACACCAGTTAGCAGCACGAGCTCTGATGGCTGCTCGTCGGACGCTGTTTAGTGCTTTGCCCATTGCGAGAGCTTCTGAAACAATATAATTAAGTTCTTCTGTTATTGATCCCATAACAAGCAAATGAGAAATGGGATGAGGAATGGGAAGTATGGAAAGAAAAAAAAAGAAAAGATGTTTACCTTTCTCCTCGTTATAGCGAATTGCTTCACCACGTAACTGCTGGAGAATAGCATTGCGCTCACTGGCACGACAATGTTGAAGAAATGTAACAGCATCAAGAAGTTCTGCAACGATAAGATGTTCAACCAAAATAAATAGGTTTATTGATGGTTTTTGAGTTCTGATGAGAAGGTTATCCAAACAAAGTCACCAGGAAGTTTAAAACGTGTACTTGTTACACATCAGTTGATCATAAAACCAAATAAAAACTTCTAATACGAACCTTTAAGAGTTAAATGTACAGACGGAAGTAGTGGTTGCCCTCGAAGTTGCTCCATCTTTCCAAGGAGGGTCGAAATACGAGCATGTTCGCGGAAAAAGTCAACAATAAGACGATCAACACGAGAAGGAGCGGTTGGAAGACGAGGAATCGGCAAACCGTTTGATGAGCTAAAAACAAAAAAACTTCATTAGGTACAGCAGAACACAACCGATACATTCGAACTACATCGAGTGAATGAAACAAGGTTGCACGTGAATTCACGTATTCGAAAATGAATATGACTCATTGCGTACCTTATTTTTTTGCCCAAGTTGTGGCGAGCAAGTTCAGCTTCCGTTTGCTTGCGTTCTTTCTCCAACTGTCTGTACTCTTCGCAGCATTCTTCAAGACGTGTTTGAAGCTCAAGAACAGCTGTACTCTGCATCATCATTGCAGGAGTGGGTGGTGCAACAAATCCTGAAAATAATAATGATTAATCATCGCAATTACGGTAAAAATTACCAAGATGGCTGAACATGTCATGTTCTTTAGCGGTCCATAGATCAGCTGTTGTTGGAGGAGTACGATCCATCATGAAGGAGGCATCATCAGGAGGCAATCTCCATGGTGCTGGAGGCGCTGCAGAAGGAGCAGCGGGTGCTGTAGAGGCGACTGTTTGTGCCGGCATGCCGGACTGGGCTTGAGCTTGTCTTGGAGGTTGAGGAGCTGTACTCTGTGTGTTATTCACAGGAGTTGAGGTAGAAGGAACAGAGAATGCCTGAAACGATAATATCTTACTGAACATTAGATTAGATGATCATAGTTGATAAATAATTACTAAAGAGTTGATGATAACAAAATGTCATCACTTTATTATACTTAAAAGATAATTTGCAAGAAAATGGATGATAGTTTTTGGTCGCAGATCGGAATTATTTCTTAAACGGCAGCATAGATAGCGAAATATAGAGGAAGAGGGAGAGAGCTGCTGATGGAAAATGAGAAAGTAAAATATTCAGAAATTGCAGAGTCTCATTCATAAACTATTGGATAGCAAAAGGGAAAATGAGGCCTGATGGAAGAATGAAGTATCATTGCAGCATTAACACCTACTTCCTCGATTGAAACACTTTGTTGGAGTGGATAATAGTTTCTGGGAAAAACTATCAGTCCAAGCCATAATGCATGTTATGCTCCTTTGCTGCCGCAAATTTTCGAGGTTCTTTTGGTTGAAGCTAAGAGATTAAATCTCACAGATTGGATTGCAAGGAAATCCATGTATTAACAGATTTTAAGTGAGCATTTGATAGAGATAAAAGGCAAAATAATCAATTTGTAAATGAATGTAAGAAGGAGAATGTTGTCGAGAACTGATGGAGCAGGAGCACAAAGGCAATTGCAATTGATATACACGAAAAGGAAGTGAGCAAAGGGAATATTCATAAACGACAGAAACATGACTTACCGAAAAGTGCTGGCCAAGGTTTAGCTTAAGCAATTCATTAATCAGACTGTATTCTGGCAATTCATTAGTGGTATTATTGGAGTCAAAGAGTGGCGTCTCGTCCAAAGATTGCCATAGAGAGGAGATCTTTGGGCTTGTCTGCGGCTGTGATGACGAAGTGGAGCTTCGAATGCTATCGCCACCTTCAGATTCATTTGATGCCTAAATAAGAAAATATTTCAGTTTAACTAATATCAAAGAACAATAGAAAGAAGCATAAAAAAGATTTCTGTTTTCCTCTCTCTCTCTCTACTCTCTCTCTCTCTCTACTCTCCCTTTTCATTTTATTTTTGATGATTAGCAAAAGACGAAGAAGAAGAAGACGAATAAGAAGAAGAAGCAAAGAAGAAGAAGACGACAGAAAGGAAATTCGTAGAAGAGAACGAATTGAAGTGACAATAAAACTGCTTTTCTTTTCGAATCAATTCAATCTCTTACCAAATTCTTATCCATGGCGATTGTGAATTAACAAAAATCAATTAAAATAGTCCCGACTGGAAAATTGTTGGTAAAGGCCAAAAAAACCTTTCTGTTGCAACGAAAGTTAACACATTAAGGCCAATCATACGGCGCCATGGACTATCAAATTGATAAAAATGATTTGATAAAACTTGAGAATTTGGGAAAAAAAAGTTGTTAAGGGGTGAGGTATACGTGATAAAGATATATTTAATGATAAGAAACTCCATTATAATATGATTTTAAGAAGAAAAAACAATAAGAAGCTTCATATGGCTTTACCCCCCTGTCTTTGAATGATGACATCATCTGTTCCACTTATACATTTTTGAAGGGTTCAGCAAGTTTATCGCAGAATGAATGTTCTGAAATCCTAACCCCCTTCTCTCGTGTTCTTTCTTTCTCTCTCTCTCTTTATCTTTCAACAACCCCCCCCCCCTTACCACCCTTCTTGTTTTTATGCCTTTCACATAGATTAATTCACAGAAAATTCGTTGGTTACGTATTCAGGTCGCGCAACTGGGTCATCAAACCAAAATCTCTACTTGCGGCAGATATTTTTTGGAATGAAAAACTCCCTTTTACAACATCAACTGTTCGTTTCAGATGAATATTAAAGAATGTGATGACGACAAAAGGTTATCCCGTCTATTCCCAAATGAATCATGCTGAGGAATGAAAGCGAACTACGTGCACACGCAGAAAAAAATGTGAGAAAAACCAGGAGCGAGGGGAGAAATCACATTTTTTTCGTTTCCTCTCTCTCACCCTCTCTCTGTCGTTACTTCTCATACACACGCACATACACATACACTTCTCTCCTATACATTGGCCTTGTTTCTAATGCGTAAGTAGTAGTGAGAGATTCATAAGATCCTCAGGTGTTTTTAAAAACGAAAAGTCAAAAGCGACGTTTGATAATCAATTAAAATGGTGACAAATTAAGGAACAAAAAAGGAAAATTACAATCCTCAAGGCGACATCACAACCGATTATTGGACTCCTTAAGGAAATAAAAACGAAATGAAAATAAATTTGAAAGTTTTGTTTGAAAATCAGCGGAAGAAGGCTCATATGTTACTTGTTGTGTGGAAGAGGAGAGGAAAGGAGAGTAAGATATACAAAGAGAGAGAGAGAGAGAAAGAGAATATGAAAAGAAGAGATTTTGTCATTTGCTCATCCATTGTTGAAAACGAAAAAAAAAGTAGGTAAGTTGGTCATTTCTACAAGGCGTTCCATCCTCATGCGTGTGTTGTCTGTTGTGCGTGGATGAACTCATCCACCACCACAACCACCAACACACAGAAATGACGATTGTTATGAGAAGATGTCAAGTTCTCATGAGCTTAGAATAAGTTTTGAATGATTCATGCAATTTTCATCAATAAATGACGCTATCGTTTTTATAAAGGGAGAGCAGATCAGTTTTGTGTGTTGACTAAACGTAACAGTTTTAAACATGTACAACGACGACTACGACGACTATGATGAGAACAAAAAAAAAACGAAATGAGAGGAGAATAGCGTTCATACGATTTGAGCATCGTTTTCATTGGAAAAAAGTTTTTTTTTCTGAAAAATAGTTTGAAACTGAGCATAACTAGGAAACTGTTTGTGAGAATAAGCGAGAAAGTCAATGAAAAAAGTTATTTTAATCGTTAAAAGAGCAAAGTTTACAACAGTGAGGCACAAGAAGGGAAGAGAAGGGTGGAGAAGGAAGTGAAACTCTGAGATAACGAAGTTAAGCTTCGACTCCACGCACATGTTTTATCTTCGCAACATATCACACACAGGCATACACACGCTCATACATAACAGAATAAAATTCAAGAAAAATTGAAAAAAAAAGAAGAAAAAAAGAAATTTTTCTTACCTGACTGTTGTTAATCCAGTTGTAGACGCTATGCCACGTCTCCTCTGGCGTCCAACATGATGAGAACGGTGAATCAGAGGTAAAAATGTCTTTACTTGGCTCACGTGGAGCTACAGACGTTCCTATAGGTCCCATTTGCGAAGAAATATTAGTTTGCAGCAAATTTGGCCCCAGAACCAGGGCTTCAGCCCTATCACGGCCCAGTCGAGCGGCCATTTGCCCGCCTGAGGGGCGGAGCGTGCCAGCCACGGTGCCTTGCACTGCGCTCGCGGTCAATACCCCCCCCCCTCCCCAGTCTCTCGTTCGTCGCCGTCCCCCCCCCCTTTGGCCAACCCCTTCAACGCTCGTTGGTCGTCGTCGTCGTCGCCGTCGCGACGTTGTCGTCGCCGCTATCGTCCTTCCGCAGAATTCCCGCCCCAATTGGGATGTCATCTGGGGTGTATGTGTGGTGTGTGCGCGCTCATATCTCTAGTTCTCTCCAGTTTAAGCATTAAACTACGTGAGAAATGTTAGTCTTTCGCCTTTATTTCATACATCTTTAACTATGGCGCTAACTCTCTCCCTCTTCCGTGTTGCCTCAATGATAGTCAATGCTCTCTGTGGTTTCATCGGACGAGTCTCTTTCCGATCTCCTTCCATTATGTCTCGTTGCCTCTTTCCATCTAACAACATTTTCTGATCGGTGAGCGCAAAAACCACGCCAGTCTCCCCCCTCTGTCTCTTCTCTCTCTCTTCTTTTTTTCTCTTTTTTCTTTCCCAGCGACCAACCCAGACTCGACTCTTAGATGTCCAAGACTTACAAAGAGATAGAGCAAGACATAAACACAAAACTGATGAAAAGCAGATTTGCAATCCTTCTCTCGCATTATTTTTGTCGCCACCACCAATCATAAACATCAAAGAAACGTCGAACAACTCTTTTTTTTATCAGAAATCATAACAGATCTTCGCTGTCAGAGCTAACTCATCAGGAAATGATTATGGGGTAAACGAAAGATAAAGAGAGAGGGAAAATGAAGCTTAAACGAAGCGATAATCAAGAATTGTCTGGGGGGAAGGTCATCATGTTCTCAGCTCTTTTCATGTTTTGTTCATTTAATGGCTTCGAAATACATCTGTCCCACTTCATATTCTGCCCCAGACTGCTTCTCCAATTGCAATTTTTGGAATATTTTATAAAGGCTAACAGATAAATTAATGCAAGTTTTATTGCTCTTTCAGTGATTCCAACAACGAACAAATAGCTTAACAACAATATATTTATAAATCTAATCTAACTATTTCATTTCGAGAGAGTTTGTGTTTTCAAAACGCTACCATTATAATCCTACTTGGCATTTTCATATGCAAGAAGCTTACAAACAACAAAGGGGTGGAGTCGATGACCAGACGGGTGGCGTGTTGGGCGGAGCCTGGCACCACCTAGCGGCGCTTCCTGCAAGAACGAACATATAGCAAGCCAAAAAAGGAGAAAACCCTCAGTTTTCAACAAGCACAAAAAGACCATTGAATAGTCTAAAGAAACAAGAGGCAAGAAAGAGGAACAGCCAAAAAATAAAAAGGATAGATGGAACGCATTGAATTGCTGTGACATTCACATGCCTTCTGTTCCAACGACCTTCAGGGTTCGTAAGAACCGCTGCCTTTTTTTTTGAGGTTGAGTTTTTACGAAAAAGAAAAAGAAAAAAAAAAGAAATGATAGATGGAAACATACCAGATCCATTTAGCTCTAGCTCCAGGTTGATTGACCTTGCTTCTTTCCTTCTTTCTAGGATCCAAAGTTAGAAGACCAGCTGAAAAAAAGAAATCAAATGCTCAATTGGCATTTAAAACTTAAAAGAAATATAATAATTGGAACCAATTATCACTAATAGCTACTCTCTCAAGGGGAAGTATGTATTTCTCTCGTAGGAAGTGTTTGGATCATCTCAAGATCAGTGGCATTCATGTTTTTTGGGGAGGCTCGCATTTTCTTAGTTCAAGAGTTTTATTGGATTAGCAGTCTGTCTCCGGATTTCAGCCCATATGCCTCATATGGTTTTAGAGCTGCAATTGAAGCAGCATATATAACAAAAAAGATTGGGAATCTCGAGGGGGGAAAGAGCTGAAACCGATCTTTAACCGATGTGCTACTACGTTTTGCTCAAGGTCAAGGGAACTAAATTTCACATGGAAAGACTTGTTTTTTTTTATTCGAAAATACCAGAGACAATCGTCTTCTGAAAAAAATTGTCCTTCTTCCGATTATTCAATCGCAGTTTGATCTCCGAGCTTATCGGAAATCATCCCCTAGAAACATTCTCACGACAGGATATAAACTGTCACTTCTTGTGCCAAGCACCATGATACTCAGGAATAGGGAGCAAAGATACTATGAGAACGACAAAATACGGGCTTATGGGAAAACTATCAAAAGAGCAAAAGTTGCCTACCCAATCTTAAAGCCTCCATCGACTCTGGATACAAAGCAGCGATACAAAGAGAGGTTCCATGGCGAACAGCTTTAGGTAATGCAGTGATTCCATCGTTTTCGACATTGGCTTTGACATCAACGCGATCAAGAAGATCCGACACAATCAGAGGAGCTAACAGGATTTCTCTGAAACAAACAATATATTTATCGCCTATTGCATCATCGCAATTATCAAATTATGCTTATACAGTCATTCGTCATTTTCCCGCTTAGTTTATCTTATCAGATGTTCTGGGTTCAAATATGAGTTCCTCGACACATTTAGACTTTCCGTTTGTTCAAAATAATTCGCTTGACAACAACCCAACAAACCTGCAGCGTGTTTGTCTTGTTTATCTGTTCACGTGGTGACAGGAGAATACGCGCGTGCAAGTCGCGATGAGGTACGAGAAGTCAGAGACCGGCGAGTCACATCGTCAACACGCATTCGAAAGGAGCAAGAAAGCAGCAGGAAGATAGAAAAATGAACGCTCATATGGACCAAAGCTCCATCTGTGTTATGTTCCGTAAAATACGTGTTGCCAGCAATTTGAGAACGAGAGAGAAAAGAGAGAAGAAAAAACTGAAAAATACTTTGATCGAGATGAAAATATTAGTCATAAAGAATGACCGCGTTTCGAACTAGCCATCGCTCAGCTGATAGTACATCCCTTTCACAAAGGGTATGAAGCAATCCCTGTCATTGTTCTTCATCTCTTATCTTAAAAGGTTCGCAGAGTTCCTCAAAACACCGTTCGAAACATAGACAGAACATATATTGAGAAGTGTAGGCGCATTGAAAGCCTAATCTTCTCGCAATGATGAGTGATACTCCGGAAGTGCTATGACATTCTATAGATAAATGAGATTAAATAGAACAAAATGTAGGGAAGTTCGATCAGTAATGTACATAGGAAATCCATTACTTCACCCCTATGATCTAACCTAACCCAAATGAACCCTAGACTAGAAGCATGAAGCCTTGACAAATCGTATCAAAGACTAAGAAGACAAAAGACCCTCTTATTTAGTAACTGACCATCCATAGGAGACCTATATAGCTCATTAATGAAATCGTACAGCAAAATAATCTACGATGGTTTCCGCATTCAGAAGGTTTGTTTATGTGTCTACGTGTGTGAGTGTGGTCAAAGGAACGGAGAAATACATAGATTGAAAATGAACGAGTGACCAAAACAAACGTCATCGTTAACATTCCTCCATGGCTAAAGAGACTACTTCAGAGTCTATTGTTTACAGCCATAGCAAATCTGATTCCAAAAGAACTCTCAACATTTTGGGTGAGAGGAAAACCTTACGTTAACGATCAATGACCGGGATCATAACTTATTAGCTTGTATAGTTTGTAAGAACAAGAAGAAAACATACGAACCTGGCCAAGAGAGATCGGAAGTCATATAAGGCAAGGCCGTCGATATCAAACTTTCCAGTACCAGCATCAGAGACTGTTACAGTTGCAGTTGTGTTCTTACAATGTGTCCTTAAAGAAAATTATAACATCAAAGATTGAAATATTGAAAATTCGAAGAAAAAAAAAAGAAATGGACCAAACCTGACGGTCGCAGTTCTTCTATTGGTTTCTTTGCAAATTTCCACTTCAGGGATTTTAGGCCCAAATAATTTAGAATCTGTGGTTGCTGCTAGAGGCTCTCTGAAACCAACGATGATAGTTGAGAAACTATGTAATACTGGCTTACCTATATTCATTTATAAAATCGGCTTCTACGGCGGATCCAGGAATGCTAACCAAGTAGTCTAAAGCCATCATAAGTTGGACATACTGAAGAAACCATTAGAGTAATAGCAAAACGATTTCTTACCATTTCAGTGCTGAACTTCTCTTTGAGCTTCTTTTTCATTTTTTCTTCATTCAACCATTGAGAACCACTCAAATTACTGAAACAATGTGTTGAGAGAATATCTTTAGCATTTCACAAATTACATGATTTGCATATCAGCATCCTTCAATCTGCCAAGCTCGGCTCTTTCATTATAGAATCTTGTAACATTTTGCGTTTTAATACCAATATCCTGCAATGGTGCGGATAATTAATTCATCCCAGAACTTATTGATTACGGAAAGAAGAGTATAATAATTGGGGCTCAATGTATAGAAACGACTTCCATTTGGTCTTCCTTCATCATCGAAAGTGAATTGTTTAAATCTGAATGAGTAATCGTTAAGCTCATACAGTTGATACTGATTTAGACACAGCCGCTTTTCGTCTATGAGTAATATGAAATGATGTTCACGTGGCACAAGAGTGCAAACGGATAATTGCAACTCTGACGCCAAAATTAGAATATTCTTGATTCCATTGAACGTTATACGGTACGCTTTTAATCGAATTATCTTGAAATAGGGACTAACTGGGGAATAATCTCATCTGGTGGACGCATTACTGGCCTTGCTTTGGGATCTGAGAGTCCCGAAGGAAATAGGTATTCAATAGCACTGAAACCATTGAACTATGTAAATGATTTCAACGATCCATTAATTACCTATCAATATCAGACTGTGTCATCGTGTTAGCATCTAGTGACATCATATTAGCTAAATGGCGTCGACCAAGCTCAAAGTCCGCTCTAAACTCTCAATGAATGATACGATCGCAAAAGATTACAAACCTCTCCCTATTCATCATAGCTGTATGCTCCTTACTCTGTTTAAGATAGGTTTCTAGAGCTCTTCCGATCTTTTTAAGCCTTTTATCATTTGATTGCTCAGCGACAACTTCGGAAGAGAAGTGTCTGAGTGATGGTAGAATACTCCGAGAGGCACGAGTTATCATAATGGATGAACCCTGTCAAGTCAGAAACTGATTAGAAAAGCCGGAAACGGAGAGTTGGTATTGAAGCGATAGAGAACGCGATTGACATGATGTGTCATTTGCAATAAAAAAAAGTTGAAATAATAATACTTTATCAAGAATCTTGTAAGGACGAAAATTGGGATTTCATCACAAATAACAATCATATATTAAATATAATCTCTACTATGTTACAATAAATGCATAAGACAATTAAAATTCTTATTCTCTCTATCCTTTGTGCGAATAAAGCCTAAATGGATATTATGATATCTAAATACTCGTATGAATTTTCAAAAAAAACAAAAAGCACTTTCTCGGATATGAATTGGAATATGGAAAACTCTCCAGTATGTCAGTAAAATAATATAAATTATCATGCACAAAACAGTTAGATATGAACAAGAGGAGCTGGCTTACCACCCGTTTGAATAAAGTTCACAGTGAATAGGAACCGCGACCGTTCCGAAATTTGTTTAAAACACACACAGAAGCCCGGCAACTTTTCCCGAGCATTCGTGTCTTTCACTTCGAAGAAGGTTGCAGAATTCGGATATGGAGCTTTGCGAGAAGTTTCAGCTCCACTAAACCAAATTAGACTATGAAGGTCCCACTCTTTCCAGTTCTTTTCTCCTTTCATGGCTATTAACCTCACCCCATGTTCAATCTTAAGCTCGCACGTTTTGAATGTTTTCGACCCTGGTTCTGCTAGTTTCACTTTCCCCGTGCTTGCAATCTGGAATGTTTCAATTGAGAAAAGCTAAATGCTTAAGCACTGACCATGTTCATATCCTCATCACAGTTATCTTCATTATCAAAAAGTAAGTAGCCATCGGTTAACATCCAGGGTATCCATCGATTGATAACAACATCCGATACTCGTTCTGCTGGGCCCATCTTCCGTTTTAAATTTGAATCCCGGATTACCTTGAAGAAACGACGAATGAACCCAAACGTACGAAAATGAAACAACCTCATAAACAGCATACTTCCCATCAAGTTTCTTGTTGAAACTCCGCTTCGCCACAGCTTCTCTACATACTTCCTCGGCAGCTAAGTCTGATTGCACATTGAAAGGTAAATTGTCTTTCTCCCATAGATGAATTGGCACAAGGAGACCTTTGGCTCTTCCCTAACAGAAAATTAATCAAACAGAGTGGACGATGAACTACCTTCTGGTTATGCGTAGCAGTTTTCTTCGAATCCAGAAGTACGCGACTGATTTCTTCCCTCATAGTGATCTGAAATCAGAGGATCATATGAGAAGAAGAGGGCGACAAACCTCAAAAATCTTGTCAAACTCCAGAATAAGAGTAGCTATCACCCAGATTTGCTTGGAATTATCCTTAAAACATATTTGACCGCTCTCAGCATCAGTATGGAACAGTGATGGACCAAAAACTTTGGCAAGATTATCAAAACTAGCTTTGTTATCACCACAGTTACCCGCCACTTCTCTGAATAGCAAAGATGTGGAGGAGAATTAAAGAAAGAAAGTTTTACTTCAGATGAGCCATCAGTTTCCTCAAAGTACTGAAATAAACAGGAGGTAACGTGTGGATGATTCTTCGGAACGATTCAACCCTTTCTTGAACTGCATTAGGAACTAAACAAAACATATTCATAATAGTATCTTAGTAAGAACATACCGGCTTCGAATAACATGCTATGGATGTCTGTTGGAATCAGGGGGGTCGGTAATTTACGGAAAAACTGCCGTAACACATCGGCTACAGCATAAACAGTTTCGTCAGTCGAAGGTAGAAGATGAGTTCCAGCGGGATCTGAACGAGTTGACTACTTAACAAACTCAAACAACAACCATACCTTCGAGGAGTTTATTCATGATATCCTTAGCCTCAGAGATCTTGCCGTTCCGCCTATAAATTCCTACGGAATTCATTCCAAAGGCAGAAATAAACCGAATACATTTGTCAACAATCTAGAAAATGAGAAAATAAAACAATATTTTAGAACAGAAAGAACAAACCATTGGCACATTGTCAGAAGTCAAACGGTATTCATCCAGCTTAGAAGGAGTTGCATTGATGGCTTTATTAAGACAATCAAACCACTTGGTGGTACATAGCTCATCCTCGCATTCAACATATAGAGAGCTTAAAGAGAATATGAAAACAGAAAAACGCAAGCTTCGTTACCATCCTTCCACTGTTAGCATAAACGCTCCTCTGCTCTTCTTCTTGATTTGTGGACAACTTTGATTCTTTTCAACCTTTTCGCGTACGGCGAGAATCTAGAATTTTACAAAATAATTTTATTGAAGTTAAAGAAGACCAGTACTTTGCGAAGATCAAGTTCATAGCTGTTTTCAGGTTCATCCCGCAGCATATACTGCAAAGATTTTTCAGCAAACGAGCAATATGCCTGTTGCCACTCTGTTGCGGAGCCTTAGGGATGATGATTAGAAGAACACTCAGTATGAAAGAAACCTTGTCGTAGCCAAACGATTCCACATGCTGTAGCAGCTTTGACACTTCCTTTTAAAATACTATGATCTGATATCCAACACTGAAAAAAATGAGATATTAAGAGAACTGATGAAGTGCGAACTTCTCCGAGGAGATACGACCAGGTTTCAGCTTGGTCCTCTACTGTGAACGTTATGCTTTTCTGAGTTTCCATTTCATTGAATCGTATGAAAATAACGTCTTCCTCTCTATAGATCAGCTGACATCCAGAAATATGAAAAGGCCCTGATAAAAGATCGTTTGTCTGCAAAAAAAATTGATAATTCGAAGACCCGATAGCATCATCTCACCTCATCATCCTCGTGGAAGGAAATATTCATATTCTTTAATCGTGCGTGGGCTGTTTTCTTTTCCTTCTTGCCGACATGAATAGTAACGAAACCAAAAAAGGAAATTGAAGTTCCCTCTATTTCCATTATATTACTTTCTTCTGTAGGAAAACAAGAAACAAATCAGCTGTGAGAGAAGAGCAACTAACGAAGTGAGATTGGCCGTTCATCTATCGTTCCTGAGTCCGACATACGGAAATCAGACCTGAAATGCACATGGATGAAAGTCGAAAAGCACTATGAAGACTGACGATCTTGTAGGTGCTAGTGTGTAGTGGTTTTGGTTTGGTTTAGAATCTACAAGGTTTAGCGACTGCAGGTCAAAATCCAAGGAAGGCAAGGGCGGTGTTCTTATACTCTCACGACTATCTTAAGCAAAGTATATGAAGATGATCATAATTGTTGGAGCTGTTTTACCACTGTTCTTTACATCGAAATTAGGAGAATGGATCCCGTAACTTCTCCTTTCCCCCTCACAAGGCCTAAAAGCAAAAAGTTATCTAATCTACCCTCTTCCCTATGAGCTAACTGTTTTGAATCCCGTTTTCTAATAAAATCATTTTCGAGGGCTCTAAATTCTAACAAGGACATATAACCATTATTTTCAATAGGTCTCGACTTTCCCTTCTCTATCTTGCTATAAAAAAAACTATAAAACAATATAACTGAGGAAATTCACCTTTGCAATGGAACTATGTCTGACAAACGAATCTTTGAGCCTGTTGAATCATTCATCTGAATGTTCGTCTTGCTGCTGACCGCATATATAGGCGGAGATGGGGTATTCGAGTTTTGATACACTGACTCATTCGATTCACAACTAGAAGATGATTTCATAACTTGCGGGGAAGTAGGTGACTTAGGAACTTCCTTAAACAGCAAATGATATCTTTATTAATGATTCATCACTCACCACATTGATCATCCATCCTATTGATGGTGGTCTCGGAGGTGGTGGAGCAGGTCGGTCAGGTGCTTTAGCCAAATTGTATTCTATAGGTACTTCATCTGAAATCAAGAACTAATGAAATCAATGCATCAACTGTGCTCGATACCATAAACATTATCTCCTGATTCATCATTTTTGTGTTGTGTTTCCACCTTAACCCCCGGGAGCCTCTCTTCCGTGTTATTGTGAATGAAGGTTTTCTCCTAAAGCATCATTATTGAATAAAAATAAAGTAAGAGCAGAAAATAATAAAAAGAAGTAATGAAAACCTCATTCTGACTGTTTTCTGGAAGTTCGGGCTTGACGCTTTTGACAATATTGAGTCGCGTACGGGGTTTCGGAACCGGAGGAACAACTGGAGTACTCATTACTTAACGTATTTCTGAGACATCCCACCACGTGTTGACTACAAAAATTGGAAGGAAAAAATTGAATTCGAGCTATGAGCACGTGATGATAAGTCATTGAGCATCAAGATGGCTGAGTAAGGCGTGGTAAGAATAAAAAAAAAGATAAA